AGCATCCTTCCAATGCCAAAAGAGCTCACAGTTTTTCTTTTTGGCACAGCCCCTGTATTCATAGTTGGAGTGGGTTGAGGCACCAGGAGACAGAATCCATTCCTTCTGTGATGTTTCAGTGGCTAAAATTGCAAGAGCTGTTCACGCTCACAACTTGGAATAGGCATAATGGTTTGTATTCAAAGTAGTGGGAAGCCTCTCATTCTACAAGGATTTACCTTTGCACAATGGACTCTCCTCCATGCCTTCTAAATGCGCCAACTCTGTAGGGCTGAGATGTCTTCAGCCACCCCCCCAAAAAGAATCTATTGGGACAGGGCTGAGCCCACCAATCTGAGGGGCCAGGTCTTGCAACGGTGGTGGGCCTTGTAGTGCATGCAATGTCACCCCCCCCCCAAAAAAATATGTTGGGTGGAACTCACTGGATACTGTATTCAAGGAGCAATAATGTGGCATGGAGCTCATTGATCACAGAAATGATTGTGTCTGTCTGTCTGTCTATCTATCATCTATCTATCTATCTATCTATCTATCTATCGTTATTTTCTTCTACTTCCACAGAAAACGGAGGTCAATCAGCTTTTGTACATAGCAGACAATCTAGCCTGTTTTCCTTACCAAACCCAGGAAGAGCCACTTTTTATAATGCACCATATAGACATCACATTATCAGTTTCTGGTAGTAACCTTCTCCAGTCATTTAAGGAGGTAAGTGGAATTATATTATACAACATTACCTTCCTATGGCCCACTGTATCTCTTCAGTCATTCAGGGTGAGGTAAAACCTTGGTGACCAGCCTTTTGGACAAGCGTGCTACTGAGTTCAAACTGAGAGAATGCCACTCTAGTGATCAGAATCCTTTTTCTTCACTCTGCCTTACAAGGGCATAGGAAGGGGGGTGCCCCAGGTGCCATCATTGGCGGGGGGGACGACACACGAATTATCATGGAACAATTACTGCCCTACTAGGGCGGTTCATAAAAACTTTTTTGAAAATGCCTGCACCGAAGGTCTTATCTTACTACACTAAGGATTATATAGCTATATATGAAATTTCATGCATATCAGTTAATATCTTGACCCTCCTCCATGAAAATAGGTGTTTACTTGGCTGTTTTCCTATGTCGTGAAGGCTGAAATTTCAATTCAGTGGAGCAGGGTCAAGATATTAACTGATATGCATGATATTTCAGATATAGCTATATAATCCCTAGTTTATTAAGAGAAGACCTTTGGAGCAGGCATTTTTGTTTTTTTAAAAAAGCTTTTTATGAACCACCCTACTGTCCTACCCTCCGCTGGGCTTCCCGGGTCCTGGAAAGTCAGCCTATGTGAAGAAAATGAGACTAGGCCAAGTAGATTAGGCCTTGCCTTGCCTTCGCCCTGCCCCTTGCATGCAGCTGTTTTTTCTTGATTTTACTGCTGTGGTGTTTTTTGTTTTGATAAACCACTTTGCAGGTTTTTAAAAATAAATTTTATTAAATAAATAAACAATAAATATAAATAAAATAACACAAGCCAAAACACAATCCATCCTGTAGATTTAAGTATCTGTCCATAGTTGCCTACTTGTTATCAGAGGCCCAGAATCCACATTCCTTTGTAAGAAAATAAGAAATAGCGTAAAACTGTTTTGTAGGCAAAAAAATAAAAAAACTCAATGTGGGGAGGGGGTGACAAGAAATTTTCCACACCGGGTACCACCTGACCTTCCTACGCCTCTGCCTTATGATGGCTTTGCCTCAAATCTACCTAGCCTAGGCAGAAACATAATATTAGGAAAGCCAGACAAGAGTGTATGTCTGTGTACTACAACCAGATCCATGAACCCTATTGCTGTTTTCTGAATGTGCCACAAATCTTGTGCCTACCAGCTGGGGCCCTGCACCCCCACTGCAGATTGATCACCCATACATTAAAAAAGAAATGCTGCAACCATGTAAGGGGCTGCTGGTAATCAGGTTAAGCAGTCCTTTGTCTTGTAGGATGCATTGACTGTATTCTGAGTTGAATATTTAATAGCTTAGATGTGTGTGTAGTTCATCCTTTGAGTCTGCTTTCCCAAAATCTCGCCACTTAATTTCCCTTGATTGATAGTTCATACTGGTGAATGACTACATGTCAGAACGGTCTTCAAATCTCTTTTTATAATATATCGATAATGGTGTTTGCTATTTTTCTAAACTACCTGCCATTTTCTTTCAGTCTATGGTGAAATATAAAAAAGAAAGGAAGCCATCATCTGATGAAGAGAGTGAGAGTGAAAGTAACAGTGAAAGTGACAGCGACAGTGAGGAGGAAGTTCACAAACCCCGAAAGTTGCGAAAACGTGCAGAGTCTGATTCAGATACTGATGAAGAGAATGATATAAATGCTGTCATGAAATGTTTGCCAGACAATTCAGCTCCTCTCATTGAATTTGCAAATGTTTCCCAGGGCATATTGTTGCTGTTGATGTTAAAACAGCATTTGAAGAACCTCTGTGGATTTTCTGACAGGTGAGGAGCATTCATGTTTTGCTTACTTTATCTCAGGAGTGGGGAAGCTTTTCAGTCTGGGAGCTGCATTCTTTTGCGAGCAACTTCTAGGGTGTGCATGGCAGTGATGGGTGGGGCTGGAAGAAAACTTGGAGCAAGGGATGTGACTCTTACAATAGGCTACATTCGAGCCATGCAAAAGTCAGATCTTTCCTTCTGCACACCCAACCCATCTCTCTAACCTTTATTCAGGCAAGCAATAACTATTATCACAGTTCAGATGCATTCTAGCCAAGCGAAAGCACTCAAGGAAGGCATGAAGTAGGGCTGGTGAGGAGTGTGGCTGAGGAGAGGCCTGGGGACTGGATAGAGTCCTGGAAGGCCACATTTTGCCTGAGGTTCCCTACGTCTGTTTTATCTGATCATTCCCTGTATTCACATTCTTGAGGATTTGTTATAGATTGAACTCAAAACTTGGGTGAATTCTGCATAATGCAGATGCATCTAGTAAAACCTAGTGCCATAATGTTTGTTTTATATAACACTAAGAATTTTGACCTAAGGGACTCAGAAGAATTGCTTATAGATTCTACTTTCAAAGGATGTGGGGAAATATTACTAACTTCAAGCATTCGTTTTGTTTTCTTAATAATAGTAAAATTCAGAAATACTCTCCCTCTGAATCGGCAAAAGTATACGATAAAACAATAAACAGGAAGGCAGGAATTCATTTCCATCCAAAACAGACGCTAGACTTCCTTCGAAGTGATATGGCTCATTCCAAGCTCACAGATGAAGTGAAGAGGAATATAGTCAAACAGTACTTAGATGTAAGTATTGAGAGCCTGCAGAATTTTACTGCCTATCAACTTCCTTATAAAAATGCTTGAACTCTGTTCTGAAATTTTAAGTTTTTGTTATTTAGAAGGTGAAATATGAAGAGCAGTGGTTACAGGCTGAAATTGTTTTTTTCTTCAGAGGTGAGGAATGGAGTATGCCGACTTCTTCCACTGCAAGTTCCCTTCTTCAGTTCGCTTGCTGAAGAAATGTGTATCTAATGCACAGAACTAGGCAAATTAGAGGCTGTTGGATGATCTGCAGGTTGCATCATTTTTCCATTGACAGTGCAATGTCATTGGGTTGGGCTGTCACAGTGAGCTTGAGATGGTCCATGCAAAAATTAAAGTGTAGGCTCAAGCTACATGTGACATCGCAGAATTTGCCACTGAGCACAAGCTTTTGCTTTCACACATTACCAACATACCCTAGTGTGCTGTTGTCCCGATCTGGGTTGGGGGGGCCCCATGCCTTCAATCTGCATTATGGGCTGCAGGGGAGTGTCTGTTCGTTCTACTGGGAGCTTTCTACCTAATGCAAATTTCATGCATGGGCCTGGCCCAGAAATGGACCACAGAGCAGGCAAAGAGTCAAAAGACTCCCTCTTGGGTTTGAGTTGGTGTGGTGCTAGCAAAATTTCCCCACAATTGCCAAAAGTTAACATTGAGGCTCTAATATGTAAGAGATCTAAAACCTTGCCCCCTTAAGGCCTATTAAGGAAGAGAACAATCCTTGCTTTCTCCAAGAAAAGATGTGTCACATGCTACTAAATTGATAGTGTACTCCGCAAATTGTCTTAATGTTACTCCCATAAGGCTTGCGCACCATCTTCCTTCCTTGTTTTCTTTTCTGTTTTCATAACTCATTTTAAGATGGCGCCTAATCTTCTTTCCAATATCCTTTCTTAGTTCAAACTTCTCATGGAACACTTGGATCCTGATGAAGAAGAGGAAGATGGAGAAGTGTCAGCTAGCACAAATGCTCGCAACAAAGCTATTACCTCGCTGCTCGGAGGAGGCAGCCCTAAAAACAATGCAGCTGAGACAGAGGATGATGAGAGTGATGGGGAGGATAGAGGAGGAGGCACTTCAGGGGTGAGGCGGAGGAGGAGTCAACGTATTTCGCAGCGTATTACGTAAAATGATTTTATGTGCTTATAAATGTCAGTCTATAATAAAATGTACACTGAGTAATGTAATCAATATGGAAAAAAAACCATTTTGTAGATAGAAATTCTTAACCATTTATACACCTTTTTGTAGAAAGTTCTAACAAAAACAATAAAAAACATAGAAGAGATTTTATCTAGCATAAAGTTTAATTTTCCTTTGGAATGTACTGTGTGTATCCTTTTTATTGTTGCCAAGTTTTTATGTAGCTTTATGATTCATTTGTACATATAATTTTATATATCAATAAGAGTTAAAAGACACGGGTACAATTTAATATGTGATTTTGCAAGGATGTTAACCCCTTGGCGCTGGCGGTCGCGGTGCGTCTCATTGCCGGCAATGGAATGTGTGCCGGGAAATCCCAACTCCCGGCGTCAAGGGATTAAAAGCAATAAAAGCAATAATTTCACTCAAGTTCTTTTGTGTAACACTTGGTCTTTTTTCCCCTCCCAATGTTTTAGTCATTGAGAAGGTCAAAACGAAATTCAGACTCTACGGAGTTGGCAGCACAGATGAATGAAAGTGTTGATGTCATGGATGTCATCGCTATTTGCTGTCCAAAGTACAAAGATCGACCACAAATTGCAAGAGTAGTACAGAAAACCAGCAATGGCTTCAGTGTTCAGTGGATGGCAGGCTCCTACAGTGGCTCCTGGACTGAGGCTAAGCGCCGTGATGGCCGCAAACTGGTGCCTTGGGTAGACACTATTAAAGAGTCAGACATTATTTACAAAAAAATTGCTCTAACGAGTGCTAATAAGCTGACTAATAAAGTGGTTCAGACTTTACGATCGTTGTATGCCGCCAAGGATGGAACTTCCAGCTAATGCATTTGTACATGCAGCCAAATTTTACAGGAAATGAAATAACAGAAAAAAAACTTGAAATATCAACTTTCTGGCAAAAAAAAAATCATTTTAATGAAGAGTAAGAATGACACCTGGGATGCAGGAAACAGAAGGAAATGTTTGGTAAACATTTTTGTGGGAGCTTCCTTCGCTGTTGTGCAGCAGAAACTTCTCAGTTCATTTTTACTCCCACTGTATAATAGTTTAACAAAAATTGTTTATATCTTGGAAAAAAACCTTTCTGTTTTAAAAAAAAATAAACAAGTGAATGTTGGAAATTAGTCTGTTAATGTTCTTAATAAAGTGTTCTTGGAGTTTAACCTAGCAGCGGATGGCTTTCTTTAGCTTAGCCCAGTTTCCAGGGAAGCATTGTTTTTCCAGGCTGTAAAATGGCAGAATCTCCTGGATATATAATTTATTCTGTTGGGGGAAAAAGCATGCAGTATCTATGACCTATCTGCAGGAGGAGTTTTTGTAAATGTAGATTTTGATGTATTAGGTCACCCTGAAATAATACAAGAAAAGGGATCCCCAGCAAATCTGGTGGAACGAATACTGCAATAAATTTTTTTACTTCTCTTTGTTACTTGTCTGTTTCCATTTGAATTTCTTATTGTAAAGATCTGTTTAAATCCATTTATATTATTTTGCAGTCTTTTATGTAAAATTTACTATATCAGTGGTTTTCAAAGCAAGACATAAATATTGTTTATACAGTTTGTATAGGCTGACTTCTGAATAATTGGTATCTTTTATTTTTATCCCTTAAAAGGGTGTAAACACAAGTTAACTCCAGGGTTTTATTGTATCCTGCAATATTTAGTATTAACTATATATGATTTAGCACTGTGCCAAACACATTTTCAAGAGTACATTTTGATATAAAAAGAAACTATAGTTTATGCCTTGTATGCTTCATTTTCTTTCTAATGCTGTCTATATAGCAATGTTCAAAATTTGAGTGGGGGTGGGAACAGCCATCACTCTCGCCTGAGAAACTAGCAATGGATATATTTCACTTGGTTAGGACATCAGGAGATCAGACTGTTCTTGATCAGGAACAATGTATGTGACCCAAGAAGACCACCTGTGCATTAGGATCCTATTGTTGGATTTTTTTTATGTGAACCAGAAAATCCTAGCTGCACTAGTGGTATTTTCACTTAACTGAATTACAGTCATAGGGTGCAAATATCAGAGGAGTAAATACGGATTTGTAACTGATTAATTGTGCTAATATGCTCATAAGTTATTCTCTAAATGTTAGGGGTCAGAACACTTGGTTGTATTGTAGTTACTTGAAATTTCTTTTCACCTTTTACACAGCAGAAATACTACTTAAAACTCTGGAGTGGTTGCTTAAGTATCTCTCATCACCAGGTTTAAAAGCAGCTTGACTTTCTGGAAAGTAGTCTCTCCCCCCCCCCCCCATATTAACATACAGAGAAGAAATTAATAGCATCCAAATAATTAGCAGAGAACTACTTTAAGGTCTTTGTTTTCAAGCTTGTATAAAAGTGGATGTTCATCAATCAATCAATCTTAGGATGCATTTATCTTATTCTGCAAAATTGGATATATGGTGGGGTGGGATTTTTATTACATCAGTTTACAGAACTCTAGTGTGCTACTTGATCTGTTAGGAACAGTAGAATAATATTCAAATCCTACATTTTCTTATATAGAATTCAAGAATTAAACTAACATGACTAATTCTTCATCAGAATCTATTTAATAATTTTCTATGAAATAATTTTCATTTCCTCCTATTTGTTTTAACTGTTGTATTGCAGTTTAGTGCTAATTTAGTCTTTTAAATTGGGAAAGCAAATGTTATACTTAGTCACTTAATGGGTTTCTTTTACTTGTTCTTTATAAAACCATGCTGACAGTTAGTAAGTCAAATTTACCCTCTAGGTCTGCTTTCCCCAACCCTAGTGCCTCCTAGATGTTTTGGTTTACAGTTTTTGAGTTTTAGATGGAAGTTGCAGTGTAAAACATATAGAGGGATCGACATTGGGGAAGGCTTCTCTCTAGGTGCTTACAAATTGGTTTTATTACTTCTTTATTACTTTATTACTTATTCCAGTACCTTCCTGGGTAGAATTAATATCTTAGTGGTTAAACTTTGTTTCTCTGGAATACAATTTAACAGCAAAAAATGTTTGAAATTTCATGTTAATATATTCCCATTGCTAATTAAGCTTGTTCCTTGCAGCAACTGTTCCAGGATATTTTGAGTTTACACAGAACTGATTCAAAGTTGTTTATTGTGTTTCCAGCACAAGCTCCTAAGGGGAGCAGGTATTGATAATGGTGAGTGGATTATATGTTGAGTCTTGCTCCTGGAGGGGCATCAAGAATTGTAATAAATTCAACCTACTCCTTTTACGTATACAAACAAAACTGTTGAATAAGAAAATATGGATGTTTGATATCTCTTTATACATTCTGAATCTTGCAGTCTCTGACCATTGATGAGCACTTGACAAGAGAAATCAATCTTTGGATAATTTGATAAGGACAGCAATACTATTTTCAGGAATGGTGCCTTGGAACTGGGCAGAGCAAAGGGTATTCCTCCCTTCTGAGTTAAAGTTTACTTTTTAATTAAATGTTGGCTTATGTTTTTCTTCAAATATACCCCTTCAGCCTCCAGGTAATTTCTGCAAAGATAGCAAGTACCACTGGAGGCAAAAGCAATTCTGTACAGGGTTATTTGCTTTGGGATGCCACCTGAGTACTCCTCACAGGTAAGAATGTGAGTCCAACAGACACTCTTAAACTCTTAGTTTAGATGATTTATAACATGAATAGGAAAACATGTTGCCCTCCAGATATTGTCGAGACTCCAGCTCTCAACACCAGCTAGCATGGCCAGTTGGGATTGTGGGAGTTGTTGTCAAGCACACATGGCTTTTAACTTGTCGCCCTCTATATATTGCTGAACATTCCTATATTAATCTGGATTTTCCTTTTAAGAACGTTGTTTCAAAGATCAAGTTCCGACTCTTAGTTATTCAGAATTCTCTCTTTGGGGACTTCCTGCCTCACAGCCTATAATCCCATTTTAAATGTTAAACAGGGGGCACAATGGCTCTTAACCTGAAGGCTGGTGGCCTGAGCCTACCCAAGGACAGCTGTGGGCAGGATTCCTGCATTGACCGGGGGGTGGACTAGATGACCCTCCATGGTCCCTTCCAACTCTATACTTCTAGGAGGTTGTTTTGTATATACTGTAGGGTATGTAGAGATGAAATGAGATCCAAGGGAAGACAGCTTGCCCAGCTGAGGATAGATGCACTTTACAAGATCCCCCCCCCCAACCGCTATCTCTTGTTCGAAAGTTTTGTGTGTGTGTAGTATTGCAGCCTAAATTTTACTTCTACCAATTTCTGTCTCAGATGTAATTCTTGCACATCTGCCCTTCTAATGGAGTAAGATACAATCGGTGTTGTGCCTTGCATTCACAGCACAGTGGACTGTAGGAACTAGTATTTTGTAAATGGCCACGGGACGTGGGTGGCGCTGTGGGTTAAACCACAGAGCCTAGGGCTTGCCGATCAGAAGGTTGGCGGTTCGAATCCCTGTGACGGGGTGAGCTCCCATTGCTCAGTCCCTGCTCCTGCCAACCTAGCAGTTCGAAAGCACGTCAAAGGGCAAGTAGATAAATAGGTACCGCGCTGCGGTGGGAAGGTAAACGGCATTTCCGTGCGCTGCTCTGGTTTGCCAGAAGCTGTTTAGTCATGCTGGCCACATGACCCGGAAGCTGTACACCGGCTCCTTCGGCCAATAAAGCGAGATGAGCGCTGCAGCCCCAGAGTCGGCCATGACTGGACCGGGGTCAGGGGTCCCTTTACCTAAATGGTCACAATAGGCCTAAAATAGAAGGTGACTATGAACTAGGTGGGCAACATCAGTCATAGTCTTCAAAGAAACTGAACAACAAAACCTTGTTGGGTCATTCAATTGTAATGGCCTTTGGGGACATACAATAAAGCTGTGACTGTGACCGACCTGCCAGAATCGCCTTTCTTCTGCAAAAACACCATTTGAAAGTATTAAACAGCAAAAAATTTATTACATTACTACAAACTACTACTTAAATAATTACAAAACATGATTCAGAATCTTAGTTACGAATTATCTTTTTAATCACTGTGCAACTGTGGCTATTTAAATCTTGCTATTTAAATACTGCTTTCAGAAACTATGAATCTTGTCTTCTTTGCCCAATATACCAAACATAAGTATGTTCCAAGAAGCCTAAGTATATGTGGTATTGTACTGGCCTGCATAATTCCGTGATTTTGCTTTTATATGCTAGCTTATTGGTTAGGAAAGAAGTGTTCTTTGCTTAGAATTTTGCCATAATATTATGCCATGATGGTCTGCTATCAGATATTGTTCCAAATAATATTGGGCCTACTTTCCTTTTAAAGGGCAGAGCATCCAAGAAATTCTGGTTTTATTTTTCTTCCACATTTGCTACCATAGCTTCCACTGCATTCCAGTCAAGCTTGCTGAGGATGCTGCTAGTACTTTCAGACACACTATCCAAGTTATTAAGGCTGGCAATGGAGCAAGCATCTTCATGAGGCAAAGACTCCTGTGGAGATATAAAAGGTAATCAATGACAGGAGTGTGTGATAGAGCTTAGCTAGTCAGACTAAGTTCCCTAAAGTGCTTTCTTCACCAACTTTATACTGACACCACCAACTGCCAGGATTTCATTTCCCCACACTCCTCTCCTCCCCTGCTCTGACTTACAGTCTACCAAATTCCATATTTCCTCTCAGAGGGTGGTCTAAACATTCAAGATAGCCACTCCTTCGGAGCAGCAGCCAGGTCCTGCTTTAACAGCAGGAGAAAAATTACCCTGCCTGTCCAGCATTGCTGTCCATAATGCCAGCAAAGATAACCTTATTTGGAGTTTTTGTGAGCTCACTCTATTTCAGCTTCTCTTCCCCCTCTCCCAGAAACCCAGCAGAGACAGTAGGGTGGGTGTATCCTATGCTGCAAGGATCCCTACCACTACCGGCTTGGACTGGCACTTTCCCCCAGTTATCATGTCTGCACTTTTAGCCGGCACTGTCTTCTGCCCATTTCATCCTCACAACGGTTAGTAGCAGCTGGTGCCTGCCCCAGAATCGTTTCACGGATAATCAGCATTTTGAACCCAGCCTGCAGCTCTGAGCTCCCCTATATACCACAGTGGGGCAATGAACGATTCTTTGTTTTACTTCTCGGATGCATTTGCATAGAAAAGGGGATTAAAATAAAGTGACTGACCCAAATATGCAGAATGAATAATGGATAATTATGTTTCCACCCTTGCCTTGAAATGGGAATTAGAACCACCATACAGTATCCTCTGGATCTCATCAGGAATGCTCCAAACACTCATGGCGTCGTCTTCACTCTCCTCATTTGTGCGAATTGTTGTGTCAGTCTCTTGGAACTTTCTCTGCTCATCAGAAGCTGCAAGAGAGCACATTCTTTATTTGCAAGTATTTCTTTCCTTCAATTATCTCTTGTTAATTGGTGTTGTGGACCTAAATTCTGCAACCCTTGCTCCCAAAGTAAGATTTGCTAGTGGTTTCCACCTGCTCTAGAATATCTAATATGGGCTACTGAGCCCTCTTATTTGTTCTACCCAATTATAACTGTCTTAGAGTCACCCCTGCCATGGTACACTTTGGGGCCTACTGTTCTCTGCTTATAGTTCCAAGTTCACAGAAGAGAGATGCAGCAAAATGAATCTGTTACAAATGGAAGGAATAAAGATTCTGTAATCAGTGCATGCAGTATTACAACTTGACCCTCAACCGCTTACTATTTGAAGCAAGATGCGCTACAAAGCGATGCAATATAAACTTCTCAACACAGCAAACTTTACTGTAATAAAGGGACTGCAGCACAAAGCTCTGCTCCCATAGCCTCCTCCATTATGTTGGTCTTGACAGTGATGCCCACTGGACATGCCACTAAATGGTGTAATTACCAAGTACAAATTTGGCTACTTTGTTACGTTGAAATGGTATTCATCTCAAACATCATTGTTTTCCTCAAAGGCTCAGAAGGTTCTGCACAGGCACAAAAAGTGCTTTTGAATTTATCTATTGTAACACCAAGTTCAAGACCCTAGTTACGGCTTGCACAGCTAGTCAAATACACCAAACATTTTCAAAGCTCCTTCAACTATTGGGCAAGCTCACTCGCATTTCCAAGTCTTGGGGAAGCTGTCCAGACCAAGTTCTGGAAAGGTCCCCAACTCCAGCAAACAGCATTGGTAAAGACTTTTCATTATCCAGCTCTTAAACCCCTAACCTATGTATTTTGGACTTTTTAAAGTTTATAATATGACAAAAAACTTTCCTCCCAGAAGTTTCAGTGTTCACTGCAGGAAAGCAGAGATGAGCACCAATGAGCATTGTGAGAACTGGTCCAATAACAAACCTTGACTTCTCAAGTCAAGCTTGTGACTTGACCACTGTTGCAGGTGTCTCTTGCTTTTCCACCGCATCTCCCCTTGATGGGATTCTGGTCCCTTTCTTCTGTAAGGAGTTTGGCATAGTCGGCCTTGAGCAGAAATGACACAAAATACCCAATTTATGGATCAGGAATTGGAAAGCACAACTATATAAACTCCCCAATAGTTCAGTGCAATCTGGGCACTGTGGCCATCTCATTTCCATTCTTACCTTTTCTTGGAGTTATGCCACAGGACAGACTGGAAAAGGATCTCGTCTGACTCAGACTACCTTTGGAAGCAGCCTTCCTCCTTGCAGCGTGGCAGCTTCTACAAGGGATATACCACATTTCTATCATAGCAATACTGGTTTCAGAAACAATATACAAAAGTGCAAGAAAATGGCTTCTCATAACATTAGCAGGGTCCATGCTGGGGCTAATCATGTAACATTACAATACTATTGTGTTTGTAATGATGACCATGTGCCACTGCAGTGTTCAAATGGTTCATTTTTCCAATGAGGAGTTGGCATAAGGCAGATTCCCAACTACTGAGAAAACCATATCAAACTATTTGGCTTTCTATGCAAGTATTATCTACAGCAAAGAACTGATTCCATCATCTTACCAATTCAACTTGAGATGACAGGGATTGAACCTGGGATCTTTACATATAAAGTAGATCCTCTACCACTAAGTTAGGTTCCCTTTTTGCTGTTAGCACTGGAAGTAGCACAGATATCCACAACAATCTCCATAGCCTGAAGAGCAAACTACATGTTATATTAACATGCATATTTGAGTGTGTGTGTGTGTGCACATAACTCTAGCCATCCATGCTGCGGTCCTGACCCGAAGGTGGGGGAAGCAGCAGCTAATATTTTTGTCTATTGCTCAATCGGTCTTACTTCTGAGCTGGGGAAATTAAAGGCATTGGGGAGCCTGTATACTTTACCCTCCAGCGGAAGCAATATGTGGTCTCTTGAAATCATGAGGTGATCTTGCTTTAGCTAATGAGTCAAAGTCACTTGAAGGAAGTTGCACAGTGTCAGACAACAGCTCATGCATCAGAGTGAGGGCTTCAGAGACTCTAATGTTATGATGCTCAGAAAACAAGGCTCTGAAGGGAATGAAAACAAGATGCCTATTATTTCAGCCTATTATTACAAGTTTTGTTTCTTTACTGACATTTTGTCTAGTTTAAAGAAGAAAACTAAGCCTGTCTAACCTTCGGGGGAAAGCAGAGAGGGATCCAAATTCATCTATGGGCCTTAAATTGTAAAACCCTTCTTTCTGTATAACCTCCCCAGAGAAACAGGACAGACAGCAATATACAACTTTTAGATGTACCATCTTTCCCCCTTTTTTGAGTCAGCCATTTCCGCCCAAGGCCTATTTTTCAGCAAATCATCAAGGCTGGAGCTTCATATCCATGCCTAAGACAATTGTCCTTATGTAAAATTGCTTCATTTGATCTTATTTCCAGGCAGGTGACTGAAAGGTCTATAAGGAGAAATCCTAAGTTCCCACCCCCACACCAACAGGGCTTTACAGAATGACAGGGCGACATCACAGTTGGGCCCAATGCTTAGGATCCAGCAGCCAGTGGCATTTCTGCCCATCCACACATCCAGTGAATGGGCAGAAGGGGAGCTCCATGCCAACAGAGTGAGATCAGCTGATGGCTGCTGGGAAGCTACAGAGGCCAGCAGGGCTGACAGACACTTCAGCCTGATCCAAACTCCACCTCCTGCCCAGGGTAAAGGGGTTGCAGTCACATACACCAGAACAAAATAAATGGAAAGACTGGAATGGCACTGAGCGATAACTTACTTAGCTTTTTCACATTTCTTTTTCTGCTGTAATTTAATATTCTGTGTTGTGATTCCAAGTGGCTATACAAGAAAGGCAAACGGTTACTAAAATTATCTTCTCTTTCCAATCTTCATAACTGGTTACACATTCATCATAAGTGCTTTTTCAGAGCTAGGATTTTGGGACTGTGCCCAAATGGAAAAGTGAGATGTGGCCACTCGACCAATAAAAACTATTAAACTGGTTGCCTCCAAACATTTTAAGCCAACAAACATGGTCCACAACTATACTTTCAACTGACACAACCTACGAGAATTTTCAGTCAACTGCTGGGGTGGGAGGTGACTAAATGCATCTTTGAATGATGGAGTGGTGTCTGCTGCCCTTACAGAATCACAGAATTGTAGAGTTGGAAGAGACCCCAGTGGTCATCTAGTCTAAAGCCCTGCATAGACAACCCCCCCTCCCCAATTTGGTTGCATGTTCCCTGTCTTTCTTGGGCTGTAGGAGAAGCTAACCCATACTCAATGCACTGTTCACTCCAACAAGCAAATGAATGAATGGAATGTGTGAAGGACAAAGAGAAAAGAGTATCTCTACTCATTTTGCTCTACCCACTATTGGTATGTTAGGCCACCCTTGGATTAAAGGATCAGGCTATGTGATCAACCCCTCCCCCCACTCCCCACCCCTTCTCATATTTTATCCCACAAATAAATAAGCTTTGATCATTTCTGTATCTGAACCAGCCAGCCCCAAATGGATCCAGCAAATTTTAAAGCTGTAATAGATTGTACAGAAGAATGTAGAATTTGCAGCGGAAGCTGATTAGGGCATTCATATTTGAGAACGACATCTTAACACATTTTAAAAATTATTGTCTACATTGAATTGTTACAGCCACATGATCATAATACAATGTAAGTAGTCTTACCATTTTTCTTCTAAAATGAAATGGATTGTGTTCTTTTGCCCTTTGTTCAGCCAGCGTTTGCAGATACTCAGCTAGCCTTTCCTTTCTCTTTCTTTTCATCCAAGTGTGTAACTCTTTTCTCTCTTTTTCTGTTTTACGTGAATGCCCACTCATTACACTGGAGAGGCTGGAATACAGCACAAAACTCAGACATAATTAACACATACTGTATTTTTTGCACCATAACACTCACTTTTTTCCTCCTAGAAAGTAACGGGAAATGTCTGTGCGTGTTATGGAGGGAATGCCTACGGGTGGCATGCCTACGGATTTTCCTCCTCTAAAAACTACGTGCGTGTTATGGTCGGGTGTGTGTTATAGAGTGAAAAATACGGTACTTCAAATAATTAGATGAAATAACATTTAAAAGCATGTAAAAGTAGCATAGCAATATATATGTCTGTTTTGATCTCAAAGCACTATAAAGTTTCCAAAAATATCAAGTGCATGGAAAACAAAAGTTAGTCCACAACTAGAACTGGATTTGGACCTCTCTCAAGGTAACACTAATAACTTTATCATGTATCTCAGTGAAGCTGTGTGGGGAGGGAATAAATATCCAAGAGATGGATGGGAGTGAAGCCTTCCAGCTCAGTCCGATCTGCCTCTAGGATAGAAACAGCAACGCAGCCTTCCCATGATTGGCCAAATTTGGGGCAGGCTGAAATCCACTTCCCCGGATGGCGTGGGGACCATTTTTGGTGTTGTGCTGGCTGGGACACCCCCCCCCCCCGAGTCATGGCCCATCGCTGGATAATGGCGGGGATGGGGTGGGGATGTTGTCCCACAATGCCACCTGAGCTGTAATTATTTACTTACTGCCTGCCTTCCAATGAGCTCAAGGTGGCATACATAGTTCTGCCCTCTATAAGGCAGGTTAGACTGATAGATAATAATAGGTCCAAATTCACCCAGTGAACTTTATGGCTGGGTGGAGATTTGAACCTTGATTTTCCAAGGTGTATCCTAATCTCTAACCACTCTACCACAATGTCACAGGTCATGTAGCAATTACCTGGTTATTTTTTTTGCTTGTGTTTCTGTGAGACCCAGCTCTGAAGCAGAAATGCCACCCTCAAGTAGAAGATCAGCAATAATGTCAGAAACACCACTCAAGCCAGTGATCTGCAGAGGACCTTCTGAAAAACTATTTTAAAAAAGCAATTACATTACTGCAAATAGGAAAAACATACCACTTCTAGAAAAAACTAGGGAGTCAAATTTGATGATACATTAAATGTATAATTGCAATTTCATACCCTTACTTAAACAAACAAACAAACAAACAAAAAAAAAGGCATTAGTGGAGACTTTCAATTTGGATCAGGACTTTGGGTGGGCAGGTGTTTTTTAACCCTTCCTCCCACAGGATTTCCCCATGTCCAGCTCTCCAGACAAATCTCCTATTTCAATATTTTCTCATACATACCTCTCATCCAATTCTTCTGATCTAACATTAATATCTGCAAAAAGAAACAGAATTTATTGACAACATAGACTGTAGAAAAGAAAGGCACCATAAGATACAACCAACATGGGACACTGTACAAATACATTAGGACAGAAACAGGAAAAGTGTGACCCTGTAGATGCTGTTGGATGCTAACTCCCGTCAGCCTAATGTCAGGGATCTTGGGAGTTGCAGTGTTTGGATTTGCTAAGCAGTCATCCATAGTTAATACCTTTGTATTTAGACAGTATTACATTATTCAGGGCAACTACCAAGTTTAGTGTTAAAACCATAGCATAAGTCTATCACTAAAAGGGACTGTGAGGACAATACTCTAAAATAAACCATGAAAGCATTGCCACTATTTTTTGGCAGCCCACATAATTTAAAAAGCCACACTTCAAATGCCTGTCATTTGATGATGAACAGAACAATCCTACAGACCTTAGTGACCCTACAATCATGTTTTACCAGGGCTCAACCATCCATCTGTGGTACAATGCCATTAAGAAAAATGATTTATGCAACACTCTCATGCCAAGCCTTTGTCTAGCTCTATAAGGAACAGAGGTAAGACAGGGCACCTCATATGGGGGATTATGGAGGAGTAAGTATAATATTCTGCCCATTTCTTTTTAATATGCAAAGATCAGAGGAAGCAGAATACAGAACAGAGGTAACAGCATAGGAAAGAACAATTTCCCAACCAGGCTCGACTTTATCTACTATCTCACACAGGTCCATGACATTTTCCTCAACCATTACTAAATTAAATGGCAAAGTTAGAAATGTTATGGAAGCAGAACTATTCCACATATGTGGCTACTATACAAATAATGCTAACTAAAAACAGTAAGCAGCATGATTATAGAATAATCAACAGGTAGGGAATGGTACCAGAAGATGACTTTTTGATTCTGGGAAGATTAGAAGCTGATGCTGAAGGAGAAGCAGAGGGTGTTTGCAAAGCAATGTAGTTAGTTTGAAATGATTCCGTTCCTAAACTCCTTTCCTCCTCTGTATAATTCTCCACAATCACACGGGTTGAATAGCGCTCTGTTTCAACAAAAGGATAATTGAAACCAAATGAGTGGACATCGATTTTTAGAAGCAACAAAACACATTTTTACAATATGTTCAGAGGAGCAGCCGTGTGAATCTCTTGTGGCAAAAACAGGAAAGGGTCTTGTGATACTTACAAGGGTTTTTAAAAATAAAAATCCAGTGTTAATCATGCTCAGAGTTTACCCATTGAACTTGTAATGAGTATGGGTTGCTCGTGCGTAAGTTGCCGCCTCTCCTGGCTATGTTGCCTTGTTAAACCTTTCTGTCTGGACAGCCCTTCACTTCGTGGCTGCCTTAGTCGCTAGCAGAATCCGTCAGTGGGCGTTTCTTAAACCTTTTCCAACATAAAAGTTGTTTGACGCCAAGTCTCCTCCTACTCTCCCTGCGCGGAAGCCTTCTGCGCAGGGAGGGCGTGGGTAGCGGAGGACCCGTGCTCTCCCCGCTGGTGTCCGGTGAAGAGTCCTGGAGCCCTCTCGCCGATTCCCCCATCTGCCCCCCTTTATCCCTGGTGTTGCGCTGATTTGCTTCCTCATCTGCTGAGCTGCCCCTCTCCCTGCTGGGCCCTTATCCAGCATCATTTGAGAGCCTTCCCTCCGCCTCTAGCTCCGATGTCAGTTCCCTGACAGAACTCAATGGACTTAAGTCTATTAAATTTACATAGATCTGCTGTGTGTGACTTAGGGTATTATCCAACTACCAAGTTCATTATGGGCATAAGCTTTTGTTGGCGATAGTCTCATTCAGATGCATGAAATGAATCAATACATCTATTAGGTCTTGAAGGTATCATAAGACACTTCCTTATTTTTGCAATATTTTGATACATTTGGATTATTTTACCTTTTCCCAATGCTCCCTACACTGTTTTATTCATTTCAAAATATTTTATCCAGTAAAACCTCTCTCCATCCATCTATCCTCACAAACTCCTACCACTCACCCTGAGCCCACTCCTGCTGCTGACAATTATTCTCAACTTTCCATAGATCAGCAAGCAGAATCAACAAGACCCACCTTCTTTGGAAACTTTAACACCTGGGGCAAAGAATGAGATGTCATCCTCTCCTGTACCTACATCTTCTACAGTGTCCACAACCTGAAAAAAGGAGAGAGATCACAAAGCCACACTTTAAACATAAATATTTCTCCAATCTTTAACACAGGCACAAAAAAGTTTTGAGCAGAAGGAAGCATATAAAACATAAACCTACTAGTTTAGTACTGCTAAATTCTTTTTCTATTCTTTCTGCCACGTTCTGTAGGGCCAGTAGCTGCCTATCCATTTCCTGTAGCTTGGCAGAAATGTGCTTTCTGCTCATTTTTCTGGCTAATGGTCCTGTGGAGGAAGCAGTGCTGAAATCCTCGTTCAGGAGGTTCAATGTTAGACGATCACCAGGAATCTCTGTCTCTGCTGGCTTGGATGGCGCTTGGGGTGATTCCGTTTGAAGAAGATCTCCTTTGAATCAAAAAAGTGGGGAAAATGCTTTTTTCATTAACTGCTAGAAACACAATATACAACAATGAACGCTACAGCTTTGCAGGAAGAACTTAAAGTGTGTTTTGAAGGGGTGCACATTCTCAGAGGAATTGTTCAATTAACAATATCAAAAGGAACTGGTTTTAAAAGCGAATATTTTGAAATAAAATGAAAATTGTTCACCTTCTGTCTCAAATTCTTCAGGTGGAATTGTATTGGTAACAGATGCTGCCATGTGATGCAATTTTGCAGAAGCTGGGAATTCAGACTTCATAGGCTGAGTGGCAATGTGTTTTGGAACAGACTCAGAAATATCTGGCAAGTTTTTCAGAAGATCACCATCTTCTATATCAATCACATTGATAAACTTCCGTCCAGTCTAAACCACATCAAAAAGATCAATATTAAATTTTTAGATGAAATTAGTGAACTACTCCCCCTTCAGTGGATGCATGAATATAACACACATGTTGTATCTATGTACTGCTGCATCATCAGCACATATTTCTCATAACTTACCAAATCAGATGTAATATCAGATGAGGATTGTAAAGACACATTTCCTGATTCAGCAGGGAAAGTAAGGTTCAAGTACACATCTGGTGGCAATGCCTGGGGAACACTTGCAGGTAAAAGCTCTGTGTGAAGAAAAAGAAATTGTTAAGTCACCATGGGCAGTAAATATCCAGGAATGCTGGAAAATATATTTGGACACAGTAGCAATAGGACTGATAAGAACATTGAAAACCTGAATATGCAATGACAGTAAGGTATTTTCCTCCTGTGCTGAACAGTGGGGGTTAGTTACCATATTGTCTCCCGCATACCACTGGGCATGCTGGCTGAGGCTGATGGGAGCTGGAATCCAACAACACATGGAGAGCCATGGGTTCCCCATCCCTGTACTACAAGTGGGAATGAGCCTCATGTGTCTCCTCCAGAAGAGGGATTCTGGCAGAGTTTACTAGACTGATGGTGCTCATTTCCATCAGAAAAACTTTAATTAGTTTTTCAAGGGCCTAGCTGCACTAGATGCAGCAAATGCATCATTGGATCACTCAGTATGTCTTCCCTTTTTTGGTTAAAAGCAACAACAGAGGACCTGTGATTCTGTTTGGAGCAGCAGCCCTGGGGGAGTGGGTTAACCCTTTACCTATCAAGGCAAATACAGTGGTACCTCGGTTTAAGAACAGCCCTGTTGACGAACTATTTGGTTTACGAAGTCCAAAAAACCGGAATCCAAACGGTGGAAGCGCGCCTCAGTTTCAGAACGGATTTGGTTTAAGACAGACTTCAGGAACAGATTAAGTTCGTAAACCGAGGTACCACTGTAACTGCTTTCAAAGGGAGAAAAGACTGCTTTCAAAGACTGAGAAAATTAAATGGGAAAGTTAAACCCTCTCCTCCACAAGCACGTTCTCAGCAGAAAACAACAACATCATGATGTGTGATGGGGAGTCCATTCGCTCTTAATAATAACATATGAAATACAAATACAAAATTTGCTCAAAAGTTTTTTTCTAAGGTCTTCACAGAAGGCAAAGACTAAATATTAACTTCTTAGTTATCTTTGAAAAACAAATGACAATAAAAGAGGGTATGTAAGTGAAAAACATGGTTCATCAACACTTTTTTGCCAATAAAAATCAACATGAACTTTATGTCCATATTAACTGGGGTAGTCTCATACTATAGTCATATATGGACATATATGGATTCTAAATCAGTAAAATAAAGTTTCTTTTCTAAAGGAAGATACAATGTGCACATATAAAAAAAATCAACATGGACAGACTGATGGCACACCTGCAATAGACGCAGAAGCAGGAGTGATTAGTTGATTTTTACCAGATTCAAAAACGATTTCTTCTGAGATGGTTTGCATATCCTCACAAGGTTTAACAACTTGATTGATAAAATAAAGAAAAGTCAAGATGAATCAATAGCAGGAAAGCACATTCTATTCTTTATTAAAATACAGGGATTTCCAAGGATATTTTGAATAATTTGGCCTTAGGAGAGCAAGTGAATTACTTGAAGATTAATTTAAGATAAAAAGAAATTAAAGATAAATTTAAAGATACCTGGCTGGATCCAAAGGAGTCCCTTCACGGACTGTCAGTTCAACAGATCTGCCTACTCATTTGCCAATTCTTCCTCCACCCTACAGCAGGGTTGGCTAACCTATAGGGCATATTTGGCTTCCCAAGCAGTTTCTGGTGTTCCTCAATTTATCTTATTATAAGGCAATGCTGAGAAACTTTTCAAAAATTATTTTTCACCAGCAGGTGGCACTGTTGAACACCACACCTAATAGGCTGAACCCCATCCTCAGATCTCCTAAGCAAGGAGGGGACATTATAGCGCCACATTTTATTTTTCCAAAGGGCCCTTCTCCCTCTGGTGTGGCACCCTTATTAGAATGTTTCAGAGATTCTTGGAAAACAGGAAGAAACTTGGCTACTGTGACAACAGGATGCTGAACTAGATGGGCCACTGGTCTGATCCAGCAGGTTAGTCTTGCATTCCTGAGTTCCTGTTTCCTCTCCTTCTAACAACGGCACCACAGATTTGTGCATGCACTGACATATGGTCTTTGGAGGGGCAGCAAACACTCAATGTGGCCAATCTTCAAAAAAGGTTAGTCCCCTGCAGCACCTCCCACACTATTCTCCAACACCCAGAGCAAATTTTTAGTCATTCCAGGAGACTTTGGGAAAAGTGGAACCCACCCAGAATGAACACATTTGAAAAACAAACAAGCAAGCAAGAAAACCAACAGTTCATACAAACAGACTGAAAGGAAGCACACCTGTTACAGACGCAGAAGCAGCGGTGATTGCTTGATTTTTATCAGGTTCAGAAACTATTTCATCTGAGACAGTTTGTACATCTTGATGTGATTTATTAACTTGATTGGTAAAGAAAAAAAGTAAAATCAAGATCAATCAACAGAAAGGCAAAACAAAACATTCTGTTATTTATTGAAAGAGGGTTATTTCCGGATGGAAGGAATGAAGGACTTGGTCTGAAGAGGACAAATTTCATACACAATGCTTAACACTGCAAAACTTATTGATTGCTATTTCTTCCACAGTTCTTAGGCTGTAATCCTAAACACACCCAGAAGTCACACTGAACACAATGTGACTTAGTTCTGCGTAGACATGCATAGGATTGTGCTGCTAGGAGATATTCTAATATAAATTAACTTAGAGGAAAGCAATTTAGCTGCAAATGCTAAAAAAGCAACAACATAATAATTTCCGGCAGGTTATTTTACCAGGATCTGTATTTGTAGAGGCATCTTGAAGATCCGCAATTCTTTTTCTTACAGAAGCCAAGTAATGTAGTCCTGCTGAAGAAATAACTGCCTCTGGGTCTAAGAGGGAGGAATACATAATTACTATCCACATCAAAATTAGTAGGGGAAGAAAACTATTTCAATAGTTTTTGCTAATTTCATTGTCTCAGCTGTACAATTAAAAATGAAGAAAACATAATTCATATTCAATAAAAAGATTAGAGAAACATTTCTGCATATGTAGGTGCGTTAGGTGAATCCTGCACTTATATCCATTATAAATATAATCACAATTTTACAGATGGGAAACTGATGCCAGGAAATAGTGATTTATTTCAAAATGAATCCACAAAAGCAGTGAATGCATGTAAAGTTATGACTGACAATTCATTCCAAAGTTCTTTGTATCTACTAGATCATGCTAAATATCACTGTCGTTCAAGATAAATACCATGGGTTGTGTTCCATCTTACTCCTATTCAGAGCAGACCAACGGAAATTAACGGGTATGATTAAATTCATTCATTTCAATGGATCTATTCTAAGTAGGACTTAGTTGGATACAACCTCATATTTCAATAGAATGGACAGGTCATAACTGGATCTTCCAATTTTAAAAGTTTTGTTGAAATACTCACTCAGTAAGGAGCCACCATCATTGAGGTCATAGCTGAATTCTGTTTGATTATCCTGACAGAAGAATAAATATGATTAAATTCATATAGATTCAACTGCTGCTAACGTATTTCAAGATACTAATATTATTTCAATACAATATGTTTAAATAAGAAATAGATAAATGTGCAACTCCTTTTGATTAAGAGATCATACATGGTTTTCTGTAACTTTCTTACAAATTATTATTTTAAATTTGATTCGCTTCTGTGATTCCCATCATCGTTTTAAAATATACCTAGGAAGCATTTGAGGGAGAGAAATTAAATAGGTTTTGTTCTGATTAGTCCATCCTGTCTGAAAGATCTACTAGATACACAACTGAAAAATTATGTATGTTAACATTGCTTACTTCATAGAATAAGTCTTATAATTGTTCTGCCAGAGTATAATAATAATTATTTTATTATTTATACCCTGCCCATCTGGCTGGGTTTCCCAGCTGAGCTGTTGTGTTGGCTGAGCTGTTTTGTCTATATGCCTTCCCTTTTTCTTTCTCCAGAGTTAACTTTAACAGGTCAGCATCCAATTTTTTCTTTGCCTCCTACTCAGAATAGGCAGGAACATGTGGGGCTACCTTTGAAGGTGACCCAGAAACTACAACTAATCCAGAATTTAGCAGCTGGACAGGTGACTGGGAGCGGCCGCCGAGACCACATAACACCAGTCCTGAAAGACCTACATTGGCTCCCAGTACGTTTCCGAGCACAATTCAAAGTGTTGGTGCTGACCTTTAAAGCCCTAAATGGCCTCAGCCCAGTATACCTGAAGGAGCGTCTCCACCCCCATCGTTCAGCCCAGACACTGAGGTCCAGCTTCAAGGGCCTTCTGGCGGTTCCCTCCCTGCGAGAAGTAAGGTTACAGGGAACCAGGCAGAGGACCTTCTTGGTAGTGGCGCCCACCCTGTGGAATGCCCTCCCATCAGATGTCAAGGAAATAAACAACTATCTGACTGTTAGAAGACATCTGAAGGCAGCTCTGCTTAGGGAAGTTTTTAATGTCTGATGTTTTATCATGTTTTTAATATTCTGTTGGGAGCTGCCCAGAGTGGCTGGGGAAACCCAGCCAGATGGGCAGGGTATAATTATTATTATTATTATTATTATTATTATTAGGAATTTCTTGGCTCTGGAGGTGCTACCCCTGGTTCCTTTTCTACCCTGCCCAGGATCAGACCTATTATCGTATCAGTGTCATTTCTGCTCTGCATTTAGCTGCTCTTTTCTCACTATGAGACTCTATACTTAATCTGTATAGTTTTTTGTGTTGTTGTTGTTGACCTTTTCACTGGCTGCACATATCTCTTGTTCTCCCTTCCTCTGCTCCAGAGCTGTTATTGGCAGGACAATGTCACACGAAACCTAAGGAAAAGAAATGCAGACATGTTCACATGGGTGGTAGCTCAGGCAGACCTATTTACTGAGCAATTGTACTGATTTGTTAGCAGGGAGGTTATATGACAATAAGCTTTGGACCTGATTTCCTCACAGGGTCTTCAAGTTAGTAATTCATTCATCCCACACTTTTCAGTGAATTTTCTCGTTACTTTCCTAACCACAAAAAGTCTGTTTCTGTTTTATAGTGGATTTGTTGCGCTAGCGCAAAAGAGCATTTCAATTGTGCAAATCTAAATCTCCCACTATGTGCTTGAATCCCTCTTGCTGAATACCGACAGCTTAGAAGTGCTCATTAAAGCAAATAATAGAGTCAACAAGATAATTATGAGTCAGAATTGCTGTATCACTGTACCTTTGCTTGCTCTACAATATCAGCTGAAACAACGGAGCCATCTTGTTGAAAAGTCACAGTTGCTTTCTTCCTTTCTTGCTTCTCTTTGATCTGTTTCTTGACACGCCTCCTCTGCCTATTATTACATTAGCATTTTAACAACATTCAGATAATTCTCTCTTTGTATTTAGGCAAATAGCAAAGTCCATCAACTGAGCAACCTAGGGATGGCACTAGTATTAAGGGACTCGCAGAAAATACAAATACCACCTGGTAAGCCTCTTTATATGTCCAGGTGTTCCCTGAGAATGGATTCATCTGAAAACAGCAGCAGGCAGCTGGGAAGTGGCTGTTTTATTTACTTTTACCACTTAATATCACAGTACAACAGAGATACAAATAATTAATTTTGTGTCTCAAGAGCATGTTTAAAAGGAAGCAAAAATGGGCAAGTTATATACTCAAATGACCATGAAACTGGACCACAAGACCCTGCCTGCCTCTCCCCGTGGTGTTTTGCACGGTGAATTGTGCCTATGGAGGTTTCAATATTTGATAGGAGAATTACTGTGAGTAGTTCCTCTCCAGGCTCATTAGGGATCAGAGACAACTCCCACACTTCTTAAAAGAAGCAGAGAACTTGTGGGGCTGAAGCCTCCTTCTTTAAAACAAAACATGTAAAATAACAAAAGAGAAACAAGACTGATGCTTGAGCTTGGTGGACTGAAAGGAACAAGAGACAGCAAATCAGAGTTTATTGAAGTTTCTGTGGATCCTAATCCAGACTAAAGTCAGCTTGCTATCTTGCCTCTGATTTGGCAGAAGAAACCACTGTTTCTGAACCAATACAACTAGAAGGGATAAATTATATTTGTTTTGTAATTTATTATCAGCCCATAGTTACTGCCTTTTTCTTACGTTAAGTTCACCAAAACTGATATGATCACATTTAGATAGATTGGTATGATCAGTACTATTTGTTCTTACCTTTTTTTATTATTCATATCTTGTCTCACTTCACGCGGTTTAAAGTTAGCTTTTAATAACTGAATCTTTTCAGGATGGTCTTTAACCCCAATGTGGGGGACTTGGACAACCTGGCGGCTTTGCTCAAATGCAATGATATTTTGAAGTGGGATGAGTTTTGGTGTTTGAAACTGTTTAGGAAAGAAAGCAGGATTTGATAATTATGTGAATAATGTTATTTTTCCCAAATTGGATGATGACTTTGAAAAGCAAAAGAGGTCAGATTCTGAAAATACTGAAAGACGTTCAAATTCCACTAATGTAAACGGAAACAACAATCAAAGGAAGGAGTAATGTTTATTAAGACATACTTAATTCTTATGCACATCTTTTAAAACAGAGATGGAGACTCTGTGCCCCTCCAGATGTTGCTGGATTCCAGCTCTCATCAGCCACAGCCAACATGGTCATTGCTCAAGGATAATGGGAGTCAAAGTCAGCGACATCTGGAGGGCCACCAATTCTCCATCCCTGTTTTAAAGGGAAGGTTAAATTATTTAATTAAAATATGTGTTATTTCTTAAGTTGATATCCTCCAAAGGATGCCCAGCAGCAAATAGTTCAGTAATAAAAATACAAATGAAAATAAAAACATAACATCTAAAAACAACAAAACATATAAAACATCTGTAGCAAATTTCAGAATGGATATAACCAAATCATGTGTCTAGACAGGCTGACCGAAACAGAAAAACTTTCAAAAGATATCTTTATGCATGCTTATATAGAATCAATTACCTTGGTGAGTGGAGGTAAATTAGTGTAAAGCAATGGCATTCCTGTCTGCGAAAAGGGGTCTATGGAATCAAAGTTCTTTTCCGAAAGTTTAGCAGGAGGCATAGTGGATGGATGCTTGTATTGTGAGTAGGGCTTCAGATAAAGCAAAGGAATCGGTGCAAAATTTTGGTAAGTTTTATGCAAGGGAATCCCATTGTCAATCAGTGGCTTCTCTGCCTTTAGATGTGCATGAAGGTGTTGAGAAGGCGCCATATTTTCTTTTTTCTCATATTCATCCAAATTAACATGGTTGGAATGACCCTTATTTACAGTTTCTGACCAACGGCCTGCCTGATCATAGTTGTTCAAATTTAGGTGTTCTGTTGTTCCTTTGTACTCTGGCATCTGTACACCTTGAGGACTCTTCACCAGAGGAGGAGGTACACCCCAGGCTTCTCTTTGTTTTGGGAATGGTCCATTGAAAACTTTTGGGGTTTTTACTGGGCAGATATTGAGTGGCTGGAACTGAAAGTCAGGTTTAAGTTTAAGCAAAGGAAGCCCAGTTGCATTATTTAAGGGTTTTGAAACTGGAATAAGCTTAGGTATCTTCTCAGCATTTAGGGAAACTGATAATAAAGGTAATGGTCTGGCTGGAACCTGATGAAGCAAGTTTTGAAATGGTGGAACCTGGCTTGTTCCAATGGTCTGGCCCTCTGGTAAGCTTGAAGAATCACTGATGTGCAGTGGGTTCTAAATGAGAGAAAAATATACTGTCACAAGGTGAACAGACAATGGCTTAATGTAATAGATGAAGACCCTAAATGAATTATAACTTTACATTTAAAAGGGCAACTCTCTACTTACTGAAGTATCTCCATTATGACTTTGATAATGCAAGCTGTTTTTCTCCTGAGAATTGGTGTTTTTCTTAGTGACACCACTACTGTTTTCTAGAGTTGTCATCTCTTTTACTGGCAAGTCATATGTTACAAGTTTTGGAGGAGTCCTACTGACATCAGTGCCGCCAGTGTTTGAAGCCTGGTTTCTTCCCAACTGAAAGGACTGTGACTGCTGCATCTGCTGCGACATATTTGGCAAGTTGGCAAATGATGATCCTACCACTTGCATGAGGCTCATAAAGTTGATCTGCTGCAGCTAGAATATAAACCAAAATCATGACTAAAAAAACCCACGACTTCATAATATTCTTATTCTATTGCACTGACTCAGCAAAGTGCAGTTATCTAGGAAGGCAAAAGTTTCTATATTTTAGTGAAATAATACCAGCTGAATAACACCAAGCATTCTGCTCAGGAAGATCATATTTCACAAGCACAGTTTTGTCCTGCGCAATTATTGCAAGTACTTTATTGTAGATGCAGAATTTTCACCAATATATGAATAAATGAATGAGTACACAGTCTTGCTCAACGGATCCTCTCAAGTCACATCAGACTCCCACACTGCTCAGAAACGCCTCCTTCATGTGCATATAGTCAAACTTCAGTTGTCAAACGTAATATGTTCCGGAAGCCCATTCGGCTTCCAAAACATTCGACAACTGAGGCGCCGCTTCTGATTGGTTGCAAAAGCTTCTTGCACTCAAGCAGAAGCCCCGTCGGACGTTCGGCTTCTGAAAAACGTTCAAAAACCAAAGCATTTACTTCTGGGCTTTTGGTGTTCGGGAGCTGAAATGTTCCAAAACCTCAGGAGCCGAGGTTTGACTGTACTTAAAGTGTGGAGTGTACCCATCCGCTCCACTCCCAAGTGGGCTGCCGCCAGCTCTAACCCAACCTCCTAACATTCAGCAGAGCATTGGAAAGAAACTCCTATATGGATAAAGCTGAAAGTGCCTACAGGGAACCCTGATCCCATAGGATTCATGCAAATGCACAAAGCACAGGCAAGTATTGCAAGGACAGTAGCCACAGTCCCCCTCCCTGCATTAAACAAGTATGTGAGGAGGCGAGTATTTGAACCCCCATCTGTGTCTGTCCCAGAAGCTGCCTGAGTACCATATGTAACCCCCTTTGAGGAACAACATGATGAATTAGTGAAATGTACACAAACAAACAAGGAACTTCTTCTGCTATAAGTGTTTCGGACATGTCCCCCAGAAGAATTCTAGCAGGCTCAGGAACACTTTTTCATAATGAATATTTTTTACCTGAACCAATTTAAACATTTCATCTTGCAGCATTTGCCTAACAGCATCTGAAACGTTCGGTGGTTGTTCCGTTGGTAAAGTAGTGTTAACTTCTTCGTTCTTTGGAACCAGAGGACTACTTGAAAGAACACTTGACACTGCAGTGAAAGAAGCCCGTTCATCTGAGACCGCAAGCTGTACACTGCAGAAGCAGAGGGAAAATATACCTGAGACAAACTAACTTGTAAAATACCTAGATTCTGATCACTTCACATATAAAACTCCTAATCTGATATAGTGTTTGCCCCCAATCTTTCTACTGCTGGAGACAGTAACTTTGGCCATTTACAGGAATATAAAGATGTGCCTAAGAGTTTTGTTTTGTCTGACAGCTTGTCATTTGCAAACTTAACACAGTAGACTAGGAAATATTTTTAGTGATTTTTCTCATTAACAATTAGAAATGTGCTTATAAATATACAATCAATATGTCATACATATGCTGTCTTTTATAGGCTCAAAATGGCTAATAGCTTTCTCTTTAAAGCATATTATCTACAAAATTGCTACTTTAATCAACCACTGTGAAAAAGACAGAAAAAGTAGGCTGTACTTAAGATACTTGATCCTTAATGCTGATAAGACATGAGATGTTAAATGAGTATTGACACAAGGAAATGGAGTTCAACTTGGAATTTAGTACTAGTAGTACTTCCTAGAATACCTAGCAGTTCCTTAAACATCTACCAATCTAAAATCAAGCAGATAGTTCCTGTTTAGAATGTGTGGCCTGGTAGACTCAATCCCCTGCCTTGAGTGCCACAGACATTGAAAAGAAGGTTATCTGACTGAACCCTTATGAATCCAGGCTCAAAAGTAAACTGAATTGCTCAGCCACTACCTGTATGCAGTAGCAGACAACGGGTTGCAAAACTTTTGACGCAAACAATGTATCTTTAATTATAACTTCAACTTTTCACATGAAATGGCCAGAAGCGTTATTAGAGATTAAGTTGACAGATGACCTTATGCCTAATATTTAAAAAGAGCTTCTTAGTTTCTTTTACCTAGTAGTTTCTGACTTCATTTCAGGGCAAAATGAGCATGGAGTGTTATTGGGAGTTGTCTCGCATTTTGTATGGTAAATACTGTAGAGAGAAAAAATATATCAGGTCAGGATTTTTTCATCACATTAGGTATCTTGATTTGAATGCATGTCAATTATATTAAGAGAAGTTATACTTCTTTATTCCTTTGATCCTACTTAAAACACAATCGGCCAATTCCGAGGGTGCTTGCTGGCCCCACATATTCAAGTGGGGATGGAATGTCTGTATTATGTCATATGCTCATAAAAGCTGGCCTGCTTTGTAGGATCAAATGAAGTAGTTCTGTTCAGACTAGTGCAACTGATTTTCTCCTCCATCTTTTCCCTCTGTGCACTCCCTAATTCTCTTCTAGGTTGCCACCCACTCCACTGCCAAAGCTCTGAAGACAAATTTGGGAGAGACACAGGGAGAGGAAGTTCTGTTGGCAGAGTGGAAGTCCTTGCACAAACAGAAAGACTGCAACTTTCACCGCAACATCTGAAGAAAAGTAACACAATATGGTGTCCCAGGAAATAGAATTACTGAAAGTTCTAATAAAATCAGAGGAAGGGGTAGAGGAGGGAAGGGAATCCCCATGAGATACAGTTCTTTGTACAGGTTAACAGGATTTTTTTTGGACTGGGGCCCTTGCAAACACCAATGGCCAAAATACCAAAGCAAAAAGGTGTCTTTTGAGCACCCTTCCAATAAATTTTGTGCTAGGTTTGTTTTTCAAAAAATCAAGTTTAGATTCATGTAAATCTGCAGGAGTCTGATAAAACTAAACTGCACTTTTAAGTAGTACATCCTTTTCTTTGATGATGAATTTAATGTCAGGTATCTAAACTTCCCTTAAACTAGAAAATAGTTAAAGCACAATTTTATTTTATTTTAAATTAAGGATATAATTTCTCTCACTTATCCAGCTTGGTAAATTTTTCCTCCAATGTTTCCGTCAATGGATCTTCTGGTGGATATTCAACATCTGATACAGACGGCTGCTGTAATTAAAAAAAAAGGCTTTTAAGTGCATTTGAGCATGTTAGCATGCAATTGTCTCACAGAAACACCTTATTTAAATCTATACAGTCCAATGGTGACTGCTTGGGTCCTTACGGCTCCTGCTGAGGAGTGCCCAGCAGTAGAAATGTGTCTGGTTTTCTTAGCTACTGGTGGTAGGGAAATTCTTAAGACCTGCTTCAAGACCCAGAAGGAGCAGAAAAAGATGGTGGGGGTGGAGTGGGGAAAGGAGGAGCTGCTGAGGTAAAAAATGAGCTTTTTGGTTTTATACGGTTAAATGGAAAATATCCAGGTAAAACTCAGGAGAGAGAGAAAACAGAAGGTAAGGTGAAGATCCCAAGGAGGATGTGCTCTGAGCTGACACAGGAAACAGACTGAGCCTCAACAGGCAGAAAAGAGCAAAGACTTTGAAGTTTAGGTATTTTTTGTTTGCAAGCTTTAGGGCATGCAATGCAACCTGCTTAGAGACCTCTCCATGAGAGAATGTGCATATGTGCACGTTCAAGTGAATATATTTTACTCATTGCTGTGGTAACTTGCCTCTTTCTTTCGTTGTACCGATTTAATGCTGACAGAAATGGTAGGACTCTTTGAAACTGCAAACGGATCTTCATGCTCTTTAAAATAAAAGGCACATAAAGAGAAACTAAATCACTATGGGGACAATCCAGTCTATTGCCATCCCTTCCCAACTGTAAACACCCTGCTCCATGCAGATTATCAACTGATTATCTCCTAAAAGTGTGTATATTCCAAGGCCAGTGGGACCTGCTACAAAATATCCTAAGAAGAGTACTCATGTTAAATGGCCTGGAGCAGGAACCTGGTAGTACTGTTCTGGCTGCTTGTGGGATAGGGTGTTTCAGGAGTGGAGAAGGAATAAAGAGCACTTCCTATTTTCCTTCCAGCTCTCCCAAGCCTTCCCCTCAAACCTACTTTACAGTGATATACTGGGAGCAGGGGCACATAGTTCTGAAAAAGACACTAAACCACCCCTACCATTTACTAGAAACTGCCAAGGGCTTCCTCTGCCCTTTATTTTCCTTCATTCCACTTCCTTTTAACTGACATATGAACAATATGTGCCTCCAATTGCTCTCAGCCACCTTTTATATTTTCGTAATGGTTGCAGGGACCACCTGAAAGTGCTGTGAGAGCCACTATTTGTAAGCAACTGGCTTAGGCTTTAACTATAGATAAAAAGCATAGCTAGAGGCTGAATATTAGAGTATGAATTCTGGAGAAACAGCAGGCTCTAGCAGTTGTACTAGTTTAAGCAGATATATAGGTCTTTGTTACAGAAAGGCATTGTTTTAAAATTTGTGTAAAATAGCAGCTTAATATCATGTATGTGGATCTCTGTAGAATTAAAAGGTAAAGGACCCCTGACAGTTCAGTCGCGAACGACTCTGGGGTTGCAGCGCTCATCTTGCTTTACTAGCCAAGGGAGCCGACATTTGTCCGCAGACAGTTTTTCTGGGTCATTTGGCCAGTATGACTAAGCCGCTTCTGGCAAAACCAGAGCAGTGCACGGAAACGCCGTTTACCTTCCCGCCGGAGCGGTACCTATTTATCTACTTGCACTTTGACATGCTTTTGAACTGCTAGGTTGGCAGGAGCTGGGACAGAGCAACGGAGCTCACCCCATCATGGGGATTCGAACCGCCGACCTTTTGATTGGCAAGCCCAAGAAGGCTCAGTGGTTTAGACCAGTGTTTTTCAACCACTGTTCCGTGGCACACTAGTGTGCCGCGAGATGTTGCCTGGTGTGCCGTGGGAAAAATTGAAAAATTCGAAAGATTTTTTAAAAAAATTATTCAAATTTTCGCCCACTAGGCGGGTGCCGGACTGTGTCCTGGGTATGGGGGGGTGGGGTTTTTGATCGATTGGTGCTCCTCAGGGGGACACCCTCCACTTTTCTGATGTCCGGGCTGTGATTGGTCCAGACTCCAGCCTGGACCTATCACAGTAGGACATCATCTTCTGACTTCCTTCCCGCCCGAGCACAGTGTGCGCAGCAGCGGAGAGAAGAAGACGTTGCAACTCGAGTCACCAGGAGGACCGGAGAAGTTGTCATTTTATTTCTCTTCAGTCTCCACTGAATGCCTTGACTGGGTTAGGGACCCTTATGGCTCAGCATCAGTTGGTGGAAAGGACATGACTTTACAGGAGCAGGAGGAACTAACTGAACTGAGACAAAATCGTGGTTTCAAGCTAAGATTTGCTGATCTACCTTTGGACAGTTTTTGGTTGGATACTGCCAAGGAGTTCCCCCTTCTGGCAAACAAAGCTATTTTGACATTGCTCCCATTTTCCACTACATATCTGTGTGAGATGAGCCTTTCAAGCATGATTGCTATAAAAACTAAATACAGAGAGAGACTGAGAGCTGTTGACGAAGAGCTACGTGTGTGCCTTTCTTCGATTCCAGCCAGAATATCAGCTTTGTGTTCAGCCAAACAGGCCCAGGTTGCGCACTGAATAAAGTATTTTATAATTTTTCATATTTCTGTTTACTTACTATTTCATAATAAAGTAATTATAAAATACTTTCTTTGTGTTTATTTGATTCCTATTCAAGAGAATTACTTTATATATAGTCAATATAGGCACAGAGTTAAATTTTTTAACATTTTCTAATGGTGGTGTGCCTCATGATTTTTTTCATGAAACAAGTGTGCCTTTGCCCAAAAAAGGTTGAAAATCACTGGTTTAGACCACAGCGCCACCTGCGTTAAAAAGAAATAATTATTTTAATTAATTTAAATTTAACTAACCTTCATTTTCAGATGTCACATCTTCATTTGATATGTATTCCCCTATTTCTTCTGTCTGAAGTTTGACAGGATTTCTTTCTTCAATCTCTACACCATGTGTCAAAGGATGATCCTTGAAATTAATTTCTTTCTTCTCAGACTGCTTTTCATGTAAGGTCCTATACATGGGAAAAGATTGCAAGAACTGAAGACTTCAGACTGTAGACAGCCTTTCTTAGCATCATGCTCCAGCTCCTGACATTCTAAGCTCTTACATGAAACTGAACAATTATTACCCTGGAAGACTTTCAAAAGGTTCGCCAAAGGCATGTCCATCTTGGATACCAACTGGAGTCCCAACTGATGGAGAATAGCCTGTATCCACACTGATGTCTTTCTCTAGTTTGGCTCTAACAGTTGAAGTACTTGCATACTGTTTGTGTCGTTTCTAAACACAAAACAAAACAGAACACACATATAATTTCTATGTAAATACATGACTAGCAATGTTTCATCACCAACAATGCCCCACAAACTCTCTCTATATTAATGCCTTTATCTAGCAAGGAAGATCTGCCTGCCTAAGGAGAATGGTGAGCATGCAACCAATTTGGATCCAATGAACTGGATGTGGACTTCTGATATGGATTCCTCTCTGTGGAATTAACAGTGGAGTACAACTTGCTATATGCATACTAGATCTAGATAGAGTTTGAAGTTGATGTTCCTCCCATACCAAATTTGTTCCTGTGAGCATCTTAAGCTTGACAGATTTTTCTCAAGTACGTACTTCAATTAGGCTGCATCTTAAATAATATATTCTGCAAGTTAATAAAGAAAATTATCAAACTTGTTCTTTATACAAGGCTTTGCTCTACTTAGTTATTATTAAACTTCTCAAATTAAATGCAAAGCAATGAGTTCAATGAACAAATTGTTCTTATAGTATGGTATTTAGATACATTAGAAATATTACATGTCAAAACTTTAATTACATAAATACCATAGCCCTAGTATTTCTCACTCAGGTCTTCAAGGCAGTCAAAGTGCATCACAGAAAGAACTTGTATGTTTATGGAATGTCTGTGATCTCCTAGCAACGGCACTACAGGCAGTTACTTCACATTCTAAACACTCAGCCAGCATAAAAGCATGTTATGCAATCAACAAGAAAGAAAGTATGACAGCATTTGCTATAAGCATTTTGAATTATATTTCAACACTGAGGCAGACCTATCTACAGTGCATTCACCTAAAATACGTCTCTCATGAAATATGTGATTATCCACATTGTCTCCTAAAGATACAGCTGAACATTATAGTATTTTCATGTTCCTCGTCCCTGTCGGTTTCCTTTTTTATAAACAATTCTAGAATCCTAGAATTCTTGGCTTAATAGGTTAGTCCAACCTCCTCCAAAGCAGAAATCTCAACTACAGCATCCATGAGAGATGGCCACACAACCTCTGCTTCAAAACATCTAAGGAAGGAGAGTCCATCACCTTCTGAGGGGGGTCCTGTTCCACTTTCTAATGGCTCTTACTGTCAGAACGTTCTTTCTGATGTTCAGTCAGCAAAGTGTTACCTTGTGCTACTCTCTCAAGATGGAACAGGGCTTAATACATGCAACTGGGAACATACGAGAACATTGTACAGACAGTTTAGCACATCATAATTTCCTATCACTCCTGGGGGGTGGGGAATTGTACCCATATTTCCAACACATCGCAAGAACTGTGTGCACTAGTTGCTCCAAGTGGTTGCCGACTGGACAATTAGAAGTCAGCTGACTTCTAATTGTGGGATTTGGTAGGAGTGTGGATTCTGAAAATGACCCATTTTCGTACATCAGTCCAGGAAATGCAAGTCTGATGAGTCTGCTTCATGAATCACATTTGCTAAATTCATCCCCCACCCTGACACAGAAATGAGTCCAACTGAGTTTGATGTTGTTTACTCTCAAGAAAGTGTGAATAGGTTTGCAGCTTAAATATGGCACAGTGTGGAACAAACAATAAATTAAAGCCCCCCAACTACACTACAGCTTAGAAAGTGTTTTCCCTCCTTAATACATACAAGAGTTGGGGAGAGGTCTGAGTGACTGTATACAATGTTGCTCACAATGGATATTATTGAGATTCTTACATTTGGGGGAAGTTACATTTAAAATAAGATATAGAATGCAAATATTCCTGAGGCAAGTATTAGGAGTTAGGAAATGTCCACTCTAAATTTGTGGTCTTTCTGTATCCAGATTTTATTTGTACATTGATGCATATTAGCTAGCAACCAAACCTGGTGGGTTTAATTTCTCTTACTTACCCAAAGATGGACATTTTGATTTTGTGATTCACTGGAGAAATTTTGCTCTAAAAGCCACAATGATGTAAGTATGGCAGATGCAGATGTTTTTACATGCATCATTGGCTGGCATTCCTGAAATGGCTGTGTGGAGATGGGATCATAAAGCAGTCTTCTATCAGACCATCTGATCATCCATTCAAGCAAGCGAGCTACTTTGTTAAATTTAAAGTTCATGTCTGGAGTTGGTTCTGTTCTTTGTAGAATATCGGTTACCTGAACTGCTTTGTAGATATATCTATGAACAGGAGCTGTTTGGGGGGAAGAAGTTTGTTCAGACAAACGTTGAGTTAATACAGGCGCAAGAGTTTTTTCTTTACAGGAATCTCGTGCACCATAAATTGATTGCTGGCTTAGACCAAATAATCCTCTTCTTGCAGTGAGTCTCATCACTGAGTCACAAACAGAAGTCTCAAGCACAGCTGGTTTATTAGAAACCTTTTTCTTATCATCACACAAAGGATCCAGATTAGCAGCACTGGGATCAAAAACAGGAGTGTAGCAAGAACCAGCCCTAAAAACATGTTGGCCTTTATTTCTGATCTGTCGACGTTTTAGTGTTGTGTGAACATCAAAAAGGAAAGAGTTGAGTTCATGTTCCCTAAGGAGTGTGGAAAAGCTCATCAGAAAAGGAATCATAGAGTCTTTGTTATTGACCAGATCTCTTTCAAGCATGTATGTTAAAAACAGATCTAAAAACTTAACATATTCGTCATCATCACGTTCAAATTCCCATTCACCGACTAGAGGCAAAACATGCTGATTGGTTAAGTCTTTGCAGTTCTCTTTTATAATACGTTTTCCTTCTACATTGAAGTCTTTTAGCTTTTCAGTACTTCCACCGTATCCAGTCAATTCTCCTGCACAGTTGGAAACTTCTCTACAAGAGATCACAACAAATAGATTAGACAGGGCAATCAACTAACAAATGACCTCTTTTTCTTGAAAAAACCCACAAACAAATTAAATACAGTGGTACCTCTGGATGTGAACGGGATCCATTCCGGAGCCCCGGTTGCATCCTGAGTAGAACATAAGATGCGACTGCGCATCGCGTTTTGCCGTTTTCCCGCATGTGCGTGATGCCTGTCATTTTGCGTGTCTGCACATGCGGCGAAACCCGGAAGTAATGCGCTCTGTTACTTCCGGGTCACCACGGAGCATAACTTGAAAATGCTCAACCTGAAGCACATTTAACCCGAGGTATGACTGTACATAAATGCAGGTTTTCTGTTTTCAATACTGGTAACATGACTCAAAACGTCCATCTAGCCATTAAAAAGATCACCAACCTTTTGGGACTAGTAGGGACATTCCAAATTTTGATAAACTGTGTGCGGCAGTCACAAATGGCTGCCATGAGGGCATGGTATAACATGAAATGTGAGTATAATCACTGCTGCTCCCTCCACCATGAGACAACCATATGCATGCTGTGGAAGTTACTTATGTCCTACTGGTCCTGACTGTGGAGGTCATATAATATTGACTCCCCCACCTTCAAATACACCCACCCACCCATGCTGTTGCTGTCTAATAAAAACAGGCAGAATTTCCCAGTACCAGGAAAAATATAAAGCAACAGTAGGCATTGTAACTCTCCAACGGTTTGACTTCATCCCCGAAGGCGCACTCTTCCAATGTTTCCTGAGATTGATACCAAAAAGGGGCACTCCTCCCCAAATTTAGAAATTCCCTTCCAAAATCCTATTAAAAGAAAACACATCCCCCACCCCTGCCAAAAAACATGAGGGCCACCAACCTGGTAGCCACAGGTTCTGCGTTAGCAATCCCTGCACTATTATTAGAATAAAAGATGAAAATAGTCCTGCACCAATTACAGTGGTACCTCAGGTTACAAATACCTAGGGTTACAAACACTTTGGGTTACAGACTCCACTAACCTGGAAGTAGTACCTCGGGTTAAGAACTTTATCTCAGGATGAAAACAGAAATCGCGCGCCAGCAGGCCCCATTAGCTAAAGTGGTACCTCAGGTTAAGAACGGTTTCAGGTTAAGAACGGACCTCCGGAATGAATTAAGTTCGCAACCAGAGGTACCACTGTACAGCTGTCAAACTAATGTCAACTCCACATGGAATCACAATTGTTAACTGAAACTGAAAGGATTATTAATTATACCTTAATATGATCATTTCAAAACATTTTTTTAATGTCTTCCTGGTAGGGAAACAACATTTTTCAATCAATGGAGGCTGACAGTAGACTCACACAATGTTGGGCAGGCTACAAATAAAATAAAATAAAATAAAATAAAATAAATAAATAAATAATAGTTACTACTACTACTACTCTGCTGAGTTTCCATGTAGTTCCCAGACACTGATGGAGCTACAGAAGCAGAATTGCTTGTTACTATCCAATGCACCCCTACCCGGGAATATACTCCACTGAATACAGTGTAGCTTATTTCCAATTAAGCATGCGGAGCAGTTACATTGGACTTTTCTCGACTGCCCAAGTATTAACTTGCTATGAAGGGCTGGAAGGTGAAATGAACTATATTCAGCAATATCATAAACTCATACTTGTGATGTTCTTGCGTCTGAGAAGAAACGTGCCTTCTTGTTTCTTCCAACATCAAAGCTTCTGAGATTGAGTCCGCTGTTTCAGCATCACTATAAACCTGAGAGTTTCCCAGATCTGAAATTGTGCTTCGGCTTAGACTAGTTCCCAAAGAAAATCTATCATAGCAATAAGCTTCAGGATCTTGTGTCTCCTCTTCTGGTGGCTCCCAGATGCTTCTTTGATGGGGTCCTATGTTCCTTATCACACGCTTTAATGTTTTCATATTCACTTTGTGCGAAGCCTGTATTACAACAGACATTATTTCTTCATTGTTGGGACCTAATCAAAGAGACATGAGATTTGTTACTATGCTTTTTCTACAGAGACTACAGTATATACATACAAAATGCCTTTCAAATAACATATGACCCTTTGAACATTTCCACCCTTTGAACATTCCACCACTTTCTAAGGGGTGGTATTTTGGTTTGCTTTGTGTTGTTTTTTGTTTTTTTTTTAAGAAAATGCTGACAAGTTAGTTGTCCACTTTGTTTTCATCACCACTAATGGTACCTTTGACTACGCAGTGTCTAAGTCGCTGGTGCAGAGCATTATATTTATCTCTTAATGGGACTCTTACATCATCAGGGTTTGGAAATGCTTTCACCAAAATTTCTGCCACCTGTACAAAAGAACAATGTCAAGATAATTTTAAGCTAATTAACATAGGTTCTGGAAGATCTACACACAACAACAAACATGAAAAAGAAAATATTAATAAAGGAAGCTAAACTCTGTAATCCCCTATAATTTCTGATCTAGATAATATTACCTTTTTGGTTGGTGGCAATTCTCCAGTAAGGCTTAAAATTATATCCTGTACAAGTTCTTCAACATTCATGAACCTAGCAAAAGGCAGCATTCGGCAAGCCCACTCCAATGCACTGAAAGAGTGTTCAACTATACAGGCATCAAATTCAGTTGTCTTACATTCCTAAAGAAATAACACAAAGCAATAGGTGTAAAAGTCTCAAACTACCTGTGATGGCAGCAGATCTGTTTGTTTAAACCTAGGTATGTCCCAATAACATATAAAATATGGAATTGGGTCCAAGTCCCAACTTTAGGAGCAAAAAGGAGAGCATAGGTTGAGAAAACTAAACTCTCCCCCTCCACAACCTTCCCTTCCTCCACATTTCCCCCCAGATGATACTCAACACTAGAAGCAAGTTCAACTGGAAGATACATGAACATGTTCTCTGTTTCTTTTGGGTCCTTCAGAGATGTGTGCAGCTTCTCACCTGGCAAGCCCCAGGTAAACAGAGGACATGTGTGAAGACTTGGGAGACTTTATTCAATTCTGCTGCTTCTATATCCGTCCCCGCCCCCCCAGAAATTTTAGAGGAAGGCCTATAGCTCAGGGGAATAACATCTACTTTGAATGCAGAAGGTGCTAGGTTCAATCCTCAGCATCTCCAGGTAGGATTGTAAGAGACTACTGACAATAGTGAGCTAGATGGACTACTGGTTTCACTCAGCGTAAGGCAGCTTCCTAAGTATGCCTGAGAATGCAGGCTGTGGACAGAGTTCAGCACTGCTACAAACTCTGCTTTGGCTTTTAAAACTGGACACATGCACCCATTTTATAAGTGAGTGGGGTGGATCTGGGCTAAAACTAAGACGTCTGCATTGTATCTATATTGTGAGCCTCAGTCTTGGCTGTTTTTTTGAGCACAAACATGTCATTTATAAGATGGCCATTTAAGAGCAATGGAAAGATGACAGTATGGTTGCCTATGATGTTAAAGTTCTATGCTATTAATATTACCTTCTGATTTTCCAAATTCTCTCTTGCAGTTTGGTACCGTCTGCAACTGTCAGATAATCTTTCACGAACATGAAACATCCAACACAATGCGCATAGTTCTCTAAAGCATGCTGTGAGAGCAAGCCAGAGAGATAAAATCTTGATCAAGCAAGAGAACAAGAATGTTGTAAAATAAATATAAATTATCAACATTTTCACTAAAAATCATTAACTTATAAGTGGCAGTATCTAAAAAAATGTTGGTTTTAAAAAATGATATTTGCTCACAGACTGTTGTAGCAGCATGTTTTGTCAATAAGCTTCAATTGGAAATACTAATTTTTAAGAAGCATATTCCTCATCCTATGGGCAAGTAATATTTGATAGACTTTCCTGGGGGGAAAGACAGGATTAGTACATAAAAGGGAAACAATGATTTAGGTGATAAAGTGGTCCATTGCACCTTCCAGGTTCTTAAATAAATCTGACCACATTCCCAGATTTGGGGTAAATTAAATTAGCCTACTTATAATGGCTTAAAATAGCTTATAATGGTGCATTCATGTTGGAATACAATTTTGTGGCATTTCATTAAGGGAGAGGAAATCCAAATGTTTTTCTGCAAAATTCACATTGATCAGACTACATTCACTTTAGATGTCTTCAGGAAGCTTCATGAACTTCTGTTCAGCACTGTTTCATGACATAAAAGCCCCCAAAAGAAAAAATGATTCTTTACATGTGGGGACTGAACTGGCTATGCTTTGCAAGAGGTTCCTTCTAACTTTGATGAATACACCCTTAAAGTACTTCTAGTAGACAGACCTGTCTACTGATTGAGAGTCAACATGAAAAGAACTAGAGCTGAGAATCTGACTCTTCGTTTTTATACCCTTTTCAACAACAGGTCAAATATTATATTTAGCACATCATTTTCAAGTCTTAGGAGAACAAAGGTAGCTTTCACAGTAAGTGATCAGTAAAATGGCAAGGAGCTGGAACAAAGGGTCTTTGCTATCTTCTAGGTTCATTGGCTAAACTAGTAGACAAATACCTTCAGAACGAAGGGTGGGTGTTTCAAAAGGACCATTGTGAATAGGCATTGCCACTCCAACTTGACCTTTTACTCCATTTCAACAATTTACAGCATCTGTGCACTTTTCTCTAGATACAAACCTATAGTTTTACACGAAACACTGTCAAGTCCATGATCACCAGAAGATGTAGGCCTTAAGAACACCGTATGACATTTAGAATAATTAAGCAAATTTTCTGGAAGAGCACTTAATGAGGGAAGAGCACCTTTCTTGCGAATCTGAAAGAGCGGAAAAAAGGAAAAGGTTACAAGAGAACAATTTAGATAAACAAGTGTTCCTGAAAAGACAGAGGTGTTATGTGTCCCAAGTTCTCATTTCTGGGACGTCTGGACATTGTTACATGTCCCTAAAGAAGCATTTTCATCTAGGTTACATGGATGCTGACTAGGCCAGAGACATAAAGGATTACAAATCAACAGGTGGCTTTCTCTTTATGTTTGAAAATGGTCTTGTTTACTGGGTCTTGTTTACTGTAGCTTTTTCTGCCACAGAGTCAGAGTACACAGCTGCAACAGAGGCATGCAGAAAACTGGTCTGGATTGACCAACAGACTATGGACTTTGGGTTGTTTGGGGAGAAACCTGTCTGATTGATGGAGCACATCCAAAGCTATTCAAAATTATCTCAGAGCAAGAAGTTTCATGCAAGAACTAAACACATTATTAGGATGAAATACCACTATGTGAGTCAGGTGATATAAGATGAACTTGTTGAATTGGCACACTGTCAAACCTAAGAAATGAAAGCTGACATTCTCACCAAGCCCCTACCAGGAGAGTTTCAAGAACCTTCTCGTCAAGATGGGATTCTGGGTGGTTCATTAATTTACATGCAATTGTTATATTTGCCTGGGAAGGGATTTATGAGATAATCAGCCTCATATTACCAACTTGCTTACATTTAATGAATGAATGAAGGGGTACTGTATGAAGAGTATGCTGTCCTGCCTGGCTTAGTTAAGTCACTCCCCCATACCTTGGGAGGAAAAGTTATCAAGGTTTATTAAGCTTTTCGTTCCCCCATCACTCTACCATGTGAACTCTGACATGTAAATTGGTCTGGGCTGGCTGCTGCAAGCTCAGACTGCATGGTTTTCTACAAAACCATCTTTGTGTTTCTATGCAAATATTTTAGAAACATTCATCACTTTTGAATCTATATTTTGTCTTTTCTTAATGCTATATGGACAAGCACATGAATCTGACCTTTGAATAATTTGTAAGTACAGTCATACCTTGGGTTGCGTGTTTTTGGGTTACGGACTGTGCCGAACCCGGAAGTACCAGAACGGGTTACTTCTAGGTTTCGGCACTCGCGCATGCACAGAAGCGCTAAATCATGCTTTGCAGAAGTGCTGAACTGCATTACGCGAGTACGCAGACACAGTGCTGCGGGTTGCGAACATGCCTCCCGCACAGATCACGTTCGCAACCCGAGGTTCCACTGTAAGCCATTTTTTACTTACCAAACGTGTGGTCTCTTTCTAAGCTAAGGAAAGAGAGGAACTTTGGAAGCAACTTAGAAGGGGATATTTTAAAGGTCTAACAGTCTATAATTACATATTTACTTTGTTGCATATTTTATTTTTAAATCTTTGCTGGGGTTCTCACACCAAAGAGTTCTTGCCCCAAACCTGGATCTAGGCAACCAGGAATTCTCCTTTTTATTACATGTCCCCCCTTTCCAACCAAGATTCAAAACCCCAAATATCTGAAAGACTTGCCTCCCTCCCTACAGACCCTCTTGAGTGCTGAGATTGGCAGAGGGGGCCCACTTGGTACTTTCTCTGCCCTCAGAGGCTTGAGGGCTGGCAGCCCGGGAGAGGGCATTTTCTGTGGTGGCCCCTAAGCTGTGGAACTCACTCCCCACAGAGGTGCATCTGGCACTTCATTATACTCCTTCCATCAAATGCTAAATCTGCACCTCTTTACCCTGCCTATTGACACTTGAGGTGCATTTTATAGATCCCACCTTATACTTATTTCATAAAATTTATTCACCACGTAAAGTGGCTTACAAAAAAGAATAAAATCAATAAAAAATCACAACCATATTTAGCAGCCGACAAAAGTTAGTTATTATCAGTTATAAGAAAAGTTTAAAGCACTTTCATCAGTATACCTTTTGCATTATTTTCCGTGCCCGTTTCAGCTGCACAATATACCACTGAGCAGCAGGGAAAGAACAGTGTGCTGCCCGAAAAAGGAGAAGAATTCGCTGAACAACTCCAGATACCTTCTGCCGACAAACTCTCTCCATTCTTAATGCTAAATCGATGTGTTCTTCCTAAATATTGCAAAATTAAAAGGGGATAAAGGGTATGACAATGAACAATGAAAATGACAAGTACAATGCAGATTCTCCACTCAATTATCTCCACCCTAACCCCTTTTCTATATTTATGGCTGGAATTCTAAGAAACGCTTAATGGACTCCCCCCAAAACACCCCCCCCCCAAAGCAGGATGGTTTCAAAATCCAAAAGCAAAAGAAACATCTAATTCAGGTCAAGTGTAGACAAAGTAGAAGAAGAAATCAAATAGCTTCCAAATATACTTACTTCACCAGGAAATGATGGTTGAGGACAATACAAGGGTGGTGCAGGAAGATATAAGCCATCAGGCACCAAACCACAAAACTTTCTGCTCAGGTCCTTGGCAGAGTCCACCAAAAGTTGAAATGTCCCTGACAGTATGTCTGTTTCTGCCATAACAGCTGCTTTCAGTATTTCTTCTATTGAACTAAAAATTACATTTACATCTTCCTCTTCAATAGGATCTAAAGACAGACAGCAGAGGAAGTAATAAAGCAAATGCATTAATAATGCTTCCAATCAATGCTGAATAGCACTGGGGGGAATAGTGCTCTATGGGACCCTAAAACATAACCACCAGGGGCTCAAAGAGCAGTTTGCTAATACTAATCTCTGGACATGAGTTTGCAAGTAGGATGAAAACCAAGGTGACACAATGCCCCAAATGTTCCAGCAGGATACTGTGGTTAATGGTATCAAAAGCTCAGGTAGAAGAGACAGTCATACTCCTCTTGTCTCATCTCTCTCCTGATGAAGGTAATTCCTCAGGGCAACCAATGATGATTCAGTCCAAAATCTGAGCCTGAACCCAGAATGAAATGGATCTATTCTAGACAATTTGCTTCCTCCAGAAACATCTGTAGATAGATGCTCTGCCATGACCCTCTCCACCACCTTATTCCAAAATGGAGTGTTAGCAAGTTGTTGACAGCTGCTGCATTCCATTGGGTCCAGTGCTGGCTTTTCAATGAGTGGACAGAGTATTGCTTCTTTCAAGACTGTGGGCACCATGCCATCAATATATCTCTCAGGCCTACTGCTATCTTACAAAGTTCTATACACATGCATGAGGCAATCTCTGAGTATGTGCATGGTACTCTTGTTTGCACACAGATTTACCAAATTGCAACCTATTGAGGTGAAAAAACTTTACAAGTAGAGGCTACTTCATATAATTGTTTTGGCTAGGCTAGAGCCTTTCTTCCATACAGCTATGTGAGTCACACATGAAGACTGGCATACTAGAGTCCAAACACAGATCTCCCATCTAAATGAGAATTGAATCATAGTTCATATAAAAAATGCAGAAGAGTGTAAAGGAATAACATGGACATGCAGAAACTCTGAACAGATAATTAAACAAATGGCATTCACATTAGCATCTCTGGCCTAGCATCTCTGGTCATTCCCTGATCATGGAAAAGGGTGGATAACTGCATGAAATCACACCATTTCCACAAATGTGTTAAAAAACAACTTCAAGAAAATGAACTCAGATGTATAAATTGCACACCTGTGAACTGTTTGCATTTGGGGTCTCCTTCATTTGATGTTTCACTGTTGATTGGCTTGCCCAAAAAAGATTGTAATTTTTCTTGAAAGATTTGTGTTGGAGTCAAGTGTAATGGCATGCAGAATTCTACTTTTTGTGACCTGAGAGTGAATCAAGAAAAAGAGATTAGCTTGTCTCTAACTGTTGCTCTCTGAATGACTTCTGTGCAGTTATATATGGGATCTATGGAAGTACAGTGACAATTCAAAAAGTATGATAGGCACAGAGAACATCTGTATTGTGTAATGATCTGAAGGGCTTTAGGACCAGTTCTTTCCCACTTGGTATTTTTGATACTTTCAAATGGTGGACACAGATACTTCATAATTGGTGACCAGAAGGCTAACGATTGCTTTGCTCAACTGATGTTACAATAAGGTTACCAGACATTCCTATTTCCTGGGGACAGTCCTCGGATTTACAAATGAGTCCCCATACAAAATCCATTGAAGTTGAGAAGTGTCCCCGGATTCATTGAAAAAAATCTGGTAACCTTATGTTACAATTACTGCAGCTATCATGTTACAACTACTGCAGCTATCAGCTAGATGCACCACCACTGGAATTATAGAATGGAAGACACCACTGTCATTATCAAGCTATGTTTATATGGCACTCCTGGGAACTATGCCTTTCAGTTAATAGATGTAAATTATCTGTCCTAATCATTCCACCACCCAATAATACTGCATTCCTTGCAGAGCCCTCCTTATCTCTATGTGAAAGAATCAGGTTGAGGGCAGGAGTCAAAGGAGCAAAGAGCATATCTTTTTCCAAACTACTATTGTCCAAATCACCAACACAAGACAATGTCATCTTTTTTCTTTTACAAAAATAGGAATAATAAAAGATAGATATAAAGGCATTCAGTTAATTTTATTGTAAATAGTAGATATTATATGTTCATAAGCAAAATAACACTGCAGCATGCAGTTCTGTAATTTATACACACACAACTTACGTTGGGAAGCCACTGCTACTTTGACAATACAGTTGATAAGCCACCCCAACTGAAACAGCCATTTTCCAGTCTCCAAGTTTATGTGCTAGCCACACAGCTTCCGGAATTAGTCCACCAACAAGCAACAAATCAAGAGCATATTCAACTGTCCAGACACACGAGAGACCATGGTCCCTAACTGCATTGGTGACTATGGGGTGCTGTAGTGGGACAATACGAAGACACCTGTCTAAGATACAAAGGAAGTTTATTAGTTAGCTATGTTTGCTTTGTTGTTAACTGCTTCCTGTATGATTTCCAAATGAGTTCTACACATCTTTAAGTGGAAAATCCCCTGAGTTCCAATTGAATTACTCGCAAATAAGTGTGAATTACAGTCTTCATAATGCAATGTATCATTCAGACCATGCTTTTTGTGGGAATTACCATGACTCTTGATTTTTGCTGTTCTTCCCTTTCCCCACTTATGTTTAATTGTTTGTGCTAGAACAGAAATGTGAATGCACATCAAAAACTCATAATGAGAAATGCATTCATAAAGGAAAGTCAATCTTCACTCAAAAAATTACACAAGATAAGAGAAGGAAGGATTATCACTCCAATGTGTGTGTGTGTGGGGGGGAGGTTAGAGATTTTTCTAAAATGAGCCTGAGACAAGAGACTCTAAACTAATATAAAAATGGCAGATATGAAGTTTTGAGGAAAAGTCTTCTCCCACTAACATCAATGGGGCTTTGAAATCCTAACTCTGTCTGGATGATAGTAAACCAGAACATGTGACAGCATTAACAGAATACCTTGTCTGATATGAAGCGGGGGTAAAACATCAACATTATGTGGAGGAAGCACATAAAGTGGTTCATTAGTGAAGTAAGCTGCCATGAATCGTGCCAGAGACTGAACCACTGCTAATATAGCTTCAGTATGAACATCTGTTATCATCTGCTCAGCACCTAAAAGAGTTTAAAGCGTCTTACATAAACAAAATATCTGCTATAGAAATAAAAAGATATAGCTGATAAATTCAAGCCTATCAACCCTCATTGCTACTTAAGGCAAAGGTACATTACATATTGTGCTGAAAGAATTATTTGGTCTTTCCAAAATAAAACCCTAGAAGCCTCTTTTGTACATCAACTTTGCCTTCCTGCATGATGACAACTCATACGTAAGCTTCACTCTGTAGAATTCCTTTAGTAAGAATTCAATAACAATAAAACCTGATTAACTGTGCAATCTTACATTTATTTACTGAGGTACAAGTCCCACTAAGTCCAACAGGACTTACTTTCAAAAAAGTGCATATATGATTGCAACATTACACTGTACTTGATTACACCAAACTATAGTGTTATTAAATCACAGCCAGATATTAAGCTTGAAGGACAATATCTCATTCAAACTAATGGGACTTTAAAATCTGATCTTTTAACCAGCTTGCTAACTATAAAAGACAGCTGTTTGTCACCATACTTCTACAATTCTGAGGGAAATATATATTTAAAATAGATAAAGAATTCTTAAAGGGACTTTTAAAAATTAAGCAACTAACAGATGCTTAGTCAAGTCTTAAATATAAATTCTATAATCACTATAAAACAACAAAAAACCACTCTATTGCAATAATATTAAAGTTTTAAATAATGGGATAAAATGACAAATTATGTTACACATCATTCATTTAACTATACTAGGATATTCCACATTCACATACCTGACACATCATCCCTTTCAGATATTTGAGTTCGTTTTAGAAGCTCGCTCACTAGATGATCGCACAGACCCTGAGCCTCATTTACATTGTAGTGATATAGATGGCAATATAATATAGCAAGATAATATCGAGTTTGAAGAAAAGGTATTCTCTTGCCTCCTGTATTAAAAAGCAAAATAATTATCCAGTTAAAAATATAAAGCCTGGGGATGTAATGAAAAATAAACCCAACCTATATGAGTGTACTAAGCTCTCCTCACCCACCCACAGATGTACTATCACATACAGAAGGAACAAATAAGGTGAATAGGATTATACAGGACCAAAACTAACTCCATTGAATTTTTTTTCATGGTTACTATTAACAGTAATTCAAACAGGAATGGGTCCATATTGTTTGAATAATGCTCTTCAACTCCAGTACTTCAAAAGACACAAAGCAAAGAGAAGTTGAAAAGGTGAAGGTTCTCCAGTTACTGTGACAGAAGAAATGCAATGGTCAAACCTAACATTTGCTTTAATTTATTGCATTTATATCCCAGCCTTCCTCCAAGAAGCTCAGAATGATGTATGTGGGATCCCTCTCCAAACAACAACTCTGTAATGAATGCTAAGGTGATAAACATCACATATGAAGCTTTGTGGTTGAGTGGACATTTGAATATGAATCTTCCCAGTTCTACTCTTAACACTGTAAACTAGGGTTGCCATTTTTCAAAAAGTTAAAACCCAGATACAAATGTTTTTGACTCACTTGTCATCTTATACCAAGGTCTCTAGGCAACTTACAAGAAGCACAAAGAATTCTTTAGCAACAGATTACGTATACCTTGGTCCTGTATACCTGAAGGAGCGTCTCTACCCCCATCGTTCAGCCCGGACACCGAGATCCAGCGCCGAGGGCCATCTGGCGGTTCCCTCATTGAGAGAAGTGCGGTTACAGGGAACCAGACAGAGGGCCTTCTCAGTAGTGGCGCCCACCCTGTGGAACACCCTCCCTTCAGATGTGAAGGAAATAAGCAGCTATCCTATCTTTAAAAGACATCTGAAGGCAGCCCTGTTCAGGGAAGTTTTTAATATTTAATGCTGTACTGTTTTTAACACTTGATTGGGAGCCGCCCAGAGTGGCTGGGGAAACTCAGCCAGATGGGCGGGGTATAACTAATAAATTATTATTATTATTGTTGTTGTTGTTATTATTATTATTATTATTATTATTATACAAATATAAAAGTACCAACAATCAACTAGACTAAAAGCGATCAAACCTAAAAGCAAAAATCCATCTTTCCCAAACATCTAAGCATGATTAATATAAGAATCAACAAACTAAAAACTCCAGCAGTAGGAATATATTACTAACTGAAGGCTGGAGAGAACAGAAAGGTCTTCACTTGACCCCAAAGGGATGTTAATGTGCATGCCAGGCAAACCTCTTTGGGAATAGTGTTCTCTAAGCAGAGGGCTTGGCAGAGGAGTTGCCACTCAGTAGACTTATGAAAAAGGCAGGTCTCTAAAAACGACCGTTTTAGGTTTTAAAATGTATAGAAATTTTCTTCCATACGTTTATGCCAATGTATAGAAGAAAATAAATGTCCACTGCACAATTTATTACGCTTTCTCTAGAACACTTTTCCAGTGAGAATAAGCTTAGAGTTTCTTATTATCTTACCTTTTCCTTTTATTTCTTGAAGAGCTCTCTCCCATGCCTCCACTGATTCTTTATAAGACCCTATTAGAAATTGCTCTTCACCTAAATAAATAAATAAATTTCAGCCAATAGTCAATACATTTCTTAACATACAGTAAAAGAGTAAGGCTGTTGTCACACAGCTGTTCACTTGACTGCTGAAGGACGCTGCTGCTAACTAATGTGATGTCAGACTACTGAGAGCTGCTGGACCATGACAGCAGCATTGGAGAGTGTCTTGTCTCAAGGTGGAAGAGAGACAGAATCAAACGGACAAACAATCCAGGGAGGAATACTCAGGATAGTCTAGGGCAGCTCCCAAGCAACTATCCTACTCTGCTGCTGTCCACCTCACAGTGATGACAGCATTTCAGCCTCCGCACTGGAGGGTGTGGATGAAAGAGAAGAGAGAAATGGATGTAGCATGAAGGCCCCAGTGAGCTGCAGAGGAACTCTTCCAAGGGAGCTGGAGGGGAGGGGAGAGTGGTCTGCAGAGCTCTAAAGGGAGTAGGTGGGTTTGGCAAGATCCAAGAGGGTGGAGGATTTGGTGAGGGGTAGGCAGAATTGGCAAGGGAGTTGGATGAATAAAAAAGCATCATAAAACTGCCACAATGTTCAATGCTACCTTCAGCTGCAGACTGTAAAACATATTATTACAAGCACAGGATATTTTTGGAGAAAGGAAACAAATTTTAAATTGTCAGGTGTCTAGACCAGAAATTTTGTTATTTATTAATTAGACATGTTTCTAATTAATTAGGTTTATTAGTTAATTAGAAATGTTTGGGACAATGTCCCTACCAAGCAGTTTCTAGCAACAGGTAAAATAATTACAATAAAATGTGTAAACTACAAATAAAAGCTAAAGAAAATGTAAAATACAATCTTTATTAAGATTCATCTTATTTACCCTTATTGAAATCAGAACTGCCTCCAGAAATCAATTCAGGGATTACACAACCTCCCCAGGATTAGTTCACTAAAACATGTCATAGCGGTGTGTCATTTGCATAATAGCAACAGCTTGGCACAAACACCAGGTGACCCTTCCAAGCAGTTTTATGCAGATGTTAAAATGTATAAGGAGCAAGATAAAAAAAAACCCTGCAGCTAAGGGACAGAGAAGTCTTCCAGCACCACCTTCTGGACATGCTCCCCCAGAATGGATCAGAGCACTGTAACATCCTTGCCCCAACTCTTACTCTGGCAAAGCAACTCAGAAGCATACAATGGTCAATGGTATTGAAAATCATTGGTTCCAGGAGAACCAAAAGGGACACACTAGGGTGATGGAGGCAGCTGCAAACTGAGCTGAAACAGAATGAAGAATTCAGTATCATGCCACACTCTCTAGACTTGAAATGCCACCACCTTTTCAAGTACCTTGCTAAGAAACTTGATACTGGACAATAACTGTTAATGTCAGTAAAATCTAAATTGCTTTCTTTAAGATAAGTAAAATTATTGCATCTTCAAAGCAGCATGGACATCTTTACCCAACCAGGATAAACCATCTGAAGGTTCAAAATGGAAGGTCACTTCCGTTATGTATCACAACAATGTAATGCTTCCCAGCTATTGGCTAAGCAAACTCTAAATGCTAATTTAATTGACATACTGAAACATATGTGCAATTACAAAATTAATAAAATATGGAGCTGACTTTTTGTCCCACTCATTATTATTGCAGAAGAATAGTATCAAAATTGAAGCTTAGGAAATTGTCCACTGTTACAAAAATCAACTGATCACAGTGTTCTGCATGATACTAACCAATCACAGAGTTGAGTTTCAGTATTCGTTCTAATCTTTCTCCCGAAGACTGTAAAATTGCCTGTGTATGACTTGCCAGTGCTTCAACGGTTGGTCCTTCATACGTAATTTGTATTTCAGTTACTGGCTTGCTTGACTTATGCGCTTTTCTCCTTAACTGTGTCCAGTACCAAAGAACATGCTTATATAACAGTTGCCACATTACAATTACCCTGAAGTTGAAAAAGAATCAAATATTTACAGCAAAAGTCAGATCAGAGAAAATTAGTGATGCTAATATGCTAGGAAATAATGCCTTAAAACTTCAGATTATGTTTTAATTCACTTATCAGTGAATTAAGCTAGTAAATCAGTGAATTAAGCCTATCAGATACTTCAGTGCATTATCACAATTATCACTACTTTTATTTACCTTCTGTTGAATTTATTATTACTAGTTGTGGTGAAAAAATTAACTCTCAAGATTTCCCTGCTAAATATACTGTACATAAATTTACTATGATCAAGATAGATAAAAGTTACAAAGCAACTTATTAACTCAATAACACTAAACTTCTATAGAATGTGGATTTCTGAGGTGTTAATGTTTAGGTAAAGGACACACAAAAAGTCTACTTAAACATTAATTACATTGTATCTGCAACATTTTTCCTTAACCATAAAGTAATCTCTTGTAAGGTTGGATACCACTCACAACTGTAGCCTATTTAACTAAAAGCCAGATAAGGAAGCTATTATCCAAGTAATAATTAATAATGGCATATGTATGGTGGGTGCAACTTTTTGAATTTTCACTTTGACCATTTAAGCCTAAGTAAGAACTTTTAAGATCCTATGAAAAAACTCCTCTCCCATCCCTTAGAAATCCAGCAAAGTCTAATATCACACAATGTCGCAAAAAAGCTTTAGAACTATCCCTCTTAGAATGGCAGTCAATGACTAGCACATACTGTATGTGATATCTTTTAATTTGATTGGGTGTTTTATTTTAATTGCAATAGCTACCCAAGACCCTGGAAAGGAGTAGGAAAGAAACTGAATAAACAAAGGAAATAATATATTTTGCAACTCCCATTTTATGCAACACAGCACAATGGTTGGGATCCAAAGAACCATGGAACTAATTCTGAGCCCAATAAAGGACGAACACAGATTCTTTTGAGCAGCAGCTTTGAATGAGATGAGGGGAGAGTTATAACACAGCATGAAGACCAATTGTTAAAAAAAAAATGTTATATTTGATTGGTACATGTAAACCACACCTAAAACACCTTACCTTTTAAAAAAAAATCTGGCCATTGCAGTCTTCTTATTTTGTTCAGAATTCAAGTAAGCCAATAATGTCTATTTCTTTCATTCAAGACAAATTTTTAAAAATATACAAATACAATTACAAATTATAAAAATAAGTTTTCAAACAGATAATAAATACCTCTTTTCTGAATTACTGGACAGGTTTACAGCTGGAGGAGAGAGCTTCAATATGTAATTCAATGCACAGAAATGTTGGTGGCTGCTCCAATCTATAGCTTGAAACACAGACACAATTATGGAATCAAACTCCACCTGATTATTAACATCCGGGGCTGCTGGAAGTATCTCATACTGAGGTGCGTTCTTGCCATTTAAAAAATGAGTAACCATCTTCAGCAGAGAGAAGCCTCCCAAAAGATTATTGGAGAACAGTTGGTTTTGTTGTTCCACAAGCATCAGCTTTAGGGTTTGCAATGTGAGCTTCATCAAATGTCCCAGAATTTGTCTATGCTTACCATCCCAACTTAGAAGAGACAAAAATTGCTGGAAACATTTTAACACTGACTGTATCCAGGTACAATTCCGGACAGGGTGATCTAAATGTGCAACATTAAGTTTTGCATACTGGAGAATGTTAAAAAAGTATATAATGCAACGTATGGTACAATTTAACAAAGTGTCTCTTTCTTGCATGTTTCTTGAAATCCCTACTCTCCAAGCTGCAATTAGATTTTTTTGGATATGGTTCAGTTCCAAAGCTGTGTCATCTTCTTCTCCTGTTGCATCCATTGCGTGAATGGTGTCAAACATGGATGCAAATTCCAACTGGCCTTCATCAGTTACAAAAGTATCTCCTTTTTGGCTTCCCAAAATAAAGGAATGACTCTGAAACAACTTGTCACAATCCGATTCTTCTTCATAATCCTAAATTGAAGATAACATTACTCATTATCTGATACATGTGAATTTTATCACACATTTATATAAAGAAGAACCCCACATAATTGTTCTGGGAACTGTTTCACAGGTACTAGTTGTGCAATAAATATGTGGAGCTGTGTCACTCAATGTAAAACTTAACGTATAATCCAGGCTACTGTTATGGTGCCTTTTGACATGTCTTGTATTGTATAGAGATGGATGAGGATCCATAGATTTTTCCCAATGCAAACTAAACCTTAACAGCTAGGCTGCAGATACATGTCAAACCAAACTCAAAACAACTGCAATCATTTCACCAGAACAAAGCAATCCCAGTGTCTGGGGCACATACAGTTCCACATTACAGACTTTGCCATGGAATGGGGAACTGTTTGCACCCTAGCCATTAGTATTTGCTTTGTGAACATATCAGGGATTCATGGTTGCATCTCACAGTAGTTCTACTTAGAGTAGACCAATTAAAATTAATGGACATGACAGATCTATTAATTTCAATGGGTCTAATCCTGAGCATAATTCAGATGGCTACAATAGCTATTATTCCATAATACCCATCAATTAACAAGATAAATCAATTATATGAGATGGAGGCTGATAACTCAAAATGAGGTGAAGGGTAGGTTTCTTGTCTTGTTGGTGATGTGAAGTATATAATGGTTTGACATGCATTCAAGAAAATAAAGGGCATATTTGTACTTAGAACAAAAGTGAAATTGCCATCACAAGCCAAGCTAGGAGTCCCAAGACATAAATTGGCTTATAAGCATATATATGGAGGTAGTGAGAACCTTCTTTTATTATTATAGGTATCATATCAGGATTTTTTTTTTAAAAAAAAGATGTCTTCCATGCAACAGAGCTGACATCTATGCAGATCAGAAGAACAAATATATGTGTTATATACTATTATTCTAATTCATGTTGCATTATATCAAGAAACTAGCATCAAAGGAAACTTGAATACCTGCAAGTGTGTTACTTCTCCATTTAGCTCTACTGTTTCCTCTTCTTCTTGCAGAAATTTTGGAATGGTAGAGAAAGCAGAGCTCTGACTTTGATTGTGTTGTAATAGATTAGCTTTTAAGGAGGACAGTGATTGCAATGGCAGCCTTTTCTCCTTGGACTGTGGGAAACAACATGATAGTTTTATTATCCTATTTTTATATTCTGAACATCTGAAAGATATTGATGAATGTGATGCTGAAGCTGATAGTGCAGATGGATCACAAAAAATATGTCAAGAGATGAAACTTTTAAAAGAACATGATTAAGATGGACTTGCTGGGCAGTAAAAACAGCCTAATCTATATTTAATATCTAAGATGTTTATAAATACAGACTGCAATTTTATACACTTATAATTGGAAATTTTGTCTTATTTCTCAGTACATACACAGAGAATGATTTGACAGGATCAGGAAAGAGGAACTTGTTGGAAACATCTTAGCAAAATATCAATAAATGTATACAAGACAACCAGCAGATAAGCATGCAAAAACAGAAACTGTTAAAGACTTCAGATTATTATTGAGAGAGTGTGTGTGTGTGTGTGTGTGTGGCGGCATTGATTTGCTTGGATGTCATTACTGAAAAACCCTTCTCTCTTGCTCTTACCAAGCTTGCTTTTGGTGTTATTTTGAGAAGGGCATTGGACAATGATCTTGGCAGATATGCTGGCTAGTGTGAACATTGTGGGTGCTTTATTTCACATCACACAACTGAAGAGATTCAAACACGTCATTCTGAACAGAAACCTAAAATTAACTTTCCTTCTCAACACTGAGTAGGCTAAAGCAATGTAAGTATTTAATCATGGAATAAGTGAATTATCCTAATGTGACCAATTAATAATGTCTAGAACCAATTCCAGGTGAATAACTGAATTATCCTAATGTGACCAATTAATAATGGGTAGAACCAATTCCAGGCAAGCATCTGAGAACTATACTATTAAACCTATGTTGCAGTAGAAAACCAAATGAAACAATACCTTAGATTTAATCAAGCTGTGGTGCAGTTTTTCAAGCCTCTGGGCTGAATCAAGCAGCAAAGACCTCATATATGCCGAGGGTGAGAATCCATCATAAAATTTGAGAACGGTGATTATATACCCATCAGAGGCAATGAAGAAGGGTAAACTTGGATGTGATGCTACAGAAAATCTCTGCCTCATTAGATCCCCTTCAGAGGCTGATGAATCATTAGAATGATTCAGATCTTGCATCAAAGAGTTCTGTGATCTAACAGATAAAATACTAAATTATCAGAAAAGTAAAGTAAAAGCAGTTCTGTAACACAAAAGACCCTGATGTTGGGAAAGATTGAGGGCACAAGGAGAATGGGACCACAGAAGATGAGATGGTTGGACAGTGTTCTTGAAGCTACCAACATGAGTCTGACCAAACTGCGGGAGGCAGTGGGAGACAGGAGTGCCTGGTCCATGGGGTCACGAAGAGTCGGACATTACTAAACAATGTAACACAAAAGTTTTATGGGGACAATCCAGCTCAGATTAATATCTTCTCCTACACTAGCACAGCAGTTGCCAATCTGGTGCCCTTGAAATGTTTTGGACTACAACCCTCATCAACTCCACTCAGTACAGTCATGCTTAAAAATAAATAAATGATCCTAATAGTGGCTTAAATAATTTGTACTTACATGATGAAAATGTCATTTGTTCAGCAGGAAAAGCCATTATAAGAAATAGGAGAGAACTATGAATGAGAAACAAGATATTGAGAAGAAAGACACAGAAAAAGCAAAAATTATTTGAAAGGTGAAACATTTAAAAGAGAAGAAATGAACGAAAGAAAGATATGAGCAAATGAATTTAATAAACCACATTATGACTGTCTCACCTGTATGTTATTAGTGGATGTAGAGGAATAAATTCTGCTGGTCCAAATTCTACAGAGCAACCATATGTTACTAAAGTAAGCAATTCACCCAAACAAGTCATTAAGATCAGTGACCCACGTTTTAACATGCAAGCCAAAAAAAGGCTATCATGAGTCCAGCTCATGTCAGAAATCCAATAGGATCTAAAACAAAAGAACAAATATCACCTTCAGACATCAGTATCCAGTTATCCAAATATGATTTAAAAATAAATTCTGAAAAACACTATACTAACCTTATAAACTTTGACTGAATTTTGTGTTTCTTACTACCACAACCTTTAAGGCTACCAGAAACAGCAATGAAATTTGCTGTGCTCATAAACAAAATCTGAGTTGCCTGAATATTTTTTTTTAAAAAAGACAAAAGAAAGAATGGTTAAACTGCATGCAAACCAAGCAACATAAAATATAATGATTAATTAACACTTCACAGCACATATATAGCTTTCATTAGAAACTTATTGGAATAACATATATAGCACATATAACTTCAGTTGCTGAATGTGCTGATCTGAAGCACTGATGAAATGAACACAATACAAAAGTACAGCAGACTCCTTCTCTAATTCCTTGTTTTTATTACTAGCCCCTTGCTGAAGTATGAAGGTAACCCAGAAGACTGATTTGCTGCATCACACTTAATATTCTTTACAGTATTAACAAGATCACTTTTGCTTTATGTTACTAATATTTGTACCTGTAAATCCTTCTGGTTGACACCTATTGCTAGAACAAGCCCATCATTTGAAAACGCAGTAAGCAAAGCACCTCTTGATTTTATTGGCTTACAATGGGGAGCCAAACTCGACAAAGAACATGTCCGCTGTGTCCAGTGTATCAGAAATGGAAAAGAGCTACATAAAACAAAAATACATATAGATAAGAACATAAAAGGAAACATTCTTTCTGGATGTCTGTAAGTTAATTGGCGGGTTTCCCTGTAACACTAAAGCATAGATACATGACCTTGAACAGGCTTGAACAAAGCCTCTGTCCCCGTCTGGCCAGGAGAACTTTGGCAAAGTTTAGTTTAGCAGTATGCACCAACCACATGACTCAGCTCAAATCCTGATTCAGTGCTTTGGAAAACAGAACAGTTTAGCATGGACTATTTCATGCCCAATTTGGCTCGGGTACAAATCCCAATTTGGAAAAACAAAAGAATCTTGTATTTCTGTTCCGTATTATGGGGAAATTTTAAAAACATCAACAACTTTTTTCAGCATACGTTGCAATCCTACTGTACATTCAATCCCTGCACATATAAAAACACCTTAATTAATGCAGAATTTTTCTTGATCAAACTATCTACATGTTATTCAAACTATGTGGCAGCAAACATTGAAGTTTTAAAACCAAGTCTTAAAAACCTATATTAAAATTTAATTAATGATTTAATCTTACCAAGCAATCTTTAAACTGTTCTCTTGCCATTTAATTTCCAAAAATGTCAGCATTAAATGCTCCTGAGAATAAAATGCAAAACAACACAAGCAGCAGTCCCCCAGCATCTGCAAATGAATCAAAATAATGCTTAATAACTCTACTTGGATTTCTTAAACAATTCATATACAAGCCAAGTTTTAAGGTCAAATCAGCTGAAAGCAATTAACATTTCACCACATGGTTTGTATAATTCACATAGAGCAAGAGAATATATAAAACATAAGCTTTCACATCTTATACCTTGATGATTTAAGCAAAAATTACATTGAGATTTTGTGTTCATGCAGTATTATAGTGAGGCCTATTTTTTGTTGTCTGGGCATAAATAGGATAGGGGATATTTACTATTGCCCTGTGCACAAATCATGAAGACTGCAGGCACATATGGTGAGGATCAAGATACCAGACACTGATTTGTCATAGACTATCCTTGTCCCACAGAAGCCTCAAAATTAAAAGAAACTGTTCACTTAAGGTAGCTAGTAACAAATGCACTGTGACTTTTGGGGTTGTGCACCACCAACTCAAGATGCCTTGTTAAGGACTCAATCCAACCCAGGCCATGTGAAAATCTCACCTAAATCTCACCTTATTTGCCTCTTAATTCAGGAAGTACATAGAGCTGGTGCACTTCTACTTTCCACAATAACCAGAATTGTACAACCGATAACAGAAAGGTCACTATGCATTTTACATACACAGCTTACTGAATCTATATAAATTAGACAGATTTTATTGTTTACCTCATTTTGGATGAAGTCAACACTCACTGACGTTTCTTTCTCTTCAACAGATGGTAATACAACTGATGCTTCAGGAACAATTTGTGACCACTGTCCCATTACACAACCTTTAGCTGGTGTACTTTTACATTCCTCACTTTCCCATAGAAAGATACTGGCAGTTGGCGTAGTGAGAAGAACCTTATTTCCATCACCAGAAACATATAGGTATAATCTCATTGAACAGTCTAGAAAATAATGTTGTGTTAATGCAGCTACTCATTCTTTACATGATCTATCCAAAATACATTGACAGTTTTAATAGTTTTTGACATTAGCTACTGTGCTAACTTTTTATTGTATAAAAGTCAATGAACACAATACAAAGATTAAACCTAGGACATCATGTTTAGTACTTATAATAGCACAGAACTAAGAAAGCCTACCATATTTCACTAAGAAGCAGTATAATCTTTTTTACTGCCCTCAACATGATTATGATTACCTTCTAAACCAGGGGTATGGAACCTCTCAACCATGGGTCAATCTTGGCCTGCCAAAGGGTCCAAATAAGGCCCATTATGCCATTTCCCGCCAAACACACCCACCAGACCATTGGCTGATGTCAGCTGATATGTGGGGTTCAATCCTGCTAGGTGCTGCGTCCTCAGCACATTCCCTGGTATGAATGCCCTGGTGGGTGGAACTGCCCAACTATCAGTCACGTGACATCATGGCAGCTGATTATTGATAGGTGGGTGGCCATGCCCACTAACCAAAGTTGGCCCATGAGCGACAGGGGTGATAAAGATCAGGCCCACTAGACCAAAAAGCTTCTCCATCCCAGTTCTATAAAAAATACATTATATATGTTAAGGTTTAGCTTAACAAGTCATTTCTCTTTGAAATATAAACACTATTAAATAACTCAGAGAGTCATGAATAAAATCAACATTTTCATTTTTAGTTGTTAAATAAGCAAAATAGTAATGTTTGAGAAAACCTTTTTTTGAACAAAATAAATAGGGGAAAGGACAATGTTAATCAAAATATTGAATATTCCTACCTTGTGCTGCTAAAACCACCTTCTTACATTCTTCAGCTGCCGAGACAGTTTTCATAGTGTCTTGGTCTTTGTTCCAAAGAAAGAGTTCTCCTGTTTTAAGTATCCCTGCCAACCAAGCTCCTGTTTGATTAAGGATAATTTTGTTGTTCAAAGTGCAACATTTTAGACAAATAGTACTATTTCATGCATATTTACTCAGAAGGGAGTAAACTAGGTTCAGCTAGCTTACTCCCAGGGAAACATGCATAAGACTACACTATTTCCCCCCCTTTAGTCCCAAGTTGTTACATAGTTTTAGATCAGAACTATATTGAGGGTAAGGGGGTAGCAGTGGAAACCCTTTACTTGTTTATTTATTTAAGATACTTAGATACTGCCCTCACAAAGTAGAGAGTCAGTACATTTTTAATTCTCAGAAACAAAATTAATTTAAATAAATTCAAAAAATAAAATCATGCAACAACTTGTTAGTGCTAATACTTAACCATTTCTTGAAGTTGTTAAGACAACAACATTCTTCAGCAAGGGATGTAATTGGGGGATCTTCTTTGTCCTCCCCGAAAGCAGATTAATTTCATTTATGCTTTTGTCATCTAAAAGAAAAACAGCCTCCTTTTCCTATTATAAAGAAAGAAAGCCTTTTATTCAGGTACCCACTTCCACATGTTTCCTGAAAACTAATACCTGAATAAGCACAACTACTGTATACAGTGGTACCTCGGGTTATGAACTTAATTTGTTCTGGAGGTCCATTCTTAACCGGAAACCATTCTTAACCTGAGGTGCGCTTTCACTAATGGGGCCTCCTGCTGCTGCTGTGCCACTGGCACACAATTTACATTCTCATCCTGAGGCAAAGTTTGTAACCCAAGGCACTACTTCTGGGTTACCAGAGTTTGTAACCCGAAGTGCTACTCATGGACAGTTCCCCACTGCTAAAAGTGTCTTTTGCATATCACAGAAAAGATGTAACATAGAAGTTCCTACATAGGAGGATTAAGAGAACACTGGAGCTGCTTCCCCGAGTGGATGAGGCTTGTTTGACAACGGAGAAACCATGTCATTAGTGTAATCAGCCCAGACTTGTGGAACACTCTACCAATAGAGATTTAGCGATCACCTTCTGTGACAATTTTTGAACACTTGCTGAAAATGCTTCTATTCCGCCAGGCCTATGCAGGCAATTAAGAATTCATCCTTCCACAATGTTTATTGATACTTGTTTTTAACTTTTTAGCTTTTAAATTGTTTTTAACTTTTTATACTTTTATTGTACGGTTTTTATCTTTTTAATGTTGTAAACTGCATTGATGTACTTTTATGATTTAGCTGTATACAATTTTTTTATATAAATAGATGAATAAAGGAATGGACAGTGTCTTTTAACACATGGAAACAAATCATATGAAAACTAAGATTAACAGAATTCTTACACTTTTTAAATTTATTTCATATGTAAAGAATTTAAATTCTGTGAAACGAAGTGGCAGTTGCAGACATAACCATAATACAGTGGTGCCTCGCAAGACGAAAAGAATCCGTTCCGCGAGTCTCTTCGTCTTGCGGGTTTTTTCGTCTTGCGAAGCAAGCCCATTAGTGGTTTAGCGGATTAGTGCTACAGTATTAGCGGCTTAGCAGGCTTAGTGGATCAGCTGATAAGCGGCTTAACGATAAGCTGATAAGCGGCTTAACATCAGCTGATAAGCGGCTTAACGATAAGCTGATAAGCGGCTTAGCATCAGCTGTTAAGCGGCTTAGCCATCAGCTGATAAGCGGTTTAGCGGCTTGGGAAAAAGGCGGGGAAAGGAAACCAACCCCGCAGGAACTCGCAAGACATTTTCGTCTTGCGAAGCAAGCACATAGGAAATTCGTTTTGCGAAGCACCTCCAAAACGGAAAACCCTTTCGTCTAGCGGGTTTTCCGTCTTGCGAGGCATTCGTCTTGCGGGGCACCACTGTATGCCCCTGTATTTCCTAACAAATCTGTATTTTTATTACTGGTCTCTAAAGGACGAGTTCTTTGCAATATAACCAAACACAGAAATCTAATCAAGCACTTTTAAGTACTATTCACTTCAGCCAGGAGGCTGAATTCTAGAGGTGTTGTGCCCCTACTGTATCATACAAAAATAGCAGATGATTGATTACCTGTCCCAGCCAAGTGATTTGAGGCCATGGCTTCCTTTGTTTGATACATGTAGAAGTTAGAACTTCCAGTTTAATTTCCATGATTATTAAAAGGTAGTATAGCCATTAAACTTTTCAAAAAGGGAACGTCGTTTTACATGACTGTAAAAAAAGCACAGAAATATAGAGACATTCAAATTTATAGAACAACTTCTATCACATTAATGTACACCATTGTAAAAAGAATGTAAGAGAAACTGTTGGATCAGACCAAAGGCCTATGTAGTGTAGCATCTTGTCTCACATAGTGGCCAACTGGAAAGCTTACAAGCAAGATATAGGCACAATAAACTCTCCTGCTGTTGTTCTCCAATGACTGCATACTGCCTCTAATCCTGGAAGCAGCATATGGTCATAATGACTAATAACCGTTATCCACCATCAATTAGTCTAATCCTTAAAACAAAATTGGTGGCAGTCACTACATCTTATCCTAGTGAAGGCTGAAATTTAACTATGAGTTGCAGTTGTATTAAAAAGCATTTCACACCCTGGGGTTCAAGCACTGAGAAAAGGATGCTTGATACACCTTGATCATGTCCCACCCTTGCTCATCTCCACCCCCCCCTAACTTTTCCTCATAAGGAAATTGCTCTAGCCCTGATTATTTTGATGTTATTTTCGGGGACAGGAGCATTTGCAGCCTGTCTACTTTCACTTTCATGCAGGGGGTTGGGGAGTGTGGGCAAAAACAAAACGAAGAGCGGTTAAGAGGGACCACAAAATCCATAACTGGATCGGGTAGCAGGATGAGCACCCGTTCCCTACATAGGAGAGGTTGGTACTTCTGTCACCAATGCACCTTTCCCAGCTCCGCGATATCCCTTCTGAGAGGCAGCAACAAATTTATTATACACTGTATTCCAAGTGTTATCAGCACCATCAATATTTATTAAATTTATATGCCGCCCTTCACCTCAGGATCCCAGGGCGGTTTCCAGCATCCAAACACAGAAATACATAACAATAAAGCAATTACCCACCAGGTCACAGATTGCTTAGTTAGAATAACTGCACCATAGAGATTTTATACAATGTACAAAGCTGCCGACCAGCCGATCCCCTCTCTCTATACATATGCAGATAGACAGATAGACAGACAGATAAAGCTGCCGACCAGCTTTGCCTGGCGGCCCCCCCCCCCCCCATATAAAGGAAGCTTTGCCTGCCTCCCCCACTCAACCTCGGGCATGTAGGTTCAGTCCACCCCCGGCTGGAGAAGGGATAAGCGCATTTTTGTGGGAAATAGAGAGGTCGAGTAGGGTGGGAGGGGGAGAGCTATTCCCTACCCGCCTCTTTTTCCTCATAGCGGGCGCCGCCTTCGCGGACCCACCGTGCGCGTCGTCGTCTCGTCACCGCCTCCCTCTCCCCCTCAGCGCCAACGGTTATCCTTCCTCGCGGCTCCCAACTGCCTCCTGAGCGACCAACCGCTGGGGTGGGGGGGGAGAAGCTGAGCGACCGAATGCGCATGCGTCGCTCGGCGACGGTTGAAATGGGAGTCAAGAGTCGGCAGTTAACGGGCGGAGATTGGCGGCTGGGCCGCCCCGTCTTTTATATCGTTTCGGTCGTCGCTCGAGCCCGCTTTCTAGCCCCCTGCGCTGGATTCGCAGGGCTTGCAAATTCCAGACGCGCCTCCTCTCCAAAAAGGCTTTGTGGCACCTTAAAAAGCTGGGTTAGGATGCTAGTGGGTTCTCAGACGCCGTTGAACTACAACTCCCATCATCCTTGCTGCGCGCAGGGCTTGATGGGAGCTGGAGTCCAACGATATCTGAAGGGATTTCCCCATCCTTGGTCTCAAGAGACTTAAATTTTGGCTTCGACCCTCGAAAGCCTTGCGTCGGAATAAAATTTGCTTAGTTTTTAAGGTGCCACAGGACTGTGCAAGTCAGGGATCAGCAAACTTTTTCAGCAAGCGCCGGTCCGTCTCTCAGACCTTGGGGCCCGGACTATATTTTGGAAGGGGGGAAAATGAACAAATTTCGATGCCCCACAAATAACCCAGAGATGCAATTTATATAAAAGGACACATTCTACTCATTTCCGGACCGTCCGCGGGCCGGATTTAGAAGGCGATTGAGCCGGAGCCGGCTCCTGGGCCTTAGTTTGCCTACCCATGGTGTGTAAATTATTCAGGGCTCCTTTAAGACTACCCCCCCCCCCGGTAACATTTTCTTAATTGTTGTAGGAAATCGTGTGTTTCAGAAAGCCCATGCAGTGAAGTACAGTTTGCCTCTCTGGTAAGTGTGCACAAGATTTCTATCCTATGTATATTCTATATATGTATATATAGGAGCAAGTCTTACTGAGTTTAATTAAGTTTGGTCTAAGGCTGTATGTATATAAGCAATACATACAGCAACATATACAAATACATAAAACACACACACAAACCTTACTAGTTCACCCAATATAGGCCTTAAGAGCAGCCTTGTTAAAATATTTAAATCTCCCAGCTGAGACAATGATCGGGTATTTGATTAACTTTTTACTAAAGGACAGGTGCTCTGGCACCTTCTAAAAAAGTGACATGCTTTGCCTTTAGAGCAGCAATTTTAAGGAGAAAAGTGTGGGGATTATAAATTAAATTATTCAGGAAAGCAAACTTAAACACATCTTAAAAAATGATTTCCTGTTCTCAATGTCTTCTACCTGAGGCCACTAGAGTTGGAATTCTTAATCAATTAAAGATATATCCTGATTGAGTACATGTGTGTATAAAAACTGCAGATTTCAGGCCTGTTCTCACTTTCTTACACCTAAGAGAATAACCTTTCTAAGATTATGCATGATACAGCATGTGTGCAACATCTAAACCACGGCCCTCCAAGATGTTGGGTTTCCTCGCAAGGCACACTTTCCAGCTCTCCCACCACTTCCAATTTCCCAGCACCACACATGTGCCCAGTCGTGCCCAAGTGGGGAGTTGCCTGTAGTTGCCATTTATAATCCTAAGCCTCTTTTTCATAGCAAACTCTCAAATACATAGTTGTATGATTTCCACTTTTACGTCTAAGCACGTTGTGTAAATTCTATGCAAAATTAATAGAGAAACCCATTTTAAAAATAATTTTAATTGCCAGGGCAAGATTATACAATGCATTTTAATCCAAAGCATATAAAACTGTTTCACTGCTAGAAAAATTTAGTAGTAAAAAAAGAAGAGAAACAACCTGCCATTCTGCATTCTATGTGAGGTTAGTTAAGAACAGACAACACAGAACTATGATAAGCTCCACAGCTTGTTTTAATGCTTTAATAAGCATTTGCCTTTTCAGATTCCAGTGCAGTGACAGTTCATTCCACCTGAAGAAATAGTTGTGCATCACTCAATGAAGCCGTTCTAATTTAGCCTGTAGAGATTTAAAGTTCCCTGTAATTGTCTGTACAGCTAGTGTTGGACTTATGGACTGCAGTTCAACAAGGTAACAGCTAACAGCATCCAAGCAAATATTTGTGAATCGCCGCCTAAAGAGAAAGAAAGATAACAGTTAGTTTTAGTTTATTGTTAGGATACAGAGACCCAAAACTTTGTAGAGATATGTGCTGCCTCTAAATCTTAAGCTATAGTTAGGGTCAGTGATCTTCTGCAACAAAGCTGGTAATGGGATATGCTGGTGGTTGTAGCGAGATGTGTCAGTTCTGAGCAAGATGTATACAATTTAGTATGGTAAGCTCCTTCAGCAGTCTGCCTTCTTTGCTTATGTTACTTTATAAATCACCACTTACATTATTTATTAATTAAATTTCTATACTGCCCTTCATATAAGGTTTACAGGGCTGTTTATAATATAAAAACACAGAGTAACAAACAAAAACACAAACCCCACCACAAACACAGTTTAAAAGGCAATAGATTGTTTAACTGGCCAAATGCCAGGCAGAAGAGGAATATTTTTCCTCGCGCCTAAAGATATGTAATGAAGATGCCTGGTGAGTCACCCTGGTGAGAGCATTCCACAAGCAGTAAAGGTCCGTTCTCTTGAGGCCACCCTCCAGGCCTCTTGCAGAAAAGGCACACAAAGAAGGGTCTCAGATGATGATAGCAGAGTCCAGATCAGTTCATCTGGAAACCATTTCCAGCATATGTTAAGTCTGTTTACAGCATCTGCATTCAAAGAAGTACCTTTCAAAGGCAAGAATTTTGTTAGGCTCTTGCACAAATGCCGATAATAACACATGGATGCATTCCAAAAGGTGCAAAGGCTTCTTCATTTTACTCCAGTATGGATCCTGTAAAGAAAAAAGAAAAATACATGACAATTTGGAAATTATTCATCACCATGTTGAGTGTACTACAGAGTGCCACATAATACCCATTCTGCATTTGAAAGAACTTAATTGTTTGCCTAGTGAGATCAAGCAGGCTCCAATTTAAAGTGGCTCCTGCTTGTGGCATCACCAGTCTTGTTTTTAAAGAAAATGAAAGAAACTGAGTAGGGCGAGGGGTAGAAGATGGGGGTAAAAAAAGAGTAACAAGGTTTTTTTCAACACTTTAATCATTGTGTACAAGGCCAGTATGTTGGTAGGTGTGGTATTTTCACCCGTTGGGTGAACTGCACTTGTAAAATTCAAGTCTTATATACAGCTATTAAAAATACAGGAGCCTGTGGAAAAGTAGGTGGCAATAGGCTTGACAGCTGGACCTTACTAGATATGATACAGATGAGTGTAAATACAGCTGTGCCAGATAAGATGTGACTTGGCTGCAAAAGCAGACTGAAGATGCTAACTTGGTCTCCACCTGCATATAAGACAATGGGGGAGGAGAGGCAGCAACAAATGAAGCAGTAGTGAACAAAGGTCCTCAACACAACCTCAGAGGCAGCCGAGGCAGCAAGTTGGTATTCTACGGACCAATTTAATGAGCTCATAGAGTCACAATCTACTACATGAGGATCAATGCCTACTAGCTACAAACACATTTTGAATGTCTGGCCCAGTACAAACCTAGAATTTTCTTCCTGTTAGTATCTCAGCAGTGATATGCCTTTAAAAAACTGGTATTCTGTGGTCCACCCCCATCATTTGTGATGATATGGAATTTAAACAACAGATCAACAAGAAAATATGTTAAGTTTTTCCTCTTACCCGTGCTTTGAATAGATGATCATATACTTCAAGAAGTCTTGGTAGCGGCACACCAATTTCTTGCATTGTGTAAGTTACAAAACCCACATCCCAGTTCAAAGAACAAACTTCTTGTTCTAGATACTGCACTAAGAAATCTAAGGGGGGAAAATAGTGGCCAGTGAGATGCAAATCATTTGCTGCAAAGTTTAGTTGCTATTCTTTCTTTTATATGCCTGTGAATTCCTTCACTTAAGTCAACCTGACAGGAAATCTACTCAGTAGATGTTTTAAAAAACGTGGACACAGTGCAATACAGGAAGTTCTGAAGAGACTGTTTGAGGACTCTGACCATTTGACTTCCTAGTTCACAACAACAACTAGTTCTAGTTCAGCTATAACCAAAGGCATTCTGCTCTTTTCAAGTTTGGCTTGAGAGAAATGACTGGGAAGGTGTTTGCCTCACCTCCATGTGATGACTATAGGCGAGGACAAAATCCCTGCTACCCTAGAGTTCAAGAAAAATGTGACCTATGCAAGTGCATACCCATTTCTGGGACCTATGGAGGCCATAAAGAAGAATGTGTATTTTCAATACTCAGGGTATGACTCAACTGCATATGAGGGCATTACCTCTAAATGGAAAATTGTGTGCACCTTCCACATACATATAACATTGCTCCTGTGCTTCACATGGTCACTGCCTACAGTTACTTCTAATTCTGTTCAGAGTAATTCAGATGTTGCTTTGAGCCTGGGTACATGCAGAATCTATTTGAAACTAATGGATATGCACAGAAGCCTCCTCACAATCAAAGCACATTCTTCCTTCTATTTTGCAGTCTTCTAAGAGCATTCAGTCAAATGCATATACAAGGTGCTTTTGGGAAGGCTCCGAGTGGAGTTTATATGTCTCAGGACAGGACTTGTGTGGAAGCTGCATCCTTCCATATACATCCTTTTTATTTCTATGCTGCCTTTTCATAGTTAAAGCCATGTTCAAGGCAACTTACAATATGAAAATAATTACAAACATAGCAAAAGTAGTCTAAACAATAAAACAGCAAAAACACATCAAAACTGAACAATTTCCATATAAATAATAAGATCTAAAAGATAGAAATAAATTAATATAAATAACACCACCACCCCAAACCCCAGCCCAAGAGTCTTTTAAATCACACACATTCAGGCAAATTCTTAAGTAGGGCTTCTCCTCCCACCCACACTTTTAATAAATATTTTATATGGAATTTGACAGCTCAACACTTGATAATACAGAAGGTACTGACTTTGATCTAACATAGACTCTTGGAAGAATTATTGGATTTATTTCCTGTTTGTTCTTTGTTTTATTCTGTTATTTTATTTTTTCAGTATCTCCAAATATCCTTAATTTGAATTATATACCTAATGGAAAATAGCGAGGTGTCCCAGCGTAGATTTTGCCAAGCATTACCATCTTCAGGCTAAGAGCCTGCATTCTGTCAGGAGCACTCATAGTCACACTGTCACTCAGCGCTGAAATAGAAAAGACACTCTTTTAGAAGATCAATTAAACGCTTGCATTTATGTTATTTCCATTTTCAACATGCAGAACCAACTAAAAAAAATAATCATGTCAATTTACCCTCCTACAGGTGGGCTATGAATGAGTTTCCAGTTTCATAGGACTCCAGATGGTTTAAACAAAATATTCTGGTGATACAAATGATGCTCTCTCTAGGCTAAGAACACAGAAACCATGACACCAAGCTCTTTGGGAGAGTTGCTGAATGTTTACCGTTAATAATAAAAGAAGTAGGATGAAATGAACTCATAAATAAAACCTAGACCCTTCCTTTGCAAGGGTTTTGGGTTTTTTTGCTAATTTTTTGCTAATGAATCTGACAGCCTGCTTGCTGAAGGTTAAGCTACTCCACCAAGTCTATACAGATCATATTCTTGCTAATAAACAGTTGATTCCAACTTGCATGGTGTGATTTACTTCCAGCTCACTCCTGTCAATTCCTTCCCACCCCGCAAACTGGACTGAAGAGCAACACAGAAGTGAGTCATTCCATAATGTTGTGTGCTTCTAGGCAGCTCTTCTAAGTACTTGAACCTACCTTTATCAATTATTTCTTGCCAAAGTGTCTGCACTAAGATAGGATCCGAATGACCAGCGCAATGAATAATAGCCAGTTTACATTCTGAGAGTTTGAATGGATCAGCAAATTCCCCATAAAGCTGAAATTTAAAAAACAAGTTTGATCATTCAAATAGATCAAATGCAGAATGAAGTATAAATGGATTAATAGGCAGTTTACAGACATTAAACAAAATAGTGAATAGCATAGGTAAAGGTACCCCTGCCCGCACGGGCCAGTCGTGACCGACTCTAGGGTTGCGCGCTCATCTCGCTCAAGAGGCCGGGAGCCGGTGCCGTCCGAAGACACTTCCAGGTTATGTGGCCAGCGTGACGAAGCTGCAACTGGTGAGCCAGCACCAGTGCCGCACACGGAAACGCCGTTTACCTTCCCGCTATAAAGCGGTACCTATTTATCTACTTGCACTTAGGGGTGCTTTCGAACTGCTAGGTGGGCAGGAGCTGGGACCAAATGACGGGAGCTTACCCCGCCGCAGGGATTCGAACCGCCGACCTTACGATCAGCAAGTCCTAGGCACTGAGGTTTTGCCCACAGTGCCACCCGTGTCCCACACTGAATAGCATACCTATACCCTAAATAACAAATAACAGATAGTGCATATTACTTGTGGAGTTCCGTTATATATATGAGTGTTTTTCACACACAAGAGTGATGACTGCTAAAGACCGCACACAACATTGTATTATAAAAGAACTAAAATAATATGAAATATGTAAAATAAAACACTTTTTTTTAAAAACTGGTGAGGCAGAGCAATTTTTCTTGATTAAGTGGAAAAAATGGTTTGGGAGATATCAGAGGAATTTTTTGCACAATACAGAGAAGCCTGGGAATGTTTGTTATTATTACTATAAGATCACCTTGCTAATTTCCATCAACTCGGAATCCAGCTGGGAAATGGCATCTTGTACTGAGGAATGATGAGAACACTGACGGAGTAATGCTTCCTGTATTTGAAACTGAATCCTTGCAACCTGGTTAAAAAATTACAATAGTCTTTAATTAAAAGCTCAGTGAACATCAGCAGCCACCTACAATTAGGTCCAACACAAAACATTTCACTTCTTACAATGACTACATATACACACAACACATATGGACTCCGAACTCTGCAATTCAAAATAGCTGACTAGGTCTATATAGGCAGTTACTCCTTCAGATTAACAAGATACCAATATGTTTGGGGCTTTATAAGTCAACAACTAAACCATAAACTAGGCCAGTAGCAAACTGGGAGCCATTTCAGCCACCGTGTTACACAATAACCATAGGTTGCTCGAGTTAGAATGAAGTCCTGTGCCGACACAGTTGAGGTGGCCTCATTATGATTGTTTATTTTAGCTACCTAAATACCACTTAGTTACCAAAGTTTCCAAGTGCTGCCCATAAACAGCACATAAACATATTAACAGATAAAATCAATTAATTATTAAAAACAGGAAGCTTATCTAAAATGCCTATTTTAATATTTTATTTCAGCTGTTGAAATCTCCCAGGAACACAGTTCTGGCTTCTCCTGCATCACCCCTGACCACCTCCACCAGCTTGGTCAGGGAGATCCATCAATGCCATCTAAATTAATTATCATACTTACTTCCATTTTCTCTTCCAATTCATGCAAAAATTCACCATCTGCAGCAATTGGTGAGATGGCTGTGGAACTCTTAGCACTCAAAATGGCACGCGCAATATATTCAAGACGCTGCTGAAGTGAGATCTCAGTGCTGTTAAATGACATAATGGTGTGACTAATATGGTAGCTTCCATGAGCAATTATCACAAGAACGTTAGCTGTTTTCAATATTTTAATCTAGTTCTTCAGTCTGTCTATTTCTCTGCGGTACGTTATTCTTTGTCTAACTGCTCTAACACCATTACTCCTGTATCTCCTCGCATCTTGCACCTTGGCCATTTCTTCTATACCATCTAGAAATACATAGAAACCAATAAAAATTCAGTTTTAGAAATGTAACATACAGATGAATGGTCTGATAACGTCGTCAAAACTTATCAACTGCTATCCACAATAAATTTCCTCAATGCATGTAAATGCTTTTATGTTAGCAGCTACTGCCACATCCTATGCTACTGGAGTCCCCCACACTGTATGCCATGGAAAAAAATGCTTCCTTGTTGGTGTCTTAAGAAAACATTGCTACTTCTTTAAGGCTAGTTGAGATTATACCTTTGGCATGATCGGGAGTAAGTTTGAATCACTCTCCTCACCCATAGATAGCCAAAAGAATCTCCAGAGGGGGGCTGCAATCTCTCTTGCTCCTATTTCAGGTGGGGTGCTGAAAAAAGGTCATTCCCAGTATAGAAACAAGGTGATCTCTTCCTCCATTGGCAGAGGCTCAGGACCAGGGAAGAGAGGTTGCAGGCTGGATAAGAACCTTCCACAAGCCACATCTGGCCCATAGGCTGGAGCAGGCATAGTCAAACGTGGCCCTCCGGATGTTTTTGGGACTACAACTCCCATCATCCCTAGCTAACAGGACCAGTGGTCAGGGATGATGGGAACTGTAGTCCCAAAACATCTGGAGAGCCGAGCTTGCCTATGCCTGGGCTGGAGAGTTTCCATCCCACTCTACATGCATACTCAGAAAAAGGTCTTATAAGTTCAAGGTGTGCCTAGGATTGCAGCCTGAACCCTAAGTCGAGTTCTCCACAACATGAATTGCATAATTAATTTTATCTTCATATACGTGATTGCATTCGAACAGAATTAAGCCCCTGATTTACCTGCAGATCCATTTCAAAGCTTTTAATTTGTGGATCCACCAGTCAAACACAGCTCACCAGCCAGCCATGTATGACGACTCATTGGGGGGTCAGTAATCTTGTTTTTGAGGCAAACTTGGGGATGCAATCACAGGAAGATTGTCAAACATGTTGAGCCCCCAATACCTGGTCAGTAGGCTTGTTCAGTTTGATCAGGCATGGCCAGACCTGGCCCTCAAGCTGTTTTGGGACTACAACTCCTACCATCCCTAGCTAACAGGACCAGTGGTCAGGGATGATGGGAACTGTAGTCCCAAAACAGCTGGAGGGCCAAGTTTGGCCATGCCTGAGTTTGATGGATCACAAGTTCTGTTCTACCTTAGTGTCATAAAGATTGCTCTGCAAAAATTATAACGTAAGTAAATAACTAAAGAAGACTGGAAGTACTTCAACCTACCCTGGGACCTTACAGTGAAGGCTGAGCAATCAATCAATCAATCAATCAATCAAAACATTAGATGCAATTACTGATAACAAGCTACCCTTACCTATGCATGTCTGCCAATTTTGCAAGTACTCTGGCCGCATTACTAAAACTTCCGTTTTTCTCAAAAAACCTCCACAGAAGATCCATATAGCGAACTTTGTTTTGATCAACTTTGGCCATACGTGCCAAATATGGCTCCAGAAAGGGAGAGTTTATCTGCAGGAATCAAGGGGGGAAATGTAAATTCCTATTAGCTTGCTAATGCAGTGTTTTATGAAATGTGACGATGAAGTTGTGTATCTTAAACACTGTACATTGTATTTATTTATCTTCATCAACTTGGTCTGTGACCTTACTTACTTGCAGCAGTTTATCTGACAGATCAGCTTGGACCAACCAGCTGTAAAGAGCAATACTAAAAAGTTCATCCGTAGAACGCTGGGCCAATTTTAGCATTTGTTCAAACTGCAATGAGAGAAGGGGAGGGAATTGAAAAAGATCTCTAACAGTATATCTTTATTACACTTTTAGTCCTACTAGGTGTTTCCTATGCACCAGTTTAAATTCCTCTAATGAATAATACAGGTGAAGGCTTTTATAATCTTTTTATATGCAACAACAGCTGCCAGGGTAATGATTACTACTAAATGGAAGTCTCAGGACACACCAACAAAGGAAGAGTGGATTTGTAAATTAAATGAGTATATAGAATTGGCAAAATTAACTTCAGTTATAAGATATCAATCAAATCAAAAGTTAAGAATGGAGTGGAAGTATTTCAAAGATTATATGTCAAAATATTGTTCTAAAAATGACATGCTAAGAGGCTTAGAATAAAAATGTAGCAATAACAAAATCAATAAAGAAAGAAGGAAAAATCAGAATTCAACAATTTTATTATAGAATGCAAGGGGGAAAGGTAGAAAGAAATATAAAGAAGTTGAATTGCTGTGGAGGGGAGTAGAGGGTGGGTGGTAGGTTTTATAAATAGGTGTATAATTATGCAGCTGTTGTAATCTAGATATTATATTTTATGTGAGGGAATCATTGGGAATTTTGGTTATTATGTATATATGTTAAGTTTCAATAAAGATCTTTGAAAAAAATAATACAGATGAAGGTTGTTAAACTGTACTAACAGCTTCACAATAAATTTACAGTAAGTTAGTAGTCTGGATCTGAAAAATCATACATGTCCTGAAGGGAATTTTATCGAATAGCAGGCCCTTCCTGGGCCTACTCAAGGCCTTCCTTCAGCATAGCTAAAGCAGTTCTTTGAATCCTGGATATTAGATTTATGACAAGCTTAAAAGTACTTCCTGGGCAAAGTTAATGGCAATTCAGTGTATGCCATGTTTTTTCTTACATGATGTCCTGCTTCTTCATTGCTTAGCATATTGGGATCTGATGTCAAGACAGGAGGACCAGGTTTTTTGGGCACGCTGGGAGACTGTGGAGCAGCTTTACTTTGATTGACTAACTCCTGGAGAGTGTCCGTGATGCACTTATAGCTGTTTAGCCTGCAGAAAAGTGGAAACCACAGGAAAATGACTCACAAGCCAAAACTTCCAAGCACACACAGCAACAATTTATTGTCTTGCATATGCATGCTATTTTGTGCTAGATAGTAGAAGCTTTGATTCTTAACATCACTTCCTAGATTGCCAGATGCTGGAATGGCTGTAGAAAATATGTAGGAATTCATCTGCAATTCAAAATAATTAGTGGATAAAGCAACATAAAGAAACACACACCGATGACCCACTCTGTCACTCTTCCTTGGTTACACATCTGCAGGGGCAGGGGGGATGACAGTGGTGAATCTTAAAAATTTGGACCCTTTCCATTTCTCAGGAAGGTAAAAAATAAACATCACAACTGGTCACTTTTTATTTTGACATAAAAAAAAAACCCCTCTACAAGATATTAAAGTGTATGTAGTTTTTGTAATTTTAAGTAGCCATTTTTACCATCAATGTGCCTTTTTTCTATTTGTGCTCACAAATACAGCTTTTGTTGTATTTAAGGCTACAAAGCCTGGAGAGGGGAGTCCCGGTGCCTCAGGTTAAGCCCAACCCAGGTAGAGGGAACCTTAAGGCACTCCACTCTTCCTTTTGGCTACTTTATTTCCAAAAAGCCACAACCTCGTAAAACAACTGCTAACATCTCTGTCCTAAAACTCACTTTGGGTTTTAGTAAAGCAAACAGTCTAATTTGTCAGCGCCTAAATGTTATCGAGCGTCAGAACAACTTGGCCACAATAAGGAAATTTTGCCCATGGCGTGACTATTTTCCACCTGCCCATTTCGACTCTCTGGCACCCTATCTGCATAACCTAGCAATTCTAAAATACAGATGTGCCTTTACTCTCACAAGATTGAATGTATTGCCCTCGGCTGTATTTGAGGGACGATTCCAACAGATTCTACACGAAAAACGCTTATGTCCCTGTGGAGATGGCAGTACCGAATCGGTGGCGCATGCCCTTCTGGCTTTATAAAGACTTGAGGAATGAGATTATCACCCCTCTTTTAATGTCCATTCCGGGTCACCCAGCCACTGCCACAGTGTCCTTTCTCTTGGCAGATCAAGATGAGCAAGTGACAGCAAAGGTTGCAAGGTTTTTAGCTGGGGCAATTAGAATAAGATCCACTATTTGACTATTGATTCAAAACCTAAAATGTATTCTATATAAATGACTTTTTATTTTTATTTTTTGTATATTGTATTGTTGTTTTATTGCTATGGTCGATGGCTGGCGCAAATAAAGATTCATTCATTCATTCATTCATTCATTCTGTCCTGAAGAACATTTCAATTGTATTCCCAAACTTGCCTTTCCTGGAAAGCCTGACATCCAACAACATCTTCCTCTGGTTCTCCATTTTTGTAATAATGGAGTCCAAGACCTTGGGGATCTTTCTTCTCTGCAGCCATGAGAGAAAGTTCTACCACACCCTCATAGAAACGTACTTGAGATTAAAAAGAAAAGAAAAATACATTAACAGAGATAAGAGTGAACATAATACTACAGAACATTGACAAAATGAATACAACCTATTTCAAATTAGAAAATGTGAAGTCCTAATTCTAATTATCTGATGCTGTGGGCTGCAGGGGCATCTGTGCATCTACCCACATTCTGAAAACTACATATGTCCCTCTGTGAAGCCCGGAAAAATAGGTTTTCTCAATTTTTCAGTATTTTCTGCAAGGACAGTATAATTCGAACAAATGCAAAACCACGAGTACTGTGTGATTAGTTTCCGAAACCCTCAATTCACGTATTAAGTGTTACACAAATGATATCAGATTTCTCAAATGATAAAATATGCCTGATGCACACAAACATAAAAATTACAGGGAATCTGAATTTTATTTGAAGGTCGAGGAGGAAATGGTGTCTGGCCATGAAACCAAACACAAGTCACAGTTACCCTGCTTGCAACTTCATTCTTCCAGGAAAGAGACAGGAGTTAAGGAGTGGGAGAGGGTGAAACGCAGACATCAGGTTGGTTTGGAGTAGCCAAAGTTGGCAGCAGGAGCACACTCTTGCTCCGTGGTTCCTATCTCTTCCTCTTATTTTAAAAAATCTGTTCTGCAAAAAGCAGGAGACCTGCATCTGTTCACTGCAGAGGCAGAAGAAAGAATAGTTTCAGAGAAGACGTGGGAAGGTGCCTCCAGTTGCAAGGACCCAGCCAGTCTTTCTTCGGAAGAGCCTGTCTCCTGGTGAACAGCGCAGAAAGCACATCAGCGTTCTGGGCCACTGGGTGGCAGCAGATAGGGAAAAATATGTGTTCTTTAGTGTTGTATTGCATTTTTTTCTAACTGTGATGTATGTGCATCACTTCCTATACTGTTTAATACTGATATTCCTGTAGCAGCTGGTCTGCAGAGAGAAAGATAAGTTGATCAGCAGACCCACTGAAATTATGCTCCTAAATCATGTCCCTTTCTTTCAATAGGTGGGATTCAACTAAGTTATACTCAGAGTACACCCACTGAAATTAAAGAACATGACTAAGCTAGGTCCATTACTTTCAGTGGGTCTACTCTGAGTAAAACCTAGCTGAATACCACCCACTGGGTCTACTCTGAGGATGACTTAACACTGGAAACAACACTATATTCATAAAGTTAAAAGTTCAGTGATGCTTGTAACTCACCTTGCCTATACTGTGCACAGACATTGGCAAGATCTACCTGTGTGCTAATCTGTTGATATTCTTTCAATGACTCCCTTAGCATCTTCTCTTTTTCAGATTTGTTCTGAACTTGTCGGGACCGCTGAAGTAGTTCATTTGCCTAGTAAGACACAAGCATAGATCAAAGTCTGCATTCTTCATTTGAACTGCACACACTGAAGATTCAGTGGGAAGCCAAGGCCTATATCAGCTTTGCACTGAATGTTGATTTACTGAGATGGAGGTTGAAGCATCCCTCACACTTAACGAAGTCAATAAATTATTCTACTTCCTGGCCAGAAGTGATATTTTTTGTCTAGGAAATTATTCTTGTGCTAAGCTGTCCCCTTATCCTTCTACAGATCGTAACACTCATCTTTCAATTATTTTCTTAAAATGATCGCAGTAGTTTAATATTAAATATTTTCCAGTGACAACTGATAAATTTTAACACTTCTATATGCATATTATTCTGAGCACAGCATGACAGAATGCAATTCTCATATTATATTGCCCTCACTAGATGCAGAAATAGCATGCTAATGCACACACACAACCGAACAAAAAACCCCTACACCCTTACTTGTTCTCATATTGGTTACTATACCATACCTTGGAACAGATAGCATCATCTGTGCTGTAGAGCAGTGGGCAGATGTCTTGTAAATGTGAACTAATCCCATCAACAGCAGCATGGTCTCTGATGTAACAGTTGATGAGGGATGCAATAAGGGCTCCAGTTAGCTCTCTATCTCTAATTACCAAGTCTCTGAAAGTAGTCACCTTCAGGTGTTCCTGAAGCTCCTATGGAAAAAGCACATCCCCAATTTTTACTGTAAATGCTTTTTTCTTGTTTAAATTTCGTAAGAGAGAAATCCTGCTGCATTTACATTACAACAAACCATCAAGGACAGCATAATTTACAGCACACATTATCTTTTTTAAAAATATGCATAAGATTAAAATAACTTTGATAATGTCAGCAGAGAAGGGCACAACCTGCAAACCACCCTCTACATCAGCGTGAAACTCTGTTTTAATAAACCAATATAAGAACTTGCATCATAATTAAAAATGATTTTGGTACTTTGCAGGTTGCCCTTTAAAATAGTGAGGCACTCTGAAATATTTAAAAGACTGCAAAATCACTAAGTGATACCTATTGTCCAGAAGATCCCAATGTTCTGCTTTGAACAATAAAACTCCTATGTCTTCCAGGTCAAGAAGCAAGGAGTGATCAAAGGCTGATCGATCGCCAAATATTTGTGGAATAGTTTATCTGCATTGTAATATTGCAAACAGTTTTGCCTAACAATTTAACTTGGAAGGTACTGGTTCAATAAAGCTCAAAAGGAAGGTTTGGACAATTAATGATTGGGAGTTGCTGCGCCATTAAACTTCAGGTAACAGACTTGGACAACATCCCGGATTGGAATGGAGTCAGAGGAAGCTGCGCTGATAAAAAGACAGTTGGAAAAATATATACTAACAAAGCTGTATTCGATGGGTGAAAGTACATGACGTTTGACATGATTGAGAATCGTGGACTCAGGGACGGAGAATTATAAAGCGTCAAAATTGAGATGTGGAAAATATGGAAACAACAAGGAGAGGCAGGACTGAAATGTAGAGATATGCTTCAGAGATCCAGACCGTGGGGAGCTCTGAAAAATTAATAACTATAATTTGGACTATAATTTGGTCTTTTTTATTTTAATTGGAGTATTGTGACTGGATATATTAATTGGATGTTTTTTATGGGAAAATCAATAAAAATGGTTTAAAAATAAAAGAAGAAGCAAGGAGTGCTGTGGCACATACCTTCTGAAGTTCGCCCACGACAATGTTGAACTGATGCTCACAAAGAAGCTTCCACAGTGCCAAAGCCTGGCAGGTTTTCCGAACAAGTTGCTGGATGCCTTGAAGGGAGGCCTTCTCTGCTAATTGTGCCTCCGCTGTAAAAGTGAAATGGACACCGCTAAATTATAACTTATTTCTATCCCCTGAACATGTCACACACACAAGGGTGAATGTGTCAAGTAACAGATGCTTTCACAAAATGTTTTCAAGCACTAGAAACAAAGAACTATGTGGCATGAAGGGATCGTTGGCTTACCCAATTCTAACACTTCTCTACTAGGTAGGATTCACCCGGTTTAAGCGATCCCTAATATGGTAACGCAGTCATAGTAAATAACAAGATGAAAAAAATATTTTTTAATAATTCCAGTGGCACCTTGAAGATCAACTAAATATAAGCTTTCAAAGGATGAGCTTTTGTGTGTAATACACACTTTGTCAGATACTCTGAAGCAGAGGTTGCTTCAACCTTCTAAATGTTGATGACTGTTATGGCAGTTGGTTCCTCAGGGAAGGGCAAGGGATTTTTAAAGGGATAGATGACCAAATTTAGCTTTAATGTGTATAATGGGACATGAATCCCATATCTCTATTCAGATCAGGTCTCTCCATAGTTTTTAGTTTAGTAATGAGTTGTAATTCAGCAACTTCTCTTTCAAGTTGCTATTTCTATTTCTAGCCTCTCAAACAGTCTCAAAATATTCACTGTTTACTGTTAAAGCTAGAAAGAAATTGTCCCCATGTATTTTTCTTCAAAAATACATGCTAAAGAAGAGAGAAAAGAAAAAAGAGCTATTTATCTACCATGAAACTTTCTCTGGAGCTCTTGCTGCAGTTGCTGAGAACTTCCACCATCGGACCGCATGAATCCAAGTAATCGCTGCTGCAGGTTAGCTGAGGTGGCAAAGCTTTTTCATGAAAAACAAGGAAAAAACGTGTACACTGTATAAATGGGGTATGGTGTGCTTGGGGCCGTCGCATGCCAAATATACAGTAGTAAAAACTGGTTTAGAAAGCAGAAGCTGTTTAATATGTTAACAGTGAACTCAGATTTACCATCCTTTTAAGCATCCTTCAAAGCCCCTTAAGTCTGGTTATCTTAATTTTGTCTGGGAAAGGCCATCTAATAAGAAGACTTAGGGACAGGTAGGGCAAACGAGTTCTACTTAGTATTTGCTGACCTTGAGTCTCCCATAGGGCTGTTAGGCCTAAATTAAAGTGCTCTGGGAGTTATTAAGAAGCTATTCTAGACCAGGAGTCTGGCGTTAAGTCAGTTTAGTACCTACGGCCTGAGGATTGGCAGGTTAATGCAGTCCCTTTTTGGTCCCACAAAGTCCTCATTTGTAGATTCTGATTAAACTGTAAAAGTGCTGGTAGTTCACAGAAGAAATATGGTTGCTCCAGAAGCAATATGTGTCTGAAAACTGGCCTAAGCTGTATTTTGTAAGCTGCTATAGAGACCTATCAAGTTGGATAATAAATCTGCTATAAAGACCACAAATATTCATGCATAAATATTGGAGATACATATGTTTTCTAAGGGAACAACTCAAACTTTCAAACCAGTTATCTGTACAACACAACTGTCAGCCACCAATGCTTGTTTTCCTCAACACCCTTAATCTTACCTGGGATTTCTAAGGGATCCTATTGCTGCAAATTGTGAATTCCTATCCAAAAATTCCTGCAGCCCTTTTAATTCTTGTAGTACAGTTTCTAACACTTGTGGTGGAACACTGCTTTCAACCTAAACAAGAAAGAGGTTAACCGAAATGAACATATTTGAAACTAACCAATTTTAACTTATTCTAAATTTCTGTTCTTGGAGGTTTCTGGGTAGATGACTAGGAAGTGAATCCTCCTGTAACCAGGAAAAGTCACTGTTAGGAAATGTTGCTTTGCAAAACCTTTTGAGCTGGAGTCAGACAGGGGAAGAAGGGAAGACTACAAGTTTCTCCTTTCCCCTGTGCATGAAAACAGAACTGCAGAGGAAGCCACTCCTTACGAGGGAGATGGGGGATAAAAAGGCAAACCTTTTAGTTGCTGCTGAACCAATTCTGTGCAGCTCTGGACAAGCTGAGAAAGCTCTTTGCTGTGATGATCAGAAAGAGCTGGTGTTGGGCCTGAATCTCCCTTTATGGTGTAACTTCCTGATACCAGCCTTGCCTAGTTACTAGTTACACTTCCCAATCATCAAGACCGCCCTATTCCAGAACCTCCAGAGAAACACACCTGACAACAGGTAAACAGAATCCAGATCTATGTTTACACAAATAACTGCTTTTCTAAGCTTACACATTGTGAAGAATCAAGAGATTAACTTTCAAACCGGTCCTTTCTCCAAAAATTGGGTTTCGTAGTAATGGGTTTTTGTTTTGAGATCACCAAGAGGGAGAATTCAAATTTGCAACCACCACCACCTTGAAGTGGAAAACCTATCACTTGATTCTGCAAAATTAAGCTACTAATATTTTTGGGAGAGGGATGGTTGAACCCTTCTATATGACAAGCTGTTTTTCTATCTGAAGAGAATTTGGGCGAGGAGTAGAATTCAAAGATGAAACTTGCTATTCATCTTTATCAGGGGTTGGCAAAGTTTTTGTGGCTTGGGTCTGTTCACTGTCCCGCAGACACAGCAGTGGGCCGGAGTGCGTGCATGCACAACCGCTATTTCCGGCACTCCTTCCAGCGCGGAGGAGGCATGCGCAGCTTCCCATTGGCTGCAGGAGCTTCCTGCAGCCAATGGGAAGCCGGCCAGCGTCGCAGAAGGCGGTCCCTGTTCTGCTCTGCACTGGTTTAGCGCAGCGCACAGGAGCCGACTGAGCGGGCGGCGGGGTTCCATGGGCCAGTCAGACCCCTATGGGCCACTTGTGGCCCATGGGCCTTAGGTTGCTGACCCCTGATCTTTATTATCATCAGCATTGGAGTTTAAAGGCTTGCACTTACTATGCATATATTACTCGCCCGCCCCCCCAAGCTCTGAATACGCCTATACTAAGAATGGCACAACAGTGAAGTGATGGGTTTGGATCTGGCACCCACTGTTATCAAAGAAGATCAAAGGTTACAGTCATCTCCGCTGATTCATGCTGGTACAAAGTTCCAGCCAAACCTATTAAACCCGATGATTACAGGGACAAACATGTTCTTCCCTTCTAAATCCATCTTCCTGAAAGGAAGAAAATACGGTTCTTATGCAGTGTGGTGCTTTGTGATGGCACACTGACCAATAGTCACCATGTTGATTTCCTTCATATATAGACATCAACACCAGTATTAACCCCCAAACTACCAACTACCCTTAGAAACGTCATATAAGATTCCAAAACAGCCATTAATACTCATCAGTACTTACAGCTACAACTTCTCGATTGCCACTCTTGAAAACTCTCTCCACAACTATACTTCCATCCCAAATGTTTCTGGAAAGCAAGAAAATACAGTTTTGAAGTTTCATGTAATCAGCACATGATGACACTGGAAGCTTCTGCTTCCCTTTTAAGTTTAACCACAGCTTAGTGTGCTGTGAAACCCTAAACCGTGATTAATCTTATCCATATTTAGTGGAAGCATACCAACACCATTTGAAGTTGGTTGTTTCCACCAACCACAGTTAAGATAAACTTCATTTTGTCAGGTTATAACAACATGTATCCTCACCTTTCCATAAATAACTTACCCTATGATCCGAGAGAAATATATGCAGATACCATTGTGCTTTCCAGAAAACACTATCTCGGGGCACATTATGCCACTAAGAGAAGCACTGGGTTGAGACATATGACTGCTTGAAGTGAACACTGGAGTTGACATGGTTGGAGGATGCAAACCTGGAACATAAACTCACTTTTTAAAAAAAGACAGAAGCAAGATTAGAAGTATTAGAGAAATATATTTAAATAATTAAAAGGAAATACCTTGGGCTGGTGTTGCCAAAAAGCTTGGATTAGGGTAGGGGCTACTAGCAGACATAGGAGAACCTAATATAAGAAGAGCAATGCATACTATAAAGCAACCATAAAGCAATAATACACAGCCCAACAAGAAAACAGGAACCCACCAATAGCATACAAATTGATCCAACAGCCCCCTCAAGCACACAAACAAAACTCATTGCGGTCAACTATAGGCAACCATCCACACCCTATCCCCCCATGTCTATCTCACCACCCACAAAAACCAATAAATGAACAGAAATAGAACTGACCCACGTGATGCTAACGAAAAACCCTTATGCATACACTATGTAGAAGAATGAGTTTACTATCCCCCTTCTCCCCTCCCCCAACTTTATACTGTCCATAACGAGTCTCACATCAAATATGAATGATCTGTAGAAAGTATTCTATGAACTGAAAGAAGAGATGCTGTATGTACTTTTGTAACCCAAGAAAATCTTTAATAAAAACAATTTTTAAAAAGCAATAATCAGAGCACAGCTTTAAGAGATTACAATATAAAACCAGGGAGTTTGAGGCAGGGAGAAGGGATCATTTTTATTCAGTAATTGTCTGCCATCCACAGTTTGCTATGAGATGCCACTGGCAGAGATGGCTTACAGTTCAAGACATATTGAAAGAATTTAGAGGGACGGGCATATCTTTGCATCAGGCATGGGAAAGGATGAAGGAAAGAGGGTGAAGGAAAGAGAAAATTAGTTCCCCCCCTCAAATCTTCATTTATTTCAACGCTTACATATTGTAGATATAAAATATGAAGGTTTATGTTGCTAAATTGATCTGTATACTAAAACAGTTCAAGGTACTGCCAATTTCCTCTTCTTTCAGCATGGGAAGGGCATTTGTACAGTAAGTATAAATGCACTTCTGAATCATGAACCCAACAGTAGTGAATGACTACTAAAGCTACACGAGTGGGTGCAAGTGGATGGAATGTTTTTGCAAAATAAAAGGTAAAAAAAACCTCTTGCCTAAAAGTACTGACTATATTTGCTGCTTACCAGGTGGAACAGGAGATCCCAGTGTGTACCCAACATTACTTGGAGGCGGCAGGGTGGATGGAAATCGCATCTGTGTTTCACCACCATATCTGAGATTCACAAAATTAAAACAACTGTATCAACGCTGCAATCAGTTCTCAGAGTATTTTTAAGCAGTCAAACAGTCAATAAATACTTCTTTAGGTGGTTGAATTGTGAAGCATATGTAAAAAATAGCTTGTCTATTAATGTTTAATGTTATGTCTAAACCCTATAATGGTGTGTCAAGGGGACCCTCTGGCCCATGGGCCAAATTAGTAAGGTAAAGGGACCCCTGACCATTAGGTCCAGTCATGGCCGACTCTGGGGTTGTGGCGCTCATCTCGCTTTATTGGCCGAGGGAGCCGGCGTACAGCTTCCGGGTCATGTGGCCAGCATGACTAAGCTGCTTCTGGCGAACCAGAGCTGCGCACGGAAACGCCGTTTAACTTCCCGCTGGAGTGGTACCTATTTATCTATTTGCACTTTGACATGCTTTCGAACTGCTAGGTTGGCAGGAGCAGGGACCAAGCAACAGGAGCTCACCCCGTCATGGGGATTCGAACCACCGACCTTCTGATCGGCAAGTCCTAGGCTCTGTGGTTTAACCCACAACGTCACCCACGTCCCTTATGGGCCAAATTAGGACTGCCAAAACAGTTTTTCCTTAACCATGCCCACCTGCCCCACAGCTAACCATCAGGTGTGAAACAGGACAAAAGGGTGGCAGCAAAGGAACAACTGGAAGTTTAAAGTGTGCTTTCAAGTGCTCTTTGGCAAGCAGCACTCAATCAAGCCCTGCTGGGATTGGCTGCACTAGGGAGCTCCCCATGTGTAGATCAGCTGGTGAATGCTGATAGCAAGCCCCCTTGAAACTTTTAGTTCCTGCCATAATAACCCTGCTAATAAGCCCTAGCTCCATTCCACATGCTGCTGTGCCAGAGCCTTGCTGTTCATGACATCTGAACTAGGGTTTGTGGTTTGCTTCCATCAAAGAAACCACATGAAGTAAGCCATGAACGAACCTTGGTTACTATTCACAAACCATTAGGCTGGCTTTGGGTGTCACAACAAATCAGACCCTGACATAGGAGCCGACTCCTAGGGGCCACGAGGGCTTTGGCCCCCACAAAGTTGATGGGCATTGCCATTAAAATGGTGTATGTGAACTGTGTCATGTGATCAATTAGGCAGGGTGGGGCTTACCTGGGCCCCACAATATTTCATTCAAGTTGGCACCCCTGAACCCTGACTTTGTTTTACAGTCGGACAGCAGCAGAAGTGGAGCAAGAACTTTTCAGCAGTGTGCATTAGCATTCTGTGGGTTCATGCTAAACAAAAGTTTGTTTTTTCCTACAGTTTAATGTGACACGCAGATTGGGCCTCTGTGGCTAACCTTAAAAGGTAAAGGGACCCCTGACCATTAGGTCGAGTCGTGACCGACTCTGGGGTTGCGGCGCTCATCTCGCTTTATTGGCCGAGGGAGCTGGCGTACAGCTTCCAGGTCATGTGGCCAGCATGACTAAGCCGCTTCTGGTGAACCAGAGCAGCGCATGGAAACGCCGTTTACCTTACCGCCGGAGCGGTACCTATTTATCTACTTGCACTTTGATGTGCTTTCGAACTGCTAGGTTGGCAGGAGCAGGGACCGAGCAACGGGAGCTCACCCCGTCGCGGGGATTCAAACCGCCGACCTTCTGATCGGCAAGTCCTAGGCTCTGTGGTTTAACCCACAGTGCCACCCGCGTCCCTATGGCTAACCTTAGCTATGGTTTATTAAAGCAAGTGAGTTTCATAAACCATGGTTTGAAGTTGGCTTGTTTTATTAAACAAGGCTACTGTGTGCCTACTAATTAAATATGAAAAATGTAATTTCAACACAAATTAGAACTAAGATGCTGCTTTCCCTAAACTATTTTTCTCAAGAGTGAGGTACAAAGAGGCATGATCATATCTTAAATCTATAATGACAAAATGAAACATAGCACAATAGTTACTGAGAAGCAGGAATCAGCTATGAAACTTTATGCAATGCTTAGTTTTAACAGTTCATATGTTCCAACCAGAGTCCAGCACAACCCATTTACTGCTGGGATACCATAGATTTTTAAAGTATAATCTCTTGGCATAATGCAGATATGAATAATTTTACCTGAAAAATGCTCGAGTGGCCCAAACAGATACTTCTCTATCACAAGCAGCAGAAGAACAGGCAAGTATTAGGCAAGTAGCACAAGCCTGCTCTTCCTGTAAGAACCATCATTAAAAAATATCAGTAAAAATGACAGAACAATCTTGGTGCAGTTTTAATGAAATGAGGAGCAAGGGGACTAAAGGGTAACTTGTCTATTTAGAAGGAAGTCCTACTGACACCAATGGGGCCCATATAAGGGTGTAAATAACTGCAGTCAGTAAATGGTGTTGCTACCAGATGTTAGGTATATATCTGGAAGTCATCACTATAGTGGAGAAGCATGCTGAACAGGTACATTTTTAACTGCCTTACTTGTCCAACACAATTAATAACACACTTACAGAATCTATTAAGATAAAATAGGGTGATGGCCACTAATCAAGACAGTGTCAAAACAAACGAACAAACAAAAACATAATGGAGGCTAACTATTAACCACTGGTAAAGGTAAAGGGACCCCTGAACATTAGGTCCAGTCGTGGCTGACTCTGGGGTTGCGGCGCTCATCTTGCTTTATTGGCTGAGGGAGCTGGCGTACAGCTTCCGGGTCATGTGGCCAGCATGACTAAGCCGCTTCTGGTGAACCAGAGCACTGCACGGAAACGCCGTTTACCTTCCCACCGGAGCGGTACCTATTTATCTACTTGCACTTTGACGTGCTTTCAAACTGCTAGGTTGGCAGGAGCACGGACCGAGCAACGGGAGCTCACCCCGTCACAGGGATTCGAACCGCCGACCTTCTGATCGGCAAGTCCTAGGCTCTGTGGTTTAACCCACAACGCCACCCGCGTCCCTTATTAGCCACTGAGAGACACCTAAATTGAGTCTCAGATGCTCCCCCCCCCCCCAGTTTCTTACATAGCCAGCAAGGGATCACTATCACTATCATAACCTGCTTATGAGCTCCCCACTGCTAGAGGTTGCATGTTGAACCCCTAGTTCTATCTCTGGCCTAATAAAGGAAGGAAAAGTTAAATTCTCACCGGGTGCAGTTTGAAAAATCTTTCAATCTCTTCTCCATCACCTCCTGCATTGCACACAAAAAGATGTCGCAGCTGATCTACTGGTCTGAGTTTATGAAACATAAAACTCCCCTAAAGAAAAACAGAACATTTCTTATTTATTTAATGGTGATTTCTATAGCATTTTTATTGGCCAAAATAATTTACACTTCTTACACCTTGTTCATCTTTATGACAGCCCTATAAGGAAAGTCATTAATAATTATATTTTACAAAAATGGAGAACGGTTTATAAAGAAGTGGCATGCTCCAGGCCAGGCACCCCCAAACTCGGCCCTCCAGATGTTTTGGGACTACAATTCCCATCATCCCTGACCACTGGTCCTGTTAGCTAGGGATGATGGGAGTTGTAGTCCCAAAACACCTGGAGGGCCAAGTTTGGGGATGCCTGCTCCAGGCTGTCCAGAAAGTCCTTGGCCAAGGTTTGAACCTGTAATGTTCCCAAGCAGCTATAATATACAACGAAGAACAATATTTAAGCTACAGTAAAGGGCTGGGGGGGGGGGGGGGAATCTTCTCCCATGCCTTTATTTGAGGTAAAGGTAGAACCTAGTTTCAGAGATATTTGAAACAACCTCAATATATCAGAGCTGTACCTCAAACCGTTTCATAGCTAGGTAATTAACATAGCCACTTGTGCTACATACAGGACTGGAGGGTAGGGCTTAAGCTTGATCTTCTCACTTTTAGAAATTAAGTACAGTCCTCTCATGTCTGAATTCTCTATCATATAGAGCCAGCATATTAAGAAAGTTTTATTTTGCATCTACATTTTGCATCTACAAAATAAATACAATGTTCCATGTTTAACAATTATGATTAACACATATACACTAAAAGGCTCTAACAAAGACGTTTCAAAGGAATAAATTACTGGAGTAAGAAAGAATAATACATCAGTATAGAGTCATAGAAGCGTAGAGTTGGAATGGACACCGAGAGTCCTCTAGTCTAACCCCCTGCAATTCAGGAATCTTTTTGCCCAGCTTGGGGCCCGAACCCACGACCCTGATCTTAAGAGTCTCATGTTCTACCAGCCTGAGTAGACAATTAATCCAGATTATGTATGTACACATATGAAGTTACCGTATTGGCCTGAATATAAGCCGCACCCGAATATAAGCCGTACCTTTGAAACTGGAGGGGAGGGGGAGAAAATACCCAAATATAAGCTGCTCCATTCCTCGCTGCTCCTGTCTGCATACCGTAAGGTCACGAATATAAGCCACACTTTAACTTTTCATGGTCAGAATTTGGGGGGAAAGTGAGGCTTATATTCAGGCCAGTACGGTACTTCCCCCCAATTCCTTTCCAGAAAAGGTAGTTTGCAAAGTCAGTGGCTTATATCCACTGTGTCACTCATCTGATGGTACTGCTTCAGTCAGTGGAAGAAGGAGAGAGGCAATTTTAAGAGATTCCTTCCTATAATTCGTCCACATCCCCAATATGCTCTGGAAGGTTCCCCATTACCTCTGAGCAGATTTCAGAAGTGGGGTGTGGGATAAATGGCCAAAGGTGCTTCTCTCTTCCTTTTACCGATGAAAGCCTTACTATCAGCTGACCCGACAACATGGGATACAACCAAGTGGTAGGACGCCAGAATGATTTCAGACAAGAATAAAAAAAAACCACATCAGGATGTAAGAGATCAAATTCATTTCTAAACAGAGATTAAGAGCTTCTGAAAATGTCATGTGAGGTTCAGTTTCATCTTCCTCCTCTTTCTCTGTTTTTATTTTATTTTAAGCAAGCAGTTGTACTACAAACCTGTGCCGAAAGGAGAACAAATTTCTTTGGCGGTAGCATATGCTGTTGTACAACTACAGGATAGTCAGTTATGGGAATTAGATCTTTATTCAAAGGTGTTACTATCTTCTGAGCTTTGTGATCATCTATCGCAGAAAGAGCCCAAGAATGTCCATCCACATGTGTCTTTGTCTGAAATAAGAAAGTAAAGAGTAAAAAAATTATAAAAGAGTAACTTGCTTTCCAATCATATGCTTCAGCTATAACAATATTATTGTACCTCTGCCTGCAGCTGAGGAAGCTAGTTGTCCTCCTATCTTTCCAGCTGCCAATTATAATTCTATCCTTCACAGCCTCTGCAGTATTACTGTACCATAGCTGGATCAGGATGTAAAAATATAAAGGTAAGCTAAAGGTCTTCTGGACGGTTAAGTCCAGTCAAAGGCGACTATGGGGTTGTAGTGCTCATCTCGTTTTCAGGCTGAGGGAGCCGGTGTTTGTCCACAGACAACTTTCTGGGTCATGTGCCCAGCATGACTAAACCGCCTCTGGCACAACGGAACACCGTGACAAAAACCAGAGCACACGGAAACACTGTTTACCTTCCCGCCACAGAGGTACCTATTTATCTACTTGCACTGCATGCTTTTGAACTGCTAAGTTGGCAGGAGCTGGGACAGAGCAACAGGAGCTCACTTTGTTGTGGGGATTCGAACTGCCAACCTTCCGATCAGCAAGCCCAAGAGGCTCAGTGGTTTAGATCATAGTGCCATTCATGTCCCTGAATCAGGATGTACTTCCCACCAGGCAATTAAATCTATGGCTTCATCCCCCCCCCCCCCCAAATAATTCTAAGTCAGTATCAGAAAGGTGAAAAGCTGGTCACAACTTGTGATATGGCCTTGCAACAAGAAGCAGTAAGGTGTCAAAAGGAGAAGTATCAGAAGTAGAAAACTTTTGAACTCTTACACAGATTTATGAAGAGGGAATAAAGAAATCTAGGTAGGCAAAACTATCATCTCTCACAACAGCTATTACTTTCAAAATAACCTAGCAAAATATAAAGAATTACCTGTGTTTCCATCATTGGCTTTTGGAAAGGAAAAGAATCATGATTAACACACCACAATATATCATTATCCTCATTTTCTGAAGCAGCCATTAGCAGAACACCTGAAAATATAATAATAATTTATTAAGAAATGCTGAATCTGAAACCTAAAATCGAGTCTTATGATTCATCACTTTCTATAGGACAAAATAGCCTAAATTGGACAAAGGACTCTTAAATTACTGATAAAAACTCATCTCCAGAAATTACCTTTGCTATAAAGAGCTTGGTGCACCTTTGATGGCTTTTCCACATTAGAAGCAGCAGAAAATCCTGGAGGCAGACGGATGTGAACCAACGTTAATGTTGAAGGACGTGAAAAAGGATGCTTGAATGGGCATGTACTAAAATACATCCGTACACCTAAGAAAAAAGCACAAGATACTCCATTAACAGTATAAACGTATTTCATAAAAGGGTTGCAGTACAATCCCATACCTGTCTACTCAGTGCTTTTTTTCTAGAAACCATGAAGTTGTTACAGTAAGTGCCACACTTTTTAACAACAACAAAAAAGAAGTGCCGTACTGCATAACCTTCAAAACCCCCTGAAAAGCATTGTGTCTACTTCAAAATTAGTCCCATCAAGTTGAATGGGGCTTGCTTCCAGTTAACAGTTTTGGATCATGGCATTAATGAGTCTGAAGTATTCTGTTCAGATACGGAACTATTGAACGGCAACAACACAGACTGCTTCATTTCCCCCATTTAAAGGCAATGGTATGAATGATAATAGAAACCTGGTTATTTCTAATTGATCCGCACATTTTAATTCCTCTTCATCCACTGCTTCTTGATCCCTTTAGGATTACTAGGATACTATGATGCAGTGATCCTATACCCTATTGGCTCCCTTCTTTGCCTATCTTCTTCCTTTCAGTACCCTGTTGCTAGTTAGTTTCTTCCAGTTTGCAGGCACTCTACTCTCTAGGTCAGTTCAGATTCTAGACTGGGTGGAGATACTAACTGGGTGGTGATACTACCCACTTCCCCACCAACAGGTTATCCATGCCTCCCTTCTACCATGCACCAGAAATGATTGCACGAATCAAGCTATTCTACATAGAGGCCACCACATGCAGTGCCTGTCTTATGTAGCACATTATGTTCCTGACGTTATGTTATATATAACAGAGGGGAGGGACATGTACCTGCTCATACATCATGTGAGCAAGGCTTGCCACCCAGTAAGTTTTTGAACCAGGGCATAGACACGGTACTTAGCGTTATAGAAAAGGATACTGAATTCTTACCTGCATGAGTGATTGCCAATAACTGGCAATCAATGGATTCAGAATTTTCAATCACTGCTATCTGAACAATAGGCTTAAACACAGAACGGTCTATGGTCCTAAAAGAAAACCAAGATATCAGCTTGTGTACATGCAAGATCTTTTTACCATGTAAACAAAATGATCTAATAATAAGAGATTAAAGTCAGCTCCCCAAGCATAATACCTTAATGTAGATATTTTACCTGGCAATCTTTCCAGCTGCAGCCACAATAGCATTCTGAGAAACAGAAGCAACCCTCACCATCCCTTGACCATCTGGACCTAAATCATAAACCTGTAATTTAATTATATTGCTTTTAGTGGGTTTACTATGAATTCACTTAACATTATTCTCTTCTGCAATGCCTACCGCAAATACGTCAGGAGGCAAGTTAGTTCTGAAATGAAAGATGGCAGCTGCACTGCATTCCAAGGTGAGTAGTTCATTGGACAGAAACACAAGACAATCTTCTTTTATTGAATGCAGGTGGGATGCTGGAATAATGGATAGAGTGCAAAGCCATAAAAACAAATAGGGGAGGTGAAAGGATGCAGAACGAAGGAACTTGTAGTACATTTGCATAATGAACAGGAAACAATCCTGCATGAAAGTTGCTATCATCAGGCACAGGACTGACAGCTCAAAGGAAGAGGATAACTTTATGTTGGGCAGGTGGGACAAAGAATAAGTGCGCAAAGTACAGACAATGGTAGGCAACTACACGCTGAAAAATGTATTTGCAAGGCTGGATTAGAACTCTGTTATACAGTAAGTTCCCATCAATGTAATGAAGTTAGTATTGATGTGAACCTAAATTTGTGAATAACAGGGGAAACAGAATGTATCAAAAGGCATACCTGTATCACACCTTTTTCAGAGCGTGTGTATAAGATGTTTCGGGAGTTGTCAATGGCAATTTGAACAATGGGATCTGCAATTTGAGAATAAAAACCCAGAATCAACTGCTTAAAGTCTGTCAACATTTGGTATTGAGAAATAGAGACTTTCATTCATAATGTCCAGAAGATATCAGTGGACTATCAAAACATATTTTTTTTCTTACCTAAGCACTTCAAATAACAAATTTCAAACCTAAGACTAGCCGAATTACCCAAGTCTCTTAAGAGCATGTTTCTATTGTATTTGCATTGGTTAAACTGCTTTAGCAATAAAAGGCAGTAATTTAGTAGCACAAATCTTGAAAGAAAGCAATCAACCTAATGATTCATTTATGTAAATGAAACATTTAAGTGAGCTAGAGGTGCCAGACATTTGTAACATATTATCAAACACAAATACATCTGGGTTTTAATATTGGTATTTTAAACATGGATTTTACATCCCTTACCATCTTCTGAGAATGTGAACTGGAGCAATGATGGAACAAGGAAAGAAAGGGTGCTCTTTGAATGATTGATCTTCCTACAACGCTGGCTAAACCAGCCAGCCTCAGCCTACAAAAATAAAACAACACTAGAATTAGATAATTATGCAAACCCATCGAATACTTTACTTGACCCATCTAATTATCAATGAATTCCCAACATTATTATGCAGCCTAACTAGTCCTGGCCCCCAGATCATTGCAGATAAACAGTGTGCTCTACTCCAGCACCAGCAGTCTGTACTTTGAAAGAGAAGTCATTTTATAAAGTTCCATTTTAAAAGTTCCAAATCCTCAAGAGTTTATAACTCCATATTTTTCTCTCACTTTGACTGGACCCTAATCTTACATAAGGACCAGTAAATCTGCTTTATATCACAGAGTAAGCCAGCATAATATTACTGTACATCAGATTCACTAGCACATGTGTTGATGTGCCAGCTCTAAGCACATGTGTGTTGATGAAGCAGGTTTGAGACTTGACCTTTTGATTGCTGGCAGAATTCAAGAAGGAAGCTTGGTCTTTTGAGAACTAGCCAGTTTGTGGCCTCTTTGATGCAGGCCATAGAATAAACTCAACAGTATTGAGTTATTGTCTGCCACTAACAAAAATACTTAAACATCAGATGGTTCTTTGCTAGGATTCTTAAGATCATTGAAGATGACTCAGATTCAGTACATTCTTTGCAATGAACAAGAATATTTATTAAGTTAGCAGGAGTTCCAGACTAACATTTATGCACTAAGAAACTCACTACTCTCTTTCAAATAAATGAAGCAATATAGAAGAGAAAGAAATGAGGCATCAAGAGCAATGTACTTTCCATCCATCCCCCAGTATCCATCTCTAGCAGATTTCACTTGCCTGATAAGCAATCTCATACAAACAACCATCTTTGCCAGCCAAGAAGATACGCCCATTTTCAGAAGAAGTTATTGTCAGCAGATAGGTGTTATCGGTAGGCAGTGAGTAGAGCGGGTCTGGAAGAAGCTGCATTCCACCAGACATGCTATCATTGAGGGATCCAGAACCTGATTAAATATATATATATGTTATTTTATTTGTTGACTACTTCAACTAAAATTATTTCAAGAAATAAGGAAGACCTAACATTGAGTTTGTATATCATGAACTCTTAAGTGCTATTTTCTAAAAGTTGATAGGTTTGCTACTAAGGCGCCAATCCTAAATCCTCAGAATAAATAAGATTGAGCCAAAACTCTCTTATGTTGAAAAACACAGTTCTTAAGAGTTAAAATTTCATTTCACTTGAGTTATCAAACATCCTTAATTCACAATGCCAATTCTTTTCCTATTTATACTATTAAAAGTATACACTCCAGATACAACAAAGTAGTAAATTTTCTAAAACATGTTATCTTGAGCATGTATGTGTGTTTTAACACAGAGACTTATCTCAGCCTAAAACTTATTTACTCCTAGGCTCCATCTACACTAAGAGTTTAAAGCCGTAACATACCACTTTAAACAGTCATAGTTTCTTCCAAGGCATGTTGGGAACTGCATTTTGTTAAAGGTGCTGAGAGTTGCTAGAACAGGCTTCCTCAACCTCGGCCCTCCAGATGGTTTTGGCCTACAACTCCCATGATCCCTAGCTAGCAGGACCAGTGGTCAGGGATGGTGGAAATTGTAGTCTCAAATCATCTGGAGGGCCGAGGTTGAGGAAGCCTGCGCTAAAAGATCCCTCTTCCATTCACAGGACTACATTTCCCAGAGTTCCCTGGGAAGAGGGCTTGATTGAGAAACCACTCTGGAAATTGCAGCTCTGTGAGAGGAATAGGGGTCTCATAACTCTCAGCTTCCTTAACAAATTACATTTTCCATGATACTTTAAAGTGGCATGATACTGTTTTATATGTCTAGTTCAGGTGGGGCCTCTAAAAGCTTAATCGGACATTATTTAATTCTACTGCCACCGAACAGCCTCATTCCCTCAGCTCCACCAACGATGAAATTGGTTGTGTCTAGCCAGGCACTTGTGTTGGTAAGGCAGCGAGCTGAATCTAAGAGGAGCCAGTTGCATTAAACAGTCACCAGCTGGTAGCAGCAAGTTCCTCCAAATTTCTTTCCCTATCTCTTCATGAAAGCAAGCATGCGAATACACAATTACCTCCTTGCAAGGTTGCATAGCTTAGTCCTAGAATGACTATATCCACAGGAGTAGCCAAAACGAGCAGGTGCCGTATATGTGGTTGAAAGACTCCTGTGAGTAAAGAAAGCAGGAAGACAACTTGTCAATATAAGGGGGGGGGGGGAACCACCTCTAAATAACATGCTACTTGTCATAATCAAGATCTAGGAGAGTGAAGAGGCATATGCACTAATTCCTGTCAGTCAGGAAATATCATTTCAAGCCTTTTAACTGCTATTTTCCCAATCCTACAGTAATTTTAGCAATGCAACCTCAAAAATAGAAGGTATATTTATGCAACATTTATCTTTGGGGTAATTATGTGCACTGCATGATAATATTCAAAAGGCCCAGTATGTAAGATCGTTTCTAATACAGAACAGACACCAACAAAGCAAACAAATGAAAGCTTATTCTCAGGATAAAGCTAAAATGATTTTTCCCAAGTGTATTTTGTCCACAGCCTATTACCTGCTTTTGGTTTCACCAGTCCCACAGCAAGGATGGTTTCACTAAGGCCATCAAAATAAGCGAGGTCCCCACTGCAATGAACAGAAAAGGTTACATGAAAACATTGAGTACTTAATATCTCAAAGAGTGAATGAAATTGTTAAGAGCACCAATCCGTTACTTACACAAACCTTTTCTTCTTATTAACCAATATTGAGATTACCATACCCAAAAACTTCCTAGACATAAATTATTTATCTTACATACCCATCTTCGTACTGCCACATAAAAATGTCACTGTCAATGGTCAGCCAGGCCCTGCTAATTTCAGGAAACACTCCCATCATACAATTGCACTGCATATCTGAAGTATCCAGATTTAAGGATAAAATGCACCAAGGCAAGACATGCAATTCTGCATTATGTTAAGTTTGCAATTAGGGAAGAGGAGGGGAGGATCGGGATAAGTGTAGAATTCCACAGCTCAGTATTATAAATGTAAAGTCACAACATACATAGCAATTATTTTATTACACAAATGCTCAGTTGATAAGACTCCAGAATCTTGATTTGTATGAACTTAAAAGAACATTCATGTCTCTCCACAGAGAAAGAATGCATTTATTTCAAGCTAGGAGATAGTATGACCAGGAGCCTTGATTTCTTTTTTAAAATGTTTCATTTACATTTAGCAATCAAGGGATGGATAGAGAGAATGTCAAACAGAATAAATGGAGGTTCTTTTACATGACACTAAGCAGTCTGAAGTACAGTCATACTTCTAGTTGCATTAGGTTCATGTTGCGGATTTTTGGGTTGCGAACACAGCAAACCCAGAAGTGTTCTGCATGCTTCGCACATGTGCACTCTGCGCAGGAGCGCTCTACTGCGTCACACGCAGAAGCGGCACTCTACTTACGGACTTTTCGGGGTGTGAATGGCACCCCGGAATGGATCGCAACCGTAAGTGGAGGTACTACTGTAGTACCAAGCATTTTTTATTGTTGTTTAAACTTTAAAGCACTGAATTAAATTCCAAGCAATAAAATTAAGTTTCAACAGCAGAATGCCATACTGATTATTATGCAAATGTTTCCTAATAATTATTTGTGTGCACAAAAGCCTTGTTCTATACCGTTTCTATCATTTCTTTCACCATGCCTGGAAGCCCCAGCACAGTACAGATCACAGATGGGGAATCTGTGGCCTTCCAATATGTTGCTGAAGCACAATTCCCATCACTCCTGGCTGTTGGCCATGGTGGCTGGGGTTGACAGGAGCTTGAATCCAACTATAATGGAAAGGCCACAGCTTCACCACTTCTGCCATAAATGAAAGGCTGAGAATGGATGGAGGGCAAAGTGTGAAAAGCCAACACCTTTGGAGCAAGAGGCTGGCTGCCATCCACTCTTTACTGCTCCAGTCCCTCACCATGCTGTGCTTCTTGGTCTGCTGCTACTGCAACCTCTTTTGATGCTGAAGGGGGAAAAGGGACATTGGAAACTAAAAATTGGGGTTCTTCAAAAAAGAGACTACTTATGCTACATATCCAATGATCATTTAACTGCTATAACTGTACTAGTGTCTAGGCAGCAGCAACTACCTGTAGTAGAATCGGAGACAACAGCAGAGGTGTAATGGTGAGTGAAATAAAGTAGAAGGGGCGCCCAATTCCCAGCTGGGCACAAGTAGCTATGAGGAAGAGAAAAGGGAGAAAGATGGGTGGGGGAGAAGAAAGCAGCAACCAACAAGAGATGATCCTGTCAGATGGGGAGAAGGCTGGAATGAATAGGGATTAGCCAGCAGCCTAAAGCCCATCCTTTAGCCCCCCTGGCCTTCATCTCGCAAGATTTAATGTGCCTTTCACTTGTGTTATAATTAGGATACGTCCAAATTGCTCAACCAGTTCAGGGGGCAGAGGAACTCTCCGAATTGAACTTATTTCTGGAAGATTGGGAATTGAAAGAAAGCCAGGTCCTTGTAATGGATAATCCATATCTGACATCCCAGAAACAGTGGGGCTACCTGCAAATGTGAAAAAGTAAAATAATTAGAAGTAATAGACACAAACAAAATGCTTGGATATTTTCACTTTAACTGAATATTTTCTTTAACCCCTAGAGACTTATTTTTTTCCTCAGTATATGAAAAGCAAGTGCTTTTCTCTTTAAACCTAGGAATCAATTAATGCTCATACATCCATGAATTTTAAAAAATTAAAGTAACCTTGCAAGATATACTAGTAATAGCCACCAGTCACATAAACTGTTAAGATAAATTAATTGACATGTGGAATTGCAGATCACAATATAAACTCAGGATACACAAAGTGATCTAGTTTTGCTTGTTAACACTACAAATATTTGGTTTACAAATGAGTCATTAGTTCCAAAAGTATTGGCAACTATTTCAAATGTATTAGTAAGTGTTTGAAGTCCGAGGGGGGCAGGGGAGGGAATCTGAGCACTAGAAACATGAATTCTAGAGAGTACTGCTCAACTAATGTATGTGAACCTAAAGGCTAAGTCTTCTGGGAGCAAGGGAAAGGGAAGCTAAGTGCTGGCAAGTACTGTACTTAACCATAAGAAATACCTTAAGAAAATCAAGGGCTGTTAAACAAGGGCTGTTTGGAGTGAAACCATTTCCAGTACAGAAGTCCTACTATATTTGCATAGCTTTAACATACTATTTTAAAGTTGCTTGATAGAGATTCAATGCTAGTTATTGCCTTCCAAGAAACCAGCGAATGATTATAATGTATGCTTGTTTCTATTTGTTATCATCAAGATAAGCATGAATGACTATTGCAAGCTTTATATTTGTTTTATCAATTCTGTTTAGCCTGGAAGGAAAAGGTAAGGCTGCCTCAAAATACACCTGATCTTAACTGAAAAAACCGAAAGATTTTTGCATACTGAATTTTATTGCCCTAAGATTAGTCTTATAAAAGGAATGCATCAGAAGATGGCAGTTGAATAACATATGGTACGGCAACATAATGGTTTATTGTATATACTATAAGTGGAATATCGGGGAATGAAGGGAAGCAGATTTTTGTAGAATTTTAAGCTATTAAAGACAAAGCACCTGTCCCCAAAATAACCTAGTAATGAGACCATTACTGTACATTCATATGTGTATAACCAGTATAGAACAAATGTACCTGGTAGTAGCACTATAACATTTGGTGTGAACCCCAGCTTGCAAGAAGTACAAAATGATTAGCACTAGACATTAGAGATTAACCAGATTATTGCCAGCATAATGAATTAAAATAGCAGCAAGTAAAACATAGCAACAAAGGATTCCATCAATACAAAGCTAAGTGGACTAAATACTGTATATATTAAAATCTGCTAAAAAGCCACCAATGAAGAGGCCAGGATGTGGGGCCAACAATGAAAGGGACCTGTCCTTGGTACCCATCAATCTATGTTCTTGGTGGTAGAATAGAGAGTAGCGCCTATGAGGCTAATCTCACGGCCTGGGCAAGTTCACACAGGTGCAGGTGGCCCTCCAAGTTACATGGCCGCAAACCTTTCACGGCTTTAAAAGTCACTACCTGAAGTTTGAACTCTAAAGCATATTACTATGGCCCTATCTAGAGAATCGGTAGTCTAGTTTGTGTAACAGACCCCGTTCTATTTGTTCAAATAGACCAGTTCTCCATTTACAATACAAAGGTGGTGAAGGGCTTTACTATATACCTGGCTATATACAACATTACTAACAACATTTCCATCATGCCTGGGCTAATATCCAGGTACCCAGAGTGTCGCAGGATGGAGCAGAAGGCCCCACCACCTTCATTTAGGCCCAACTCTTCAGAAAGAATCAGAGCCACAGTTAAGTCTTACTTTGGAAGTGGTGATGAAACTGATTTGCAGTGCTTTTACCATTGCTGTTATGACAGTATTCTACTACTGCATAGGTGCCAGGCAAAAACGTTCTTCTTCAACCAGGCCTTGGGCTGGTTAACATTCTATGTCCTTTTAAATGTGTTTGTGGGAGGGAGTGCTATAAGTCTGTTTTGGTTTTGTTCTTGTTTTTATTGTGTATGTTGTGTTTTTATGTTGTGAACCTCGCTGAGTTCTTCAGATGATGAGCAGTATACAATTTTAAAAATAATATTTTAACTTTTTTTAAATGTTACTATTACTTACTGAATTTGTTGGCCACTTTATCTAGCACAAGGAAACGCAAAGCGACTTACAAATGCTGCAAGCCTCCATTGGTATTTGTCCATCTCGAAGGGAGCAGCTAACAAATTCCCTCACTAAACAGGTGATTCAGCAAAGTCATGAACCTTTTTCTGCCTCCCCACTTCCAGCTATTTTCTGAAGACTGGAGAAGAGACCTTCTTAAGAATATTAAGGGGGTGGGCAGGGGAAGAACTAGACCACGTGAAAAATGAACATAATATTCAAGCTGCAGTTCATTCATGTTCAGGTTTGTACTGTATTCTTGTTATGAAAAAAACAAATTGCTGTGCCCATAACCTAGGTTTAAGGTGCCATTTAGCTCCTAGCTTTCATGGCTGGGAAACCCAGCCAGATGGGCGGAGTATTATTATTAATAATAATAATAATAATGGTACAGTGGTACCTTGGTTCTCAACCGCTTTGGTACTCAAACAACTTGGAACCTGAACACTGCAAACCTGGAAGTATTCTGGCTCGCAAACTTTTTTCGGAAGCTGAACGTGCTGTTTTGAGTGCCACACTTCCGTTTTGAGTGTTACGCTGAGATCTGCCTGTTTTTGCTATTTATTTTACGTTTTTGCAGCTCTTTTTGTTTTGTTTTTGTGACTGTGTGGAACCCAGTTCATCTAATGATTGACTGATTGTGTGACGGCAGTACATTGTTTATTGCTTTCATTTTATGGATCAACGGTCTCATTAGATAGTAAAAATTCATGTTAGATTGCTGTTTTAGGGGTTGTTTTTAAAAGTCTGGAACGGATCAATCCATTTTGCATTACAGTGAACGCTCAGGTTGCAAATGTGATCCGTGCGGGATGCACATTTGCAACCCACGGTGGCATGGCTGTGGGTTGCGATTTGGCACTTCTGAGCATGCGCAAAGCACGATTTAGCACTTCCGTGCATGCGCGGCCGCCGAAACCTGGGAGTACCCATTCCGGTACTTTCCGTAACCTGAAAAAGAGCCTGGGGTTGCTGATCAGAAGGTCGGCGGTTCGAATCCCCGTGACGGGGTGAGCTCCCGTTGCTCGGTTCCTGCTCCTGCCAAACTAGCAGTTTTAAAGCACATCAAAGTGCAAGTAGATAAATAGGTACCGCTCCGGTGGGAAGGTAAACGGCATTTCCGTGCGCTGCTCTGGTTCGCCAGAAGCGGCTTAGTCATGCTGGCCACATGACCCGGAAGCTGTACATCCGCTCCCTCGGCCAATAAAGAGGGATGAGCGCCGCAACCCCAGAGTCGGCCACGGCTGGACCTAATGGTCTGGGGTCCCTTTACCTTTACCTTGTAACCTGAAAAAATGCAACCTGAAGCGTCTGTAACCCGAGGTATGACTGCCTTGGTTTTGGAACGCTTTGATTTTGGAACGGATTTCCAGAACGGGTTAAGTTTGAGAACCAAGGTACCACTGTACAAGTACCTCAGTTCCTAACCCTGGGCTACAGTTCCCGCCAGCCCTGCAACTTCTGGGGGGGGGGGGAACCAGGGAGTGTGGGGTGAAGCATGGCATTGAGGCTGGCAGCGCACACGGGAGACCGTAAAGGGGGGGGGCGAGGGCAGAAAATATGAGAGAGAGAGAGACCCTCCCACCCCCCGGGAGCCTTTCCCGCCCGCTCACGCGCGGCTTACTGGGCGCCGGCACCGCCAGCAGCTCGGAGAGGTCCGGGTAGCAGCGGTCTTCTTGGATCTGCCGGTCGATGATGCGCCCCGCATTCTCCAGCGCCTCCTGCAAGGCCGGAGTGGCCGCCGGGCTGAGAGCGACCGGCATGGCGAGGCCGAGGTGGAGAAGGCGGCGGCGGCGGCGGCGACGTCGAACCCAAGCCGAGCTTCCTTCTCCCCCTCAGAAGTCGAAGCAAGGCCAGGACTGCGCTCCGTCGCGCCCGCGCGCCCAATCCCGGCATCCACCGCGCGGCCGCGGGAGACACGAAGACGGGATCCGTAGAGATAGGAAGAAAAGGATAAGAGTGATCCTCGTACGTACACTTCCGGGCTTCCGATATGGTGTGGGGTTTTTTTTGTTTTCGTTTTTTTGGTGCGGTGGGGAATCTCTCTCACTCGTGAGAAAGCGACCGTAGAGAAATAAGTAGTCTGAGTAAAATTAACGCGAGGAAACGATTTCGTTTATTCAGGAGAAAATGTACAGTAACTGATTTCAGTGAGGCTTAGTTTTTACAGCCCCATTCATATCCATGTGTTCATTCAGAAATCCAGTGAAAGCGTGGCATTACTGCATAGGATTGCATACACGACAGGTGTTGGACTTGACGTGGTCTTTCTGTTGTTCTTTTTTTCCCCCGAGTCTATGCTGCGGTTTTTAAATTTGATGTAACGCCCTGAGCCCTTGGGTAGGCTAAAACAAATGTAGATTTATTTAGTTTTTGAATTTCAGCGAGGCTCGCTGCCAAATAAATGCGCATCACTGAATAACGTTGCAGGCATGAAGCGCGATCCTATGCCCACTCACAAGTAAATCCTGGGTAAGCCTCACTGAATAGGGTTGCAGCCTCACTCAAATAGGGTTGCAGCCTTGTGTGTGGTGGACTGCTAACAAAAGAATACTTTTATTTTAGGAAAGGGGGTCTTGCGTGCGGGGTAAATAGTTATTTGTTCTACTGCTACTCGACGTTACGTATTGCTTTCGCCACCTTTTGCAGTAAGAGTTACAGACCCAAAAATGACAAATACCTGCACAGCTGAATACATTTTTCTTATTCTAGATACTACCCTCGAAAATAAATAAACAAATGCAAACGAAATATACCAGGGTTGTAACCCTGAAACTGAAACTAAGCAGTAGTTCGATTATCAACCCCGCAAGTCTTGGGCATAGTTATTTCTCCCTCCGACCACCAGGGGTCTCACTCTGATAGCCATCGAGCGGAAGTGGCTTCCTCTCGCTCAGCAGCCACTTCCTGCTGGTCGGGCAACTTACCTGTGTTGTGGTTCCTGGAGAAGGGAAGTGCGGGTTGCTCTCGGGATGGAGCAGGTGGGAGCAGAGAACGGTGAGTAGCGAGCCCGGCCAGGCTTCCCTTGGAGGATCTGCCGGTCTTGGGTAGGAGGAGGAAGCACTGAGCGCTCTTCTTTCTTCGCAGATGCCGAGCCGGTGGCAGGACCCGACCCGGAGCTGGCAGCTACGATGGGCTTCTCAGGCTTCGGTGAGTGAGAGGCTTTCCTTGAGGCAGACCTTTGCATGCAGAGGGTCCCAGGTTCAGTCTAGTTAACCTCATCATTTATATCCGTGATTCCCAACGTGGGGCACACGCCCCACAAAAGGGGCAATTTGATTTTAAGGGGGGCAATTCGAGAATGAGTTATTAACAGTTAATGGTGCTTTAAGCTTCCTCCAATGGCACGCGGGTGGCGCTGTGGGTTAAACCACAGAGCCTAGTACTTGCCAATCAGAAGGTCAGCGGTTCAAATCCCCGCGACGGCGTGAGCTCCCGTTGCTCGGTCCCTGCTCCTGCCAACCTAGCAGTTTGAAAGCATGTCAAAGTGCAAGTAGATAAATAGGTACCTCTCTGGCGGGTAGGTAAACGGCGTTTCCGTGTGCTGCTCTGGTTTGCCAGAAGTGGCTTAGTCATGCTGGCCACATGACCTGGAAGCTGTACGCCGGCTCCCTCGGCCAATAAAGCGAGATGAGTGCCGCAACCCCAGAGTCGGTCACGGCTGGACCTAATGGTCAGGGGTCCCTTTACCTTTAAGCTTCCTCCACGTAAATAGTTCACTTTTTGAATAATAAGAATTATATGTCACAGGGTGGGGCATCTTCATCATTCTGCCCAAACACGGGTCCAGTGCCAAGGGCCTTCTGGCGGTTCCCTCACTGCGAGAAGCCAAGTTACAGGGAACCAGGCAGAGGGCCTTCTCGGTAGTGGCACCCACCCTGTGGAATGCCCTCCCATCAGAGGTCAAGGAAAGCAACAACTGCCAGACATCTGAAGGCAGCCCTGTTTAGGGAAGCTTTTAATGTTTAATAGATTATTAAAATACAATATTCTGTTGGAAGCCGCCAAGAGTGCCTAGGGAAACCCAGCCAGATGGGCGGGGTATAAATAATAAATTATTATTATATCAGGATTTTAGAGATGCTTAGGTGGGGCATGGCCAAAAAAAGGTTGGGAACCACTGATTTATATACTGCACCTCCCTTCGTACGTGGATCACAGGGTGCTTTACAGTATGAAAATGCAGTCGGGTCAGGGTGCAGTTACGTTTAGGAGTACCCCTGGAGAGCCACTGCCTGTTAGCGAGGGAAATACTGAGGTAGGGCAGTAAGGCAGTTTCCTACGTTTCTCCCACATCTATATGGGTCTACAACACTGAAGTTGCAATTCTGCACAAGGCACTTGGAGGGTGGTGCAAGATTTCAGACATGCAGATGTCACCAGCTGTGTACTGTCACCGCCTCACTTTTGCCGTGGGTCAACATCTTGCCCCTGACCTTGTGCTGCACTTCAGAGAAGTCCAAAAATGTTGCTGAATTGCCTGTGGAATGCTGCACAGTGTCAGCATTTGAACGCTTGGCCTTATCTTGATGTGGGAGTGTGTCTCTCGAAGGTGGTGGACTCCACTTCATTGGAGGATTTTAAGCAGAGGTTGGATGGCCATCTGTCAGGGATCCTTTAGAGATGATTCCTGCATTGCAGGAGGCTGGACCCTACAATTCTATGATTTTATGACCTGTAGTTGTACTGAACTACAGAATGTTTCTAAAGCTTATTCCACAGTAGAGTGTTCCACCTCTCAGTTTGTGCTGGAGCAGGTGTTGGCCAATTATATATATACACAGTGGTGCCTTGCAAGACGAAATTAATTCGTTCTGCGAGTTTTTTCATCTTGCGAAGCACGGTTTCCATTTTTTCAAAAAAGTCTTCAAAAACCTCAAAAAAGGCTACCACACCGCGTGCTATGAGTTGCTCCTCGAAGTCAAGTCGCAACTGCACCTCTTCAAGCAATGCACCCTGTATTACTGTAACAGTTTTAAGAAAAAGGAAACAAACTTGCAAGACGTTTCTGTCTTGCGAAGCAAGCCCATAGGGAAATTCGTCTCGCGAAGCAACTCAAAAAACCAAAAACTCTTTCGTCTTGCGAGTTTTTCATCTTGCGAGGCATTCGTCTTGCGAGGTACCACTGTGTGTGTATATATATAGTTGATGCCTAGCGTCCTGGCAAATGTCATAATGGCTACTTTTTAGTACCACAAGGTTTCTTACTGATGGAGACAAGACAAACTGTTTCTCCTGGCCCTTCTTCCCAGAATGTTCTTCTGCTTCCTCTGAATGTTCCTCTTATATGTGTGGCCACAACAAATAAAACTGACAGTTGTATATACAGTGTGCGCATGTACATTTTCTCTAATCTATGTGCCACGTTGGAGACAATGGTGGGAGCTGCTCAGTTAAGGTGGGGGGGGGACATTTTACTTTATGGACGTTTCCAGATATAAGGAACCCCCAGAACAGGTTTAGGAGGCATATGGAGGGGTGAGAAGTGGGGAAATGGCCTGTTGCATGAGCAGGCTAGTTCCATGCACATATACAGTGGTATCTCGGGTTAAGAACTTAATTCGTTCCAGAGATCCGTTCTTAACCTGAAACTATTCTTAACCTGAAGCACCACTTTAGCTAATGGGGCCTCCCGCTGCTGCCGTGCTGCCGGAGCACGATTTCTGTTCTCATCCTGAAGCAAAGTTCTTAACCAGAGGTACTATTTCTGGGTTAGCGGAGTCTGTAACCTGAAGCGTCTGTAACCCGAGGTACCACTGTACTTAACTTAACACTAGGTTCAATTCCACCCAATATGTTTGATCATTAAAATACTATTGCAAAAGTGTAGTAAGCTTATACACAGCTTATAATGCCCTCTATACACAGCTTGTAGACTTTTGGGAGACATCTGGTTGGAAACAAGATGTTGGACTAGATGGCACTTTGGTCTTGTCCAACAGGACTCTTGTGTACTTAAGAGTAAGTTGTTGCATACAAATGTTTTATCGTGTCAAGGCATTCAGTTCTCACTGATTTTCATGCTTTCATTTGTATTTTTATAAATTTCTCAGGAATACTACCCCCCCCTTTCATGTAAGCTAAACGCTTAGGAAATCACTTCCTTATTTTTTCCCTCATCACTTAGGAAAGAAAGCTCGAACATTTGACTTCAATGCAATGTTTGAACAAACTCGAAGAACTGCTGTGGAAAGAAGTAGGAAGATCCTGGGTGAGAGAGGCTGTTTCATATCAAGGGTTTGATTTGCTCTTCATTTGATTTATAATTCAGAGTACTTTCTGGCAGTTTTTCTTAAATGTTAATAGCTTTGTTAATAGCTCACAACGTAAGGCAATTTAAAATGGTTTGGAGGGTGACTGAATAAAAATGGTACGGTAAACATTGAATGAGTAAAAATTTATTTATTCATTACCCACCTTTCACCTTAACGTCTCAGGGCAGCTTACAACATTAAAACACAACATTAAAATCATTTTAAAATAGCTTAAAAAACAACAACAGCACAGACCAAAGCAATCCACACCTCGCCACAAATAAATGTTCCAAAAAGGCGTCTGTAAAGTTATACTTTTTATAGGCAGCTTTGTGCTAAGTGCCTACTTCTTAAAGAGGTGCTGCAAAGTTAAAAGGAATGGGAGGTAGTTTCTTTGGGACAGTGCCTGGTTCCTGGGTCCTGGAACTTTTCTCCTCTGCCTCCAGCTGCACCAGCTGTCAGTGGAAATCTTTGGGAAAAGATCTAGCAGCATATTCTTTTAGCTGTTGGCAGAGGCCAGAGTATCTCAATTGCACTCATTTTTGTGAGCCCAGCATAAAAGTACATCAAGCCCATGCTTACAGCTGCTTACTTTTCTCCTTTTACAGACAGTAGTCTCAGGGCTTCAGGATGAGATTTTTGTTTCAGTGGGGAAACAATGTAGTGAGAAAAGGGTTAAGCTCCAGACTCCCTCCACACTTTCTGTGGCTGTTTTATGTAGAAGAATGGGCAGTTGGACGCATCTCTTCAACCACATGCTTAACAGAAGAGTGTATTTTTTAAAAGGGGGGTAGTAACCATTTCCTCAGTCTCCCCTGGCTCTAGCTACCAGAAAGGAGCTGAAATGAAAACATCCTAAAAGGTGCAAAATCTTTGGCAAGTTCCCCAGTTAAGGAATAGACTAAATAACTTGACATTTTTTATTTTCCAGGCAAACTTAAAGCCTCTCAGTTCTCTGGAGAGGTTGGTTGTACTATAGCCTGGTTCTGAAAATGAAAGGTAGCTGATTTACTGTATTTTTCGCTCTATAAGACACACCAGACCACAAGACGCACCTAGTTTTTGGAGGAGGAAAACAAGAAAAAAAATATTATGAATCTCAGACGCTAGAAAAGCAAGAGGGATCGCTACGCAGTGAAAGCAGCAATCCCTCTTGCTGTTCTGGCTTCTGGGATAGCTGCGCAGCCTGCATTCGCTCCATAAGACGCACACACATTTCCCCTTACTTTTTAGGAGGGAAAAAGTGAGTCTTATAGAGCAAAAAATATGGTAATTCATAGACTTTCTAAGTAGAAAATCTCTTCAAAAGGTAGGAGAGAGATACCAAACTATGGCATACCACTAGTACATCTCACTTGTATAAATTGACTTTCCTTCCCTTCCCCCTGCAGCAGTTCATGAGTCCCCTCTGAAATGGATGAGGGAATGGACAGATGACTTCGAGGGGAGGGGAGGAATGGGAGGTCCTATTACATCTGTTATGATGTTGACTCTTGCCCAGAAACTTGAAAGGCTCTGTTTTCTTTTCCTGTGAAGCTTACCTTTACGGGCAGGGGTGGGCAACCTGTGGCCCTCCAATGTTGTTAAAAATCTCCTTTAAGCCATACCCACCATGGCCAATGACCAGGGATGATGGGAGATGAAGTCCAGCAACATCTGGAGGGCCAAAGGTTTGCCATCACTGCCTTATATCAGCAGATACCATGAAAACTAGGACATGTTAGTCTATGACTGTTTGATCTTCAGTGTTGTTGGTTTTTTTTAAAAAAATGATTTGAATTATCAACATTCCAGACATCTTAAAACCCAAATGAAGGCTTCAGAGCTGGCACCAAATTTCTCCTTTGTGCTTTATTTATTCAGAAGAGCGAGAGAAAAAGGCAGCTGAAAAAGAAGAAGAACTTGAAAGCCGGTGTGAAGGTATTGATTCTTCAGCCGCATCCTTACGCCCAGTAGTGAAAACATCTTCTAAGTAAGTAGATATAATAGAAACATTTGACTCTATATCTCTTTTGTGGTAGAATGAGAGGCACTTTTCATGCAAGATGGCACCGCACTGTAAACCATATTACTTAACAACCAATGTTTGGAGTTAGCTGACACACTTTTCAAGAACAGTTTGGTTTGATTTTCCAGTGTTTCTTATGCCTGGACGTTCTCTGAGCAGGCAGCAATAGCTGTTGCCAGCAGTGATAGAAAAAGGCTGTAGTCTTTATGCGCACTTACTAGGAAATAAACTCCAATAAGTGCAAATGTCAACAGTGCAAACCTATGCATGGTCAAAGCTTTGCTTTAGCATTTAAAGCCATGAGCAACTTGAATCCAGGTTATCTAAGGGACCACCTCACCCAATACAGTGGTACCTCGGGTTAGGTACTTAATTCGTTCCGGAGGTCTGTTCTTAACCTGCAACTGTTCTTAACCTGAAGCACCACTTTAGCTAATGGGGCCTGCTGCTGCGCCGCTGGAGCACGATTTCTGTTCTCATCCTGAAGCAGAGTTCTTAACCTGAGGTAATATTTCTGGGTTTGCGGAGTCTGTAACCTGAAGCGTATGTAACCCGAAGTGTATGTAACCCGAGGTACCACTGTATATGCCTGTCTGACAGCTGAATTTCTCAGATAGGGCATTGCTAAGAGTACCACATGCTGGCACTGTTCTCCTTTTTGCTGAAAAGAAGCTCTTTTCCCACATTTGCAGCCATTTTGGTTTATACAGTGGTACCTCTGGATGCGAACGGGATCCGTTCCGGAGCCCCGTTCGCATCCTGAAGCGAATGCGCGTGACGTCATTTTGAGCGTCTGAGCATGCGCGAACGGCGCAACCTGGAAGTAACGTGTTCTGTTACTTCCGGGTCACCGCGGAGCATAACCTGAAAACACTCAACCTGAAGCGACTTCAACCTGAGGTATGACTGTACTTTGCTACTCACAGGATTGAGGCCAGGGGCTCCTGCCACAGAGGCAGAAGGAGATGATCACACATCTTGCGAGAAGGGTCAAAGCTCAGTGGTAGAGCACCTGCTTTGCATGCAGAAGGTCCCAGGTTCAATCCCCAGCATCTCCAGGTAGGGCTGAGAAACATTTCCTGCCTGAAACCCTGGAGAGGCACTGCTAGTTAGTGTTGACCAGTGTTCTTCAACTTTCAGTGCTCACATGATGTTGGACTGCAGTTCCCACCATCCTCAGCTATTTTAAGCAGGGGTCAGCAAACGTTTTCAGCAGGGGGCCGGTCCACTGTCCCACAGACCTTGTGGGGGGCCGGACTGTATTTTGAAAAAAAATAATGAATGAATTCCTATGCCCCACAATTACCCAGAGATGCATTTTAAATAAAAGGACACATTGTACTCATGTAAAAACACGCTGATTCTCGGAACGTCCATGGGACGGATTTAGAAGGCGATTGGGCTGGATCCACCCCCCCGGTCTTAGTTTGCCTACCCATGATCTTAAGGTTAGTAAAGGTAAAGGGACCCCTGACCATTAGGTCCAGTCGTGACCCACTCTGGGGTTGCGGCGCTCATCTCGCTTAGCTTCCGGGTCATGTGGCCAGCATGACTAAGCCGCTTCTGGCGAACCAGAGCAGCGCATGGAAACCCCATTTACCTTCCCATCGGAGCGGTACCTATTTATCTACTCGCACTTTGACGTGCTTTCGAACTGCTAGGTTGGCAGGAGCAGGGACCAAGCAACGGGAGCTCACCCCATCGCGGGGATTCGAACCGCCAACCTTCTGATCAGCAAGTCCTAGGCTCTGTGGTTTAACCCACAGTGCCACCCGCGTCCCTGATCTTAAGGTTAGCTAGCCACTTAAGGTTAAAGAACACTGGTCTACACAAACTGGCAGTGGCTCTCCAGGGTTTCATACAGGATATCTAACAACATCTGGGGACCCAAAGTTGAAGAATATTGGTATAGACAATACTGAGCTTCATAGAAAAATGCTCTGATTCCATTTAAGGCAGTTCCCTACATTCCTATCTTTCTCACCCACCCTGCACTGGCTGCCAGATACGGTGTCCTCCATTCACCAATCTGTGGCACCATGTAGGCAAATGTTTCAGGAGGAAAAGGGTAGGCTGGGGACTTCAGCAATGAGCACACAGAGGCAGGTGTCATGAAAAAGACCCCTGCCATATCTCATATTTTGGTTCACCTAGGGATTCATCTGGTAGTGAAAGTGACGACAGCTCAGATGAAGAACCAATTGGCCCCCCTTTGCCACCCCAAGGGTCAGTGGAAGATTCCGATGATGAACTCATTGGCCCTCCGCTGCCTCCTGGATATAAGGGCAGTGATGAGGAGGATGACGAGGACAACATCCTGGAAGAAGATGAGGTCAGTTTTTATTCTCTTGGCGTTTCTGCTGTGTCGTCTTCTGTTTTCGTGTTGATTGCTTGCACTTTGCAAAGGAGATAATCACCTGGGAATTGTAAAGGTAAAGGGACCCCTGACCATTAGGTCCAGTCATGGCCGACTCTGGGGTTGCGGTGCTCATCTCGCTTTATTGGCCGAGGGAGCCGGTGTACAGCTTCCGGGTCATGTGGCCAGCATGACTAAGCCGCTTCTGGCAAACCAGAGCAGCGCACGGAAACGCCGTTTACCTTCCCGCCGGAGCAGTACCTATTTATCTACTTGCACTTTGATGGGCTTTTGAACTGCTAGATTGGCAGGAGCAGGGACCGAGCAACGAGAGCTCACCCCATTGTGGGGATTCGAACCACCGACCTTCTGATCGGCAAGTCTTTCTTACTAAACTTATGGGAAATTGAGACTGTTGGGAGTCAGCTCCTGCCAGCATGATCAATGGTCAGGGTTGATGTGAGTTGTAGTTCAGGAACATATGGCAGGCCACAGGTTCCCCTCCCTGCTCTAGGTGGTGCTGTTGATCTATTTTGGGATGTAGGAGTTCACCACAGTTTCATATTGCAAAGTTTCTCAAACTGTTAATTGTTTGTGGTTCTTGTTTTGGACTCTTAATTTGTTCCCTTTTATTTCCATGTAGTGGTTCATATGGATGTTTCTTTAGGACATCCATAGTATTGTAATGCTTGCTTCAAGAAATAATTCAACAAGTGTTTGCTTCTTTGAAGACCAATGGTTTTACATGTTAGGTAGATTTATACTAGCTACTCACTGTTAGGTGATCACATTTGAAAGAAAGGAAGTTTTGCTTCTTATCTTTGGAAAAGCAGGTTTCCGCTTGTTGAGCATTATTTTAATACGGTTTGATCCTCAGTTGAAGGGACATTAAACGTAAAAGAATTTGTTAGTTTTGCAGCTGTTCTCTAATATTTTAATACACATATATTGTTTATAGGTGGATTCAACTGATTTCCTTTTCCTTTATTTCTCCCTCTCCTGGATTGTAATTCATTGAACATTCTCACATGAACAGAATTTTTGAGCGCTCTTTAAGATATGGGTAAATGTCTGCAGTCATCATTCACAGCTGTATAAAGTAATATGTGCACCTTTTAAAAAAAGGAATACAAAAACCTTATAAGCGAAAAGTAACATGTTCAACTTCCTTTCACAAATCATACCAAATTGCTTTCCCCAAAGGAGCACAGCAGTCATAAAGTTAAGATTCATTTTTTAAACATCACTTTTATGAGGCTGTTACTTGATTGAATCATATGTAAACCTTTCAATTTAACCCCCGACGGGTATTCTGAGTGACAATTTTGAATGTTAGTGCTATTTAACATTTTTGCTACATTTTTGGAAATACCATTTGTGAAGATTTATTGATGGTATGTTGTTTTACTGTGTAGGTATTACAGGGGAAAAAATGTTTGAATGCAATGAAGCCTTAAAGGGATAGCCATTCATTTACTGTATTTTTAATACTTGAAAGTAGTTGTGCATAATCTGATGCAAAACTTATGTCAGTGTTTGATGCAACATGGTTTAATTGCTGTTCCTTTTGCACGAAAAAGGAACTAAATGGCTTGAAAGCCACGGTTTTTAGTTATTTTGCTTTTCTTTTCTTTTTAAAGTCACTGATAACACTTAAAAAAGATTTTTATCCCTGTAACCAGTGCTTTTTTCTTTTTTAAAAAATGTTTAGGGATACTCTCATTTTCCTATTCATATTGAAATACTGCCCCTCAATGAGGCCAAACTTAGATTCGCAAAATGTTTAGGGGTATGCGTACCCCTGCATCACTCTAGACAAAAAAGCACTAAACAGTCACTAAACTAAACAGTAACAGTCACTAAACTATTTTCTTCATTTTTGCTTTGGGCTAACAAATTAGTTTCATAACCTTTGCATGGAGTGTTTTCAGTTTTTCCGTGCTCAAATATGGGAAATGTGCCGTAATTGGTACGAAAGATGAAGGCTGTGGCTGTCATTTGGTAGTGATGTGGGCAGGAGTTAGTGGGACAGGCTGGCTATGTGGGTAAAGAGCAGCAGGTCTTTTGGCTCAAGATGCAAGGATGCTCACTTATTTATTTTTTGTTCTTTTTTTTAAAAAAAAGATGTCTGTATTTCCATGTTAGAAGTGTAGGTGGCTTTCTATCTGTCTATCTAAAACCATGGCATAAAACATAGAAAGAGAGACTGACAAACACATCAAGTATAATAAGGCAGGGAGATTTTAAATTAGTAGATTGGCAAAGAAGAAAGATCTTATGCAGGTTTTATTCTTCCCTAGATTCAGTTGAAAGATTTATTATTACTATTATTGCAGAATATCATCAACATTAATCTCCATGAGAACAAGGTTGAATGGTTTGTCATTCAACATTTTTCTTTCCATCTCCAAAACAGATTCAGATCGACCCATGTTGTCATTGCAGTTGTCTCATCTATATGATTTTTGTCAGGAGTTTAGTGGAAAAGGAATTCTACGTCTGTTTACAATCAGCTGTGCCGTTTTGACCCTACAATAATCAGATCAATTCCTGTTGTTCAGAAAAAAGGCACTTTCTTATTGTAAGGTTGGCACACAAATGCGTTTCAGGCTGCCTGTTTCTGAGGAGTTTTGCTCCTCATTCAGTAGGTTAGTTTGCAATAAGTTGCTTGTAGCATTGGGGCTGGGTGCTAGGGTTGGTTCTAACCCTAAACAACTACTATTAAGAACGATATCAGTTTCATTTTGTTCATTATTATTAATGTTAAAACTGTAATGCATGCAAAATTATTTTACCCAAAGTGTTATTTTAAGTACCCACATAGCTGACTTGCACAAAAATGCACAATGCGGTGGAATCTGTATCCTAGGTGTGATTTTTACATATGCATTTCATTGAAGATACTGCTGAGAGATTGAAAGAAGCATTGAGGACAAAGCTGGCGTTTGTCCAGGGTGGCATTTGCTGTGGCTTTGAAGTTGAATAAACCTGCAATCATTTATAGATTGAAAACATGTTACTCTGGGAATGTGGAGAGATTTGGAAGTAGGACTTACTTGAGTGGAACACTAAGATTTTCACTGAACAGGAAAGTGATGGTGGTGAACAGGACATAACAGGAAGATTGTTTGGTAGTACTCCGGGTTGTACCTCAGAGAGGGTACAAAACCAAGGAGAAGCCTAGGAAGGAAAGCAGCTCTTCCTAGATTGTAGAAGATGTTCAAGGAGGGTAGACTAGAAGCTACCTTCAGCCTGATACTGTGGGGCTCAAGGGCAGATTCTTAGCCATCTTTCAGTCCATATTCCTTCTCTTCTCCAAGTGAGGTTCAAGCACTTTATAATTTCAGCAGAAGAAAGGCCATGTTGGATCAGGCCAAAGGTCCATCTAGTCCAGTATCCTGTTCCCACGGTGGCCAACCAGATCCCCATGCAGGACATGAGTGCCATAGCAGTCTCCCCACTTGTGCTCCCCAACAGCTGGTACTCAGAGGCATACCTCATCCAGCTGTTGATGAAAAACATGGCCATCATGGATGGTAACCCTTGATAGAATTATATTCCATGAATCTATCTAATCCATATTTTTAAGCAATCCAAGTTGGTGGCCATCACTTGTAGGAGCAAGTTCCAGAGTTTTAGCTATGTTAACTTTTGTCTGCCCTGAATATTTCAACATTCAGCTTACTTAGATATCTGAATTCT